AACATATATAAAGTTAAGTGTATAACTTTATAATATATGTTATATATATATTATATAATAACTTTAGATATATATAAAGTTAAGTGTAAAACAGCTTTAGGCAGATTCTTCAGGAGGTGTCTCAGAAGGCAGTACCCTAGGCTATGTTTTGTGTTTGTGTCTTAGTTTTTAAACAAAAAGTTTAAAAAGTAAAAAAAAAATTAAAAATAGACAAAACCTTATAGAATAAGAATCTAAAGAAAAAATACTTTTACAGCTATAAAATGTGTTACTGTTTTAAGCTAAGTATTTTTACAAAAGAATAAAAAAGTTTAAAATTAAAAACTTTATAAATTAAAACATTACAGTAAGCTAAGTTTAATTTATTATTTATGGGGAAAAAATAGGATGGGTACAGTGGTTCACACTTGTAAACCCAATAGTTTGGGAAGCTCAGCAAAGATGATTGCTTGAGTCCAGGAGTTTGTGACCAGCCTTGGCAACATGGTGAAACCTCATCTCTACTAAAAATGCAAAACATTAGCTGAGGAGTGTGTTGGTACATGCCTGTAGTCCAAGCTATTTGGGAAACTGAGGTAGGAGGCTTGCTTATGGCCAGGAGGTGAAGGGCAGACGTTGTGGTGAACTGTGACTGTGACTCCAGCCTGGATAACAGAGATGGACCCTGTCTCCAAAAATAAAAATGGAAAGAAAAAAGAAAAAAAATTGTTTCAAAGTAAAACAATTTTAGAGTAAAACAATTTTTAGTGTAACCTAAGTGTATAACGTTTATAAGGTCTACAGTAGCGGGCAATAATTTCCTAGGCCTTCACATTCACTCACCACTTGCTCACAGACTCACCCAGAGCAGCCTCCAGTCCTGCAAGCTCCATTTATGGTAAGTGCCCTATACTAGCGTACCATGTTTAATCTTTGCTATTATATTTTTACTGTACCTTTTCTATGTTTAGATATGCTTAGACAAATACTAGTGTGTTACAATTGCCTATAGTAATCAGTACAGTAACATGCTATATTGATTTGCAGCTTGGAGCAAAAGCTTATTCCATATAGCCTATGTTTGTATTGAGCTATACTTTATAGATATGTGTAAGTATACTCTATGATGTTTGCATAAAGATGGATTTGCCTAATGTCACATTTCTCAGAAGTGCCTTTGTTGTTAATTGCTGCGTGACTGGTACTCTTAGAAGAATGGTAGACCAGATTTCACTCATGCCACGCTGTCACAGCCTCTCACTGCACAAAGTAAAATAGTTTTGGTGTTGAGCATAGCAAGGTAGTAAGAAAAGCATCTGAGTTATTATAACTCTGAAGTCACAAGAGATTTACATGCCAAATTTATATCACAGATGTTTCCAAAACATTGAAAGATTTATTAATGAAAAGTAAAGCCACCAGTAGTTAGGTGTCTGGAATAAGAAAACCTAAATCTTCTCTAATGAAATATACATTTATCCTATTAATATTTCTCAAATAATATACTTTCTAAAGATAATAAGCAGTATACAATGTACAGTTCAAATAAAATGCCATTTAAGGGAAAAATGACAATGTGAAAGAGAAGCTTCAGGATCAACTAAGAGCAGAAGGAAGCCAGCTAAGAGTTTAAATACTTGCAGGTGAACCACAGAATCTGAAATAAAGATACACTTGAACATTTCTTCAAGGGGCAGGAAGCTATAAATATGATTAAGGGAATTCAAAAAAGAGTAAAGTAGAACTTCTAAAAAGAAAAAATGCAATACTTATAATTAATTCAAAATACTATGTATGGAGTTAATAGCATTTTAGATACAGAGGAAGAAAAATTATTAAACTGGAAGATAAGGCAAAGGAGATTTTCTAGAATGCAACATAGATAGAAACAGAGATGAACAATGTAAACTCAATAGTCAAGACTCTCCAAGGTAGAGTAACAATGTCTAACTTATGTCTGATTGGAGAGCCAGATGAAGAGGGAATATAGAGGAGAAATATGTTTGAAGGAATAATGGCTAGGATATAACTAAAACTGATGAAAGGTACCAATTTGTATACATATAATAAACTGAGACTCCAAATAAAGATAAATTAGTACATCCCTGTGTTGACACACCAAAGTGAAAATGCAGAGCATCAATAAGAAAAGGCATGGATGACTCCCACAGACAATATTGGGTGAGAGAAACACAATGCAAGGAATTTACGTAGTTCGCTTCCATTCACATAAAATTAAAAATCAAAACTGAGCTCGATTGTTTAAGGATGTATAAGAAAGTGGTAAAATTATAAAGCGAGTAAGAAAATGATAATTAGAAACATCAAGAGAGTGATTATTTCTATAAAGAAGGGAAAAAATTATAATTGAGAAGTAGGCAGGTAGAAGATTCTGAGATGCTGGAAAATGTTCTATTTCCTGACCTAATCTATGGGTAGATGGGTATTTCTTGTATTATAATTCCTTAAACTACATATTTATGTTTTATATATTTATTTAGTACATTATGTCTCTAAATTTAAAGATGAAACACACTAATTTACTTTCACTGAATGAACTAAGATTGCCCTGAAAACATTTGGTAATACATTTCCCAAATGTCTGAATTTCTCACTTCCTCAGTTTTAGTTGTTTTCTCCAGCCTGTCAACTAGGGCATATTGTTTAATAGATATAAATGGTTCACAGATAATGAAATAAGCCATTCATTTCCACTTAACATCGCTATATCATGCCTTTTTTGTTTTAACATCACAACTAACACTATGCATTCAATAAAATTCTGAGATGTTAAGCTTAGATTTCTGGGTATAGTTACATACAAGTAAAGAAGAACAGCAGGTTTGGTGCAGATAATTATATAAAGTTTGACATATTTGTTTAAGCTTCTTGTAAAATACACAGATGGAAATATTCAATAGATGGTTGTGAATAGGGATAACAGGGCATTCCTATTCTAGAGTCCATATCGATCCAAAGCTCAGAGATTGTGGGGTCAGAAGTAGATTCGTAAGTCATCTGTTGAGAGGCCATCTGTATTTGTTTGCTAGGACTGCCAAACCACAGATTGGATGGCTTAAACAACTGAAATTTACTTTGGCTAGAAGTCTGAGATCAAGTTATTGGCAGTGTTGGTTCCTTCTGAGGGTTGTGAGGGAACTACTTGTTCTAGGCCTCTCTCCTTGGCTTGTAGGTGACTGTTTTCTTTCTGTGTCTTCACGTTGTCTTCCCACTGCACCTGTCTTTGTTCAAACTTTCTCTTCTTAAAAGGTACCAATCTAATGGATTAATGGCCTTACTTTAATTATTTCTTTAAAGATTCTATCCACAAGCAGGGTTACCATCTGAGGTACCAGGGATTACAACTTCAACATATAAATTTTTTCAATGTATAAGGAAATTTAGCCCATAAGACCATCAATTAAAACCTCAGACAAGATGACCTGGCCAATGTGCAGAGCACATTGAGAAAAGAGGGCTCTGAAAAAAAAGCCATATTCAGAAGAGGTAGAAGAGGACAGAGGCTGAGAAGGAGATAGTTTAAAGAGATGATCAGTGAAATGAAAAATGGCAGAACATTCAATGAGGATCTATCTTGACTTAGTAAAGCAAATGAACTTAGTGAAGCTATATGGTGACCATTGATAGAAAAGAGTTTGTAGAGTGGAAAGGAGTGGAAGACCGATTGAAGTAGGTAAAGGAGTACACCTAAGAAGGCACAGTGAAAATGGAAAGATAGCAACGAATGTTAAGAAGTAGTAGAGGAGCGTTAGAAAGAAGGAGCTGATATAATCACTGTGTGGGTGATTGTGCAGGGCAAATGATAGAGTGACCACTAAAATATGGCTTATGATTGAGCATGAGAAATCATTTCAATGCTACAAATGCAGACAGAAGATGCAGGTACAGAATTTTTGTCAGGAATACCGCTTACTATAGACCTATTTACCAGGGGAAGGCCAGTGTTCAAATTCCTCCTAAAATGTTATTAAGGGAAGTTGATAGGACAACTGCAAGTATCAATACCACTCTAACATTCTACTCATAACCCTGGCAAAATTTCTCATTTATGCTCCTATAAAATCACTATCTGAGGGTCCATTTCAACATTGTGAGTTTCTTCTGTGTACTAAATACTATTCTAGGAAAATGCTGAAAATTTAAATTGGAGGAGAAAAAAATTACTGTAGAAAATTATTTCTTGTTTACATCTAATATTAACTATATTTTATATAATTATGTTAATTTAAATAATATTTAGCTTAAAATTTAATTGTACTTTTCCTTCTCTTGGAATTAAGCTTTCCACATAACAAAAAGTTTTTAAATTTTCAAATAATCCATTTTCAAATATAATTTCATCTCATAATATATGGAAAATGGGGAGCATCTTGTTCCACCATCCAGATAGATATTATTTATCATTTTCTGTATTTTCTTCTGGTACAAACATTTCATAAAAACAAACTGACTTACAGGGAGGGGAACAACACACACTGGGGTCTGTCTTGGGGGGAGAGGAAGGGTGAATATCAGGATAAATAGCTAATGCATGCAGGGCTTAATACCTATTTGATGGGTTGATAGATACAGCAAACCGCCATGGCACATGTTTATTTATGTAACAAACCTGCACATCCTGCACATGCATCCAGGAACTTAAAAATTAAAAAAAAAAAAAAAACTTGCCCATACTGATGCTATTGTTCTTTCAACAGTTGACCTTTTCTCTGGCATTGTATCTTTAAGTGTATAAACACTTAAGCCACATCATTTTGAAACAAGAAGGAGACATTAGCCTATTGTTCTTTCTGATGGATATGCTTTAAGCTATGTATAGAAGTTATACAATGTATGTTTTCATATTATTAGATGATTTATCCAATTGATATACTGTCACAAAAGAGTTAAAATGTTTAATGTTCTTGTAAAAGAGGCTACCTAGTGAGAAGTTTCAAAACAAAATAAATCTTTTTCCTAAAAAAATTTTTAAGAATACTATTTAACATTTGCTAAGTTGATATTATTAATTCATGTGTATATAATATATACTTTTTCTATTATGTTATTAATTCCACATTCTTTGAAATCTGAGAGGATAAAAAAGCTTTCATATATAATCATCAAATCAGGATCTTCATGAAAAATTTTAAAAACTCATAGAAAAGCAACAAATGTAAACATAACATGCTGTTATATTATTGCCATCTTGAGTTTTAGTTCCACTGTAAACCAAATTTTATCTATGGTTATTAACATTATAATGGAAAAGTTCTAGAAAGCATCATTAAAACTTAGTAATTATTTTTCACTACTAGGCAATTGTGAACTGTTAAAATCAAACAAAGACTGTTAACACCACCAGTACATTTGTCTTTTGTACTGACTCATTGAGGATGAATCTAGTCTAGACGTTTCTAATGGGGAAAACTCTTCTTATCCATCATGTATTCCCAGTTTAAGTACTGTGTAAAATAACTGCATGTTGTATTAAACTGAATTACATCTTAATGTAAATAGTTGCAATAGTAAAACCTATTTAAGAATCGTTTTTGAATAGACTATTTAAATCTATTTAAGACTAAATGACTATTATGACTATTACTACTGCCATTGTTATTTAATGTAACCTGTTTTTGAGCCCAATAAAATTATTCACTAAATCAGTCTTTCAATATTTACTAAGCACTTATTTGTGCCAAGCTCTCTTCCAGGCATTGGGACTCAGCAGTGAACAAAACACCCAGAGATCCCTGCCCTTATCAAACTTCGATTCTACTGCTAAAGACAGATAATAACTACATGTGAGTAAATAGATTACATTAAGATGTATACATTGGCTGGTGGTAAGTGCTATAGAGAAACAGAGCAGAAAATAGATACAGGGAAGGAGTGGAGTGGGGTGAGATTTATGGCCTAAAGTAAGGTATTCAGGAAAAGTATTCATGTGCAGTTAGTATTTCAGCAAAGACATAAATGCAGTGAGGAAGTGGAACCTGGGAGAACTAGCAATCTCACAAAAGTATAAAAATGTCTGCAAGAAATTTGTCATAATTTATTTCAAAATTTGGTATAAAATATTGATAACATGATTTTCTTAGGCTATCTATCCATCTTCTTAGACATCTGCTTAAAACATATTCAAATTATCCACATTTTAAAACCCTTACATATAGGGAGGATTTAACTCATTAATGATAAAATCTAATTATAACTCTGAAAAAGTTATTTTGGAGGAAGAACTACTTATAGCATATAGAAGTGTGGCAGGCCAGGTCTCACTGATGCAGGCCTCCATAACGGCTGTTTCAGCACTGACTGAGTGGTTAAGTTAAATACTAAAAGCCAGTGCCCTTATACAAAGGCTGGAATGTAACACAAGCCCATCAAGAGTTTTGCCTAGGCCTTTTTTGGGCCTTAAAGCATGGCAAAATAATGAAGGAATTCTTAACAGGACGCATTGAGGACTAAAAAAATTTTACTGTGAGTCTAAAGAAACTCCCTAGGCCTCCATAAACAAGTTTATTGGGGATCTGAAGGAACACCCCAAACCGCCATGATTTAGCAGGAGACAAGATAGGGGTAATCACCCTAGCACCTGGACCCATTTACGTTAAGTAAATTTACTGAGGCTCCAGAGGAAACCTTTCAGGACTCAGACATTAGTTATAGATTAAAAGAAGCTAATCACTAATGTCTTTAGATGAATGCACACTTACACGTAGACATATAGCTTACATGGTATATAGCTTAAGGTATACAAGCTCTGGAAAACTTTGAAATTTTGAGTTGCTCTGGCAACAATTTCCAGGCCTTCTCCCTGCAACTGGTTGCAGAAATTAAAACTCTTTTCCTCCCCAACTCATCTGCATTTCACTATTGGGCCATGAGAAATAGCAGCCCAATGCTCAGTTTGGTCTGGCAACAGAAGTAAATACTAGCTATTTGTAAAATATTAAAATATGTCATAAAAATCTGAGTTTTAGTGAGGCAAGGGAGCATAATGTGTGGATATCTGAGGAGAGTATTCCAAGGACCAGAAGCAGCAGTACAAAGGTGGGATGGTTTATTAGCCTATTTCATACTTTTAATAAAGACAGAACTGAGACTGGGTCATTTATATAAAGGAAAGAGGTTTAATTGACTCACAGTTCAGTGTGGCTGGGGAGGCCTCATTACAATCATGGCAAAAGGGGAAGAAAACATATCCTTCCTCACATGGCAGCAGGAAGAAGTGCCTAGCAAAGTGGGAAAAGCCCCTAATTAAACCATCAGATATCATGAGAACTCACTATCATGAGAATAGCATGGAGGTGACTGCCCCCATGATTAAACTACCTCCCACTGGATCCCTCCTACAACACATGGGGATTATGAAAACTAAAATTCAAGATGAGATTTGGATGGGGACATAGCCAAACAATATCAGATGGTGAATGTAATTCCCAGTCATGATTGTATCTGATGAGCTCCACCAATGGTTGGGAGGCCTCTGAGGCTGGAGTAGAGACAGTAAGAGCAGGTAGGTAAAAGGTGAAATGAGAGAGTTGGGTCTGATGGAGCATGGCCTTGTAAGCCATTTAATGATGTTGGTTTTATTTTGAATGAAATGGGGCCATGCAGAGTTTTGAGTGGAGAAACACATGATAGCCAGTTTGCACAGGACCAGTCTTGCTGATGTCCTGAGATTAGCCACAGTGAATAAGTAGATAAGCAGAGAGATGAGCTGAAAGTCCATTATGGTAATGTAGGCCAGAGGTGATGTCAGCATAAATGAGGGCAATCAGGGGTGCTGAGCAGAGGTTGGGCTCAAGATGTACTTTACAGTAAAAATTAAGAGGATTTTCTGATGGAATGGGTAGGGGATGCGTGAGAGAAAAAGAGGAGTCAAGGAAGGCTCCAAATTGTGGGTAGAGGTAACTGGAAGAATAGAGCCTCCATTAACTGAGATGAACAGACATTGGGAGAAAGAAACACATCTGTGGAAGGGATGAAATTCAAGTGAAGATGATTAATATGAGCTTGGAGGTCAGAGGAAAAGGCCAGTCTAGATATATAAACTTGGAAGTAACGAGCACATACATGGTATTTAAATTCATAGAATTTGAGTAGAATCCCCAAGGGAGTGAATAACAAAAAGAGATTCAAATTTGAGCCTTAGAGCCCTCATGCTAATAGGCCTTGGGATATGAGAAGAAATCAACAGACCATAAAAGGGAGCAGCCAATGAAATAGAAAAAAACTTGGAAATTGCAGAAGTGACATAAAGCGGACTGAAAGGCAGGAATTGATCAACTGTGTTCAATGCTGTTGTTGAGAGGTTAAGAAAATAAGGACTGAAAACTGACCATTAGATTCACAAAAGGAGATCAATCACCAGTGTCCTGGCCAAGAGGACATCTTGTGGAGTGATAGAGTGAAAACTTGAAGGAACAAAGTTCGTGAGTGAATAAGTCTGGAAGTAGCATCTATGAGCTGCTTTTAAAAAAAGAGAGCCAGAAAGTAAGTGAGTTCAACGATTTTTTTAAAACAGCTTTATTGAGATATAATTTACATTTATTTCATAGCCTTGTTTTATATATCCATTTATTTATTTTGAGTTAGGAGAAATAAGATCATGCATGCATGTATTTATTCTGTTGAGAATAATCCAAAAGAGGAGGAAAACCTTGATGATATGGATAGAGATGAATGAATTGCTGGCATAAAATTCTTGGATGGAATCCAGTATACAAATGAAAGAGTTAACCTCTGGCAGTGGCACAGAGAGTTCATCCGGATAAATAAGAAGGTAGGTAGAGTTTGAGTAGAAAGCTGGTAGAGTTTTCTTTTGACAGCTTTTGTTTTCTCAGTAAAACTGGAAATAACGTTATTAATAGAAAGGGATGTTGGGAAAGAGGTGTTGGATGTTGGAGAGGAGAGAAGATATGAAATAGAAGAGTGTGACAGCCAATGAACTAAAAGAATAATTGCCTAGCTGTCTTAAGGGTCCATCTGGGGTAATGAATTTGAGATACACAAATTAGCATATTTTACCCAGTTGTGTTCATCTGCATAGTGTAGTTGGGAGCAGGAAAGAGTTTAATTTAAGCCATGGTTAGGGTTGTGCCAAGCAAGTGCGATGAAATATTCCCCTATTCTCCTAAGCAAAAAGTAGTCTCACTTTCCTTGGAGCTTCCATAGTGTTTCTCTTCAATCTTGCTTATTGAAATGTTCTATCTTGCATATATTCTTGTTGCTCAACAGCCCCTAATAACTTTGTATCATTCTAGTCCTCTATGTGTCTAAGCCTACTGTGAAGCATATAGCAGAATAATTACATCATAATGGTAATCTAAAAAATAGGATTCCCGGGATCAAATCTTCTTCACGATGAAGCCATATATGATAAAGAAAAGAACATCATCAATGGCAGTGTTACTGTAAGTCACATGTCTCAAAGTATAGTATAGCTCCCTCTGAAATATACTTTTTTCTATGTTGGAAAGAAGTCCTTTATGAACTATCTTTATGAATTTGTGAATCATTGAAAGAAACAGAGCTGGGCTTTGTAAAAATGACAGAATCAGTGAGTCAGTCTTTAGTCTCTTTAACCTTCATTTGTTACCTCTTTCTCTGTTCTGGGAGTGAGTCCTCCTCTCCAGCACTAAAATGTCTATTGTTTACCATCTCCAAATGCCTGACTCATAGAAAAAGCTCTGATACTTATACTGGTGTGAGATTTAATATTGCATAACCTTCAGTAAACGTGCCACCTTAACCAGGCAAATGCAATTGAAATGTTCAATCTGTTAAGTTCCGTGCCCTTTCAAAATAATTTAAGACTCAACAAATAAACTAAACAGATTTGGCCGGCCAAGGAGCATGTGTAAAAGCATTCAATATGCATTGGTTGAGGCCCTCAGAACAGGTAGGAATTATTTATTTGTTTTTAATTAGTTGAGTAATGAGTGGATAAAGGGGAAGAAAAAGGATGTTGGTCCATACCTTTTCCCCCTTCCTGGATACTTCTGCTTTTCTGGGGAGAATAAACTAAGGACTGCTTTCACTTTAGCTGCCGAAGTCTTCTTGGTAGCAATTGGGAGCAGATGAAGAGCAAATGGCATCATTGAAGCTGTGGAGTTGGCCTTTCCTTTTTCTAAGTCCACCTGACTGGCACGAGAGATTCCTCCATTGTCAATCCTCTCGATCCTGCTTATGATAGACAAGACCAGAACTTCTCTGAGATTCTAACTTGAACTTCTCTCTTTACCCAGGATATCTAGATACATATTAATGAATGCTATTTTCTATTTAAATTTGCTTTTGTCCTAAAACATTCTTCTTACGTTGTTTCCATTTTAATGTCTTTCTACTTACTTATATATCTTATTGTAAAATAAAAACTTACATCATTGGAGTCTGACATATCCTCGTGAATAATAAAGCTATTACTGTACAGTTATACATCTTAGTACATTTATACCTGTACTTATGCAATAGTTCTATATTTTTTCTAAGAAAATGCCTAATAACATATTGATAAGTAAAGAGTTCTTTGTTTCAAAGTAGGTTAATGTTTAAAATACATTTTGTTGTTAAGGGAAAGACAATCACAATATTTGAGTTTCTTGAGGTATTAAGACTCCTGCAGTGATTAATAGGGGGCAGATAAATGTGTGTATCCTCAGCGTATTTGGTTTTTAATCCTGGGGCTTTTAGTTCCTGGCTTTGTTGTTTGCACAGGGCGGCAAGAAGGCATGCTCTGGGTTTGGTATAAGCTGGATTTGGTCCAAAAACAGGATGTCACAGGAGTAAGGCACTAAACTGACTGAAAATAGATTTTGTCTTTGACAGGCGATGACATTTACCTTTGGTCTCTCATCACCAAGTTTACCACACCTAGCCCATGATGACAGACAGTGGGATGAGTTGGTATAAAAACCAAAGTTACAGGGGCCCTTGCGGACCTGTCTCTCCAGAATGACTATCCTCCATTTCTAGGTCCCAAATCATAACCATGAAGTTGATCTTATGGTACTTGGCTGTGGCACTTTGCTTCTGCTGCAAAGGTAAGAAAGATTTAAAGAATTATTTCCAATGTGATGGACTGCACGTATATATTTGTTTCATTGTTTAGTGTTCTCTACCTCAAACATTTTTCTTCCTAGCAATCTTTCTTACACTACACCTTAGAGTAGGATAAGAAAACTGGATTTTTCATACTTACCTGGCAGGGGAGATACCATGATCACGAAAACTGGATTTTTCATCCTAGTATTACTTCAGCTTTAACAATCCTGTCTTAAGGATGTGGATACAGGCATATCTTGGAGATATCTTTGGGTTTGCTACAGCCATAAAGTGAATATTGCAATAAAGCAGGTCACACACAGTTTTTGCTTCCCAACATGTGTAAAAGTTATGTTTGCCCTATACCATAGACTAAGGGCACAATAGCATTATGTATAAAAAACAATGTCTATACCTCAATTAAAAATACTTTATTGTTAAGAAAATGCTATGATCATTTGAGTCTTCAGGAAGTTGTAATCTTTTTGCCAGTGGAGAGTCTTGCCTTGATGTAGACTGCTGCTAAGTACCCAATGTGGTGACTGCTGAAGGTGGGGGTGGCTGTGGCAATTTCTTAAAATAAGAAAGCTATGACATTTGCTGCATTGATAGACTCTTCATTTCATAAAAGATTTCTCTGTAGCACGCAATGCTGTTTGATAACATTTTACCCACAGTAGAACGTCTTTCAAAGTTGGAGTCAGTTTTCTTAAACCCTGCTACTGCTTTAGCAACTAACTTTATCTAATATTCTAAATCCTTTGCTGTCATTTCAACAGTGTTCACAGCATCTTCATCAGAAGTAGATATCAATTAAACAAACTACTTTCTTTGCTCATTCATAGGAGCAATTTGTCATCTGTTCAAGTTTTCTCATGAGATTGCAGTTCAGTCACCTCCACTTCTAATTCTAGTTCTCTTGCTCTTTCTACTACATCCACAGTTACTTCTCCTGAAGTCTTGAACCCTTAAAAGTCATCCATGAGGGTTGGAATCAGCTTCTTCCAAACTATTTTAATGTTGATATTTTGGCTTCCTCTCATGCATCATGAATGTGCATCTAGAAAAGTGAATCCTTTCCAGGAGATTTTAAATTTACTTTGACTATATTCATCAGAGGAATCAAATCATTATTTATGGCAGCTATAACCTCATGAAATGTATTTCTTCAATACGAAGACGCTAAAGTCAAAATTACTCCTTTACATCTGGGCTGCAGAATGGATGCTCTGTTAGCAGCATGAAAACAACATTACTTTCCATGTATCTCTCCATCAGAACTCTTGAACTCTTGTCAATGAGCAGTAATATTTTGAAAGAAATTTTTTATACTGAGCAGTAGCTTTAAGCAATGGGCTTAAAATATTCAATAAACCCTGCTGTAAACAGATATGCTGTCATCTAGGCTGTGTTATTCCATATATACAGCATTGAAAGAGTAGATTTAGCATAATTCTTAAGGGGCCTAGGACTTTCAGAATGGTCAATGACCAGTGGTTTTAACTTCAAGTCAGAAGCTGCATTAGATCCTAAAAAGAGAATCAGCCTGTCTTTCAAAGCTTGGAAACCAGGCATTGACTTCTCTCTAGCTATGAAAGTCCTAGATGGCATCTTCTTCCAATCGAAAGCTGTTTTGTTTACAATGAAAATCTGTTGCTTAGTGCAGCCACCTTCATGAATTATCTTAGCTAGATCTTCACCTCTGAACTTGCAGCAGCTTCTCCATCAGCCCTTGCTACTTCACTTTGCACTTTCATGTTATGGAGACAGCTTGTTTCCTTAAACTTCTTGAGCCAACCTCCGCCAACTTTAAACTTCTCTTCTGTGGCTCCCTCACCTCTCTTAACCTTCAGAGAACTGAAGAGAGTTACAGCCTTTTTCTGGATTAGGGTTTGGCTTAAGGGAATGTTGTGGCTAGCTTAATCTTGCCAGGCCACTCAAACTTTCCCCATATCAGAAATAAGGCTGTTTTGCTTTTTTATCATTCATGTGTTTGCTGGAGCAGCACTTTTAATTTCCTTTAAGAACTTTTCTTTTGCATTCACACATTGGCTAAGTGTTCAGCACAAGTGACTTAGCTTTCAGCCTGTCTTGGCTTTCCACATGCCTTTCTCAGTAAGCTAACTTTTGATATTAAATGCAAGATCTAGTGATATTAAATGCAAGATCATTTCTGACTTTTGATATTGAATGCAAGATCTGCCACTCTTCTTTTCACTTGAACATTTAGAGGCCATTGCGGAGTTATTAATTGGCCTAATTTCAATAGTGTTGTGTCTCAGGGAAAAGGGGAGCCCAAAAAGAGGGAGAGAGATGGGACCAATGACCTGTTGGTAGAGAGGTCAGAACATATATTAAGTTTGCCATCTTACTGAGCATGGTTTGTGATGCCCCCGAAAAATTATAATAACAACATCAAGAATCACTGATCAAAGATCACTATAATAGGTATAAGAACAATTAATTTGAAATATCGTGAGAATTATGAAAACATAATTCAAAGACATGAAGTGAGCACATGCTGTTGGAGAAATGGTGTCAACAGAGTTGCTAGTCACAGGGTTGCCACAAATCTGCAATTTGTAAAACACGCAATATATGTAAACCTCAGTAAAGTAAAGCACAATAAAATGAGGCATGCTTTTAAACATATGTATACACATTTAGATATGTTTGTTTTTAGCAACTACCTAGAAATATTACTAAGCAGGTCACACAAGATACATATAGGGTTGTTTGTTACTCATTTTCTTGTTATTCAGTTTATACTTTGATGGTTCTATCTAGAATGCATATCCATATTAAGACTAAAGATACAAACAGGTTATCATGTTTTTCACAATCAATAAATTATTACCAATTAAAAAACTGGATCATCATCAAAAGCAACACTTCTTAAACTAACAAACTTCCTAGATATTTTAGAAAGTTCATTAATTAATTTCAGAAATTAATTTAAAGGCAAGATGTCACTCATTTTGAGAAAAGTAAACATTAAGCAAAATGAAAATGTCCATAGAAACAAAGGTTGTTCTGTTTCTGAAAAGGGCGGAAAAGAAGACATTATCCAAACATAAGGGAAAAAGTCTGCAAAAAGCAGGAGATTTTATTTTAATATCGAAACTTAAAATCTATTCTTTAAATTTGAGAGTAGAACACAAAACACACGTTACTTTTCCCTGAGATGCCAGAATATAGAGGACTGTGATTATTTGTCATGGTTAAGAGAAAATATTTCTATGTTTAATTCAACTATCTGGGAAATTATCTGATGAACCATTAGAAAAGGATTACTTTGTGTAATGGTGATTCTTATAACCTACATAGTGCTTTGCTATATTCTTTTTTCCTGTTGTATAAATGTGTTTTTTGTTTTTTAAGAAATGGAGCACAGACCACATTATTTTCAAAGCATTTATTAAATGATGTCTTATCACCATAAAAATAATTTTAAAAGTATTTGTTAAAGCATATTAAATTTGTTGAAGAATTGACTCATGTTTCTAAAGCAAATTCCTATATGTCCATCCATTGTAGTTCTGGAAAATGATTATTTCAATAGACTTTCCATAGATAGGTGATTTATAAACAAGATTCAAAGATTTTATGTATTTACTCATGATGTCATAGTGAGAACTAAGAAACATACTTGGAAAAAATTCTAGTTGCCTTATTTGAAATGAATTTTTGTTGCTCTTAGTCAATGAGATTTATGTTTCAAATATGGACTCCCTTCCTTTTCAGTAGGTTACAAGATAACATCTTGGGGCCTGGAAATTGCTAAAGGCAAATATTTAGGCAGTATCATATAATCAATTGGAAGAAACGTTTGCATTGTTTAACCAAGCATAACTATACAGAAAGAAAAAAATATTGAAAAACAATTTTCTGGTTAAGTAGAAGAAGAGCAGATATAAGAGACATAGCTAAGGCATAAAATAAATATGTATAATCTGGTTTTATTTTTTTCTCAGGCTATTCTGTATTCTCATTAAAGTTCAAATAATTGATTCTGTTCTTTTATTCTTATTTCTTTTTTGTCTAATTCACTGCTTGTGAACACATTACCCAGAAAATGTTTAGGGGAAATAAAAGCATATGAAATTTGGATCAGAAAACATACTTTAGATCAAGAGCTGTAGTTGTGTGAAAAAGATATAAGATGCTGGCTAATATTAATTTGCGAGCTTAATTTATTTGGTCATGCATATATTCAAGTCTGAGTTAGCATTGAGAATTTTGATATCAAGTATGCTGGTAGGTAAATGTGTTACATAGATTATTTCCTATTAAATAAAAAAGCTGTGAAATAATAAATTACCGTTAAAGTATTACAGTTATCAGATATAAAAAATGGATTGCTTATATTGAATTTTAAGGAAGAATAAAAACAAAAAGAATGTCTTTTTCATTGTCTTAAATATGTTATAGGGAATTATAAAATAACTTTTTCTTCGTTTTTAAAATAGATGTGGAAGCCCTATTTTACCGACAGAATTCAGGTCAGTATCCTTCAGGAATTAATCTTTACTTTGAAACATTATGCTGCATTGTGAGGCTGCTTTTGAATCAGAAAATAAATGTGCTTCCTACACACTCGGTTTTGTGAATGAGCTCCCATGACTCCTCATTTACCCCACATGATTCTGAATTCCTTGAGGACAAGATTTTGGTGTATGCTGTTCATCCGATAGTCATAATGCCAAGAGCAGTGGCTACTATGGAGTGGGTACTCACTACATCTTTGTTTTAAATTAATAAAATAAATTGAGATTATCAATATAAGATTTATTTGCCTACAAACATTTTCTACATGAAAGTAACCAAATGCTTCGCAAGGTAAACTTTCTGAAATAAACCAAGGATACCCTAACTTCTTACCAAAGAACACAAGGGACTTCTGGAAATAGCTTAATTCTTTTTTGTGGACATGAAAATGCATGTCCATTATCATAATATATTCTATATAATGATGCCCTTGTTATCTACTGACTTGTGTAAGCCAGTTTGTCCCTATTCCAGAGATGGTTTCTGAGTTTCTCTGTCTGCTTTTGATTTGCCTTTCTGTCCCCTCTCTTCTGTTCAACAACTAGCTCTATGTTCTCACAGGATCATCATGTCTAGGTCCAGCAGCCAGTTACAATTCTTACTTACTGTTTTCAGTCCACTGGGCTGAGAACACCATTGATGCAAGCTCATTAAGCCTTGTACCTGTGGTAAGGATGTGCACTCTGAGTGAGGTCCCAAGAGATTTCTCCTGATGGGGACAGTGAATAAGCAAGAATTCATACACGTACTTGATGATACCTCTATTTGCTGCAAGAGGATTTAGGGACAACTTCTTTACTGTAATCCGCACTGCAGATAGAATTTTCCAGGTGTTTAAACTACAGAGGATATTACTGTGCAGTTTTCTTTTGAAACATTTATATAAGTGTCTCCAAATCCCATCTGTAAGCCATTTCTTCTTAGCCTTTGGCTAAATATGTGTGTGTGCATTTGTTTGTGCAACTACATAAGATTTGTTTTTGACAACAATTTATGAGAACATATGTGAAATGCTTTATCTTTTAAATGTGCTATTTACTGTTTGTCTTAATTTACCCCTTCATCTCTGGGATAGGTTTACTGATCATAAGTCCCGGATTTTCCTGAATTGGATTTTAGTTCCAATTTCTAAAAGTTTATCCTAGTATCAGACCATGTGCCTTGACTCTTTATTTGAATAATTTGGTCAGTTTGGGTTTAGAAAATTTTAAGATTATAGAACATAGAGAAGCATTAAAAACAAACCGCAATTCTGTAAGTCACCAAATAAATATGTCACCAAAAGCATCTTTGAGGTTTCTTTAATATGTAATCAACATGCAACTTTAGGCAATATTTGTTGCCATTGTTAAGTATTTTATTCCACATAATTATTGAGAAAATTCTTTTGGAAAGCAATGACTTGATTTAATAAAAATATTTTTATATTTGCAAATCTTAATAAGTGCATTTGTATGTAAATTATAGTTTTTGTTGCAAACTACCAATTCTTATTGTGAGTTTTTGACTCAGCTGTACTTATAGCTTGACAAGGCTGCACATTTACATGCCATTTATTTAAGTATGGAGAAAATTTACCTTGATTTACAATAATGACAAATAATTTGTAAGTTGTGTATACATAAATTTTAATATTCAGCAGTAAGCTAGAAATTCTAGCCATTTGATTCAGATTAATCGTAGTTTATTCAGTATTTTTGTCACATGAAAATATCTTAACTAAATCTTCTGTATTTTACTAAAAGAATAATAATTAGTGTTTTGAAGCACCTTTTAAGGCATCTAAGAATTATTGAGTTTTGCCACATTCTAATTTATGCATTTGGACTGGGCATGAGAGTGACTGGAAGAATAGCCCAGACTTTCTCTTTTATGGGGGTATTCTGGAGAGGCAGAAATGCACCAATGGCTAATTACCATATTCATGCCTGAGTATTTAATTCAAAGAGTGTATCTCATTGAGAGTACCTCCCAGAGACAGCAAATGGCTCTGATCAAGATTCACTTTCTGCTACTAATGACAGCAATTCTCCTTTTATTTCTTCAGGTGGTAAAACAGCTGCAAGCAGATCAGGTAAATGACTTTGTTCTCATTTCTTATATTGTTTATACTCAAAAGCAATAGGGTGGTAGTGCTTTGCTTTGGACACAGGGCATATCTCCCCTGGAAAAATCCTTCAAAAGCTTAAAACATAATCTCCCTTATTATTACAGACATGCTTTAATGTGTTTTTGTATAACCTGGGCCAGACATTTTAATCTTTGATCAATACTTATACAGGTGGTGAAATTTAAAACGGAAAATTGCTCTGGTTATTTGCTTTTCTAGAATGTCTTAAACCTGTGGTAGAAATGTGTACATGGATTTAAGGCTTTACTTTCCTTATTTTCATCAGCAGGACATGCTGTCATTTTTTTCTTCCAAGATTAATTCCTCAGTGATCTGCTTTAAAATTAATCTAGTTTCAACAGTTTTGCTAGATCCTGTCAGGTGATTGAGTATCAACATTCTCCTTTTCTGTTTGTTTCTCTACCCACGGAAATGAAAATGAGTCATAGCAAATCAACTAGACTGCCTTTATTAAGTTTTTCTGAAATCCAACATTATTAAGATTATTATTGCTAATATCAACTTAGATTCAATTGCATTCTGGTCTATTGTACACAGCAATCAAAATAGTCCAATATACTTTCCTGTGCTTTTCTTATAGGACATTTTACATCCCTACCTTATTCTATAACATAAACAAAATGTAATTTTAAAAAGTTTTCACATAAAGTGAGATTAGGCAGCAGCTCAGTTGTGTCAGAAAGACAGCAAGGTTATTTTTTCACAGGTATGGATGGGACTCATTAAGTTCCATCACAGTGACATAGTAAGAGTTTGTCTACAAAATCTGGTTGTTACTTTTATCGATGGGGGCATAAGAGTCTCCAGCATTCCTTTACAAGCCCCCATTTAAAAATGAGAGAAAAGTAAGGGTACGCTTGGGATTCTATAGTTCTCTGAAAGTTCTTTAAAATTCTGAGGAATTGAATTTACTCTTATGTGTGTCAGGGAACTTTCCAGGTCTGGTTATTATTTAGAAGGGACACGGGGTTCTCCAAGGATAGAGCTGCATTAAGTGAATAAAAATGTCAAGCAAGGAAGTCCCCATTAAACCCTCAACCAGCCAACATTAAACTGGACAAACCATAGGACATAGTATTCCCTCAAACTGTTCATTCCTACCGAGACTCATGCGTTTGAGGAAAGGATTATAGGCCACTACAGGACTTTGTGTTTTTTGATATCCACTGATTTTTACTGATGTCAGATAACATAATTCATTTGTTCCCCTTGCTTTAAAAATCTTCATATCCACACAGCTGAATCATGTTCACCTCTCTTATCCGGCCATTTCTCTCCATGAGGTAGGGGTGAAGAAGCAGAATTATCTCTATTTTTCTTTTCTTCTCCATTCTGTGGTTTAAAGTATAAGCTAACCCTTCCAAAATGTTGTGCAAAATGTAATATAAACATTTTATTTATCCTTAAGTTATGAAATAGATATTTTATTTATCTTTGTGCAGTATATACGTAATCTGTCTTTAAGCAAGATGAAGACACTGTACATTACACTTAAGAGCAAAAGATTTCTTGGCAGATTTTTTTAACCATGCAATCTTGGACAAATTATTCAGTCTCTTCAAAATATCTATTTTCTCATCTACAAATGAAGAAGATTAATGGCACCTACTCATAGAATTGAGGCTACTAAAGCAATGAGGCATATAAAGTACTGTTATGCAGGTGTTGTCCATTTGAAAAACATACTGACCATTACTCCTAGTAACTTCAGCAGTAAATATTTCTGAGCAAGTTTCATATAATAAAAACAAAAGAGATAACATAAAGTTAATAAAGTTAGTGAAGACAAATGTGGCACATTGAATGTGCAGGATGCCAGGTCTACTCATTTCAACATTAGAATGAAGAAATATTGCTCTAATAAAATGAAGGATCTAATATGTCTCTGGAGTTGAACTCAGGAGAGGTATGATGAGTATGACAAACACATCATGAATTAAATAAGTGAAATAAAATGAATCTTAATGAGTTTGATGCAGTAAATTTGCTGAGGCAAGTCAAATGTATTAAAGGACAGGGTTTATCCCAGTTGAATGTTGGCTGTGTGTAAGACACTGGACTAGGTGCATTCATCCCACTTAATACTCTCATTTAATTAATACTTCTATTATGAAGTAGATACTCTCTTATCCTTGTTTATGATGTACTCCCCATGTAGAAGATAGGAAAATTTTGTTTTAGAAATGTTAAATTGTTTATCCAAGGACAGGCCAAGAACACAGAACACAGCCAGGGGCAGCAGTACTATTGCAAGTGTATAAATAATTAAAAATTTATATTGGGCATGGTGGCTCACACTTGTAATCCCAGCACTTTGGGAGGCCAAGGTTGGTGGATGATCAGAGGTCAGGAGTTTGAGACCAGCCTGGCCAACATGGTGAAACCCTGTCTCTACTAAAAATATAAAAATTAGCCAGGTATGATGATGGGTGCCTGAAATCCCAGCTACTCAGGAGGCTGAGGCATGAAAATCACTTGAATCCGGGAGGTGGAGGTTGCAGTGAGCCAAGATCATGCCACTGCACTCCAGCCTGGGCAACAGAGGGAGACACCATCTCAAAAAAAGAAAAATTACAAATAAAAGGAACAAAGTAGCACATAAACTGTGTTTCTCCTACTTCGACAAAAATATATTCATGACAAGCTGGAATGCAGTTTCCTATGCAGAAAATTTTGATTTATTGGAAGCCAATGAAAGAACAGGACTGGCAGTGCCATCGCCAAGAAGGAGCCCGGGCCTTCAATCTCTGGCTTAGTCACACTGGGAGAGACGGCCCAGCTTTCCTCTATCAGTCCACTTCTTTCTGCAAACTGACCACCCTCTGTTCATTCCTCACACCTAGGGCTTCAATCTATGCACTGTGATCTCGCCTGGGGAAGACGGCCTTGGGAAAAAGGCCCATGCAGGTCCAAGTATCAGGCTTGGAGCTGCATCCCTGGGGACTTATTGTCCAGAAAAGGGGAGGGAGGGGCATACACAGGCTCCGAGAAGGCAAAGACTCTTCACCATTGGCCTGTATTCTGTGTTCTCTGAGGAACGCCATGACCCAGGAAGGTCAGCATGAAACCTGCGCATATCAGAGCAGTAACCTCTGTTGCCTGGGTCTAAGAGCGGTAGTGGCCGAGATTAATTGAGGGCAGTAAGTGAGATGATTGCAAGAGTGGGAGTCCAGATGGGTTTGCTGAAAAGTGCATACTTTTCACACAACTGAATACTTCTTTTCTTCCTTCTGCTTTGTCAACAAACTAAGATATTTATACATTAAAATACAGTTCTGAAACTACATGGCATCAGAGAAAGACAATGAGAGAGAAGGTAAAAGAGGAAAGGAGGAAGAGTATGTGGAAAACACGGGTTGATACAGGGAAAGAGGAGATGAGAGGAAATGCTATATGTGGAGAAAGGTAGAATGGTTATTGGAGGGTTACCTAATAGAATAATAATATAATCGACTATACACGAGTTAAGCAGGTGTCTTCCTACTAAACCAAACACCTATCTGTAAATATTTTGATTTCATAATCTCTTAAATGTTGGGTGCCTCTCCCTCAAACTATGTAGTAGACTATTGATTATTCTGAAAAATCACATGAACATTTTAGTTTTGCATGCTATTTGCTTTAGAAAAACAGAATTATATTTGCTAGTAACATGAGAAATGGCTAAAAATCCTAAGATTCTTAGTTGTGGTTAGAGAAATATAATGAAAAACAAAATCTTCTGCCACTTCAGAAAACCTCTTTATGAAAGTAGAAAAGGGGAAAAATTTTTATTATGGAATAAACACTAAAGCAGAATGTGATGCACAAAATAGGCTAAGGAGATTGCCAAAATGGAAAGACAGAGCCAAGTAGCTGTCTTCTATCACACACATGTTCTCAAGAGTAACAACTAGCTCTCACCTGAACTTCATAGCACCATTAGCCATATAGTTCAGCCTAAATTTATGTGGTAGTTGGGGTAGCCACCTGTGTCTGCTGATTGTCTTAAAAAAGAAAGAAAATTTCTTATATATTATGACTGGAGGTAGGTTTGCAATTTGTAACCAGGCACCAGCTGAACTTAGGCTTTTACTTCCCAGGAACCTGGGAACTGGGGAAGTTATATTCCTCTGTGATGACATATCAAAGCGATAGTACCAGCCCCATGAGAAAACATTCTTGGGGTGATTATCTAGTCTTTAAAAATATTTATATACATTTCAGAGACATAGAGAAAGAAATCACAAGTTTTCTAAAGTAAACAATCTAAGCAAAAGTATGTAGGGAGAAAAGTCTCTTTTATTTGGAATATGGAGAATTAAACCACTTACTTTTATTTGCATTTGCTCTTACATATTCAAGTTTTATGTACAAATTATGTGCTTCATTGTCTATTCACTGATCAAAATTTATGTCTTTCACAACTTTACAAGAATATCATTATGACATTATTAATTCTAAAGTATTTCAATTTTATTGTAGAGATTAAAAAAAAATAAATGGCATGACAGAAAGCACATATACATCATGTAAGACAGTGTTTCTTCCCTTAAAAGTTGTTTTTGTTGGTGAATGTATTTACTAAATAAATATGAATTGAGTGTCCTCTATGGTTCAGGCACTGCTCTCCTCACCTGGGATACTTCAGTGAATTAAACAAGCAAAGAAACATTGTGTTTATGCAGCTTAAGACCTAGAAGAAGGATACAGTCAATAAACAAAAAACATTATAAGCAGTAAGCCTGTTATATTACAAGGTGATAAAATCTGTGTCATAAAATAGAGTAATATTAAATATAATGGTAATTGGGAGTATAATGGTAGGCGTGAAGTTGCAGTTTCAGCTTGTCAGAGTGTGCCTCATTGAGATGAAATTTAAGCTGACACTTGAAGGAGGCTAATTCCACAATTAATGTATGAGTACATGGCTACATCTTTGCAGGAATATAGAAAAGAGAGTCAGATACGTTGTTTTAATTTTGTCAGTTATAAGGAACAACAGCCAAGGACAGTGTTGTTCAACATAGCAGAATATTTTGCTGTGTTCTCTTGCCTTGCTATCTATAAGAGAATACCAGAGGCTGGGTAATTTATGAAGAGAGGGGGTTATCCACCTCCTGTATTTGAAGGCTGGATAAGAAGCATGGCACCAGCCTTTACTTCTGGTGAGGGCCTCTTGCCGCTTCAACTCATGGCAAAGGCCAAGAGCAGCTAGCCTGTGCAGAGATCACACCATGAGAGAGGAAGAAAGAGAGAGAGGAACGAGAGGGAATGACAGCTCTGTGGGAACTAACAGAGCGAGATTGCACTCATTACCAGGAGGACAACACCAAGCTATTCTCGAGGGTTTTGCCCACATGACCCAAGCACTTCCCAACAGGCCCTACCTCCATCACAGTGATCAAATTTCAACATGGGTTGTGGAGAGACAAATACCTAAACAATAGCAATGGAGAGAGGTGGGACGCTGGAACTTGGGGCTTAGGAATGGGGAAAGAAGCAGATTGGGGATTTTCTGCTCTGTCCAGGAAGACAGGAGTCTCTAGTACACATCAATTATTGAATTTCCACAGCTGAATTCTCCTCTTTTTGTTGAAGTCTTAGAACCATGACAAAAAGACATGGATAAGGTGTTTAAGTCAAGCAGTGGTATAAGTTGTTTAAGTGCTGCCAGAATAATAGGACTTACATAAAATAAAATGTGGCTTTTCATAGTGGCATAATCAGACCACTTTTATAGTCTGTGCCAACTGCTGTTTTCAAATAAAATCTTCTGTAATTTCCGTAGATGGCTTCTTTTAGGGTAGTTAATTCTCTGGTGACTCAGATAGAAAAAAGCCACTCTTTAGCTTGGAATTTGGTGCTCCAGGAGAGGCTGAAGACAAGTCCAGAGGACGCACATGGTCCCAAGGACATGGCGGCTGTGGGCGTGGCCTAGAGTGCACACATGGTCCAACAACATGGCAACCGCAGGTTCCCCAGCAGGGGCATAGCAAACTTTCTTCTCCAGCAGGAGGCAGGCACAAAGGCACTCAAATGGGCAGGGCAGCTGCAGCAGCCCAGCCTGCTTCTTTAAATTGTGTGCTCTAATGGCCCCTCCCTAGAAGTTTTATAAATTGGCCTGCGAATTAGACCTTTGCTGAAAACATTGGTACCCATCTCCTAAGCCTCATGAGCCTCGTCAAAGCACATTGGTAGAACCACTCATCCCAACAGCTTCCTTTCGTTCCATGCCCCTGTGGTAGTCACTGAAGGGCATAAGAGGCCGTGGGCTTAAGCCCATAATGCTGGTAGGTCCTAATTAAAATCCAGTTCATGGCGAGCCCTCTAATAAAATAGAGCACGCATCCTGGGCACACAAAATTTCGGGGTACTGACTGAAAAACATTTCATTTCAGTACCCATTTTGCTTGGGGAATGCCTCAGGTCAAAGCGGCTGTAATTTTTTTAACTGGGGATGCAGGCTTGCCTTGTGTTCTATTTCAAATAGGTGCTTCTGTTCTAAGCTCAAGTCCCCATTAAAATGTATACTGAAAAATTGAGACCAGTTTAACACACAAGTCTTAAAAAAAGCGGCTCATCTTTCTCTGCTGAACAGAGTAGCCAAAATACCCCCTGCCGAGTGGAAAAACCTGGCCTCCAAAGGGAAGTATAAATTATAACACCATTCTACAATTGTAAAAGTAAAAGCAAGTAGTTTAAGGTCCCCTATGTGCAACTGTTCTTTTCCCTAAGGAATAAGCCTTAGCTCTGTCAGGCTTGTGCCCCTTACCCTATTCAGCCCTCCTCAGGACTACCTCCACCTGTGGATCTCCCTGCGGCAACTACCTCCACCAATGCCAACCAGGGCTCCTCAGCTCCCGTACCCCAACAGGAGCCAGGGAGGGCCAAGACAGCCAGGGCATCTCAGGCTACCCGGATGCCCAAACTCTGCCCCCTACAGGCAGTGAGAGGAGAATTTGGCCCAATAAAGGTGAATACCCCCTTCTCACTTTCTAACTTAAAACAAAATAAGCAGACTTAGGAAAGTTTTCAAATAACCCCAACAAGTATATAAACATTCTTCAGGGCCTAAGTCAGTCCTTCAAATTAAACTGGAGGAATGTCATGCTTTTGCTTAATCAAACCCTAGCCAGTAATGAAAAAAAGGCTGCTCTAGCAGTCGCTCAAAAGTTTAGGGACACTTGGTACTTTAGTCAGGTACGTAACCTAAAAACACCAGAGGATAAGAACAAATATCCCACAGGTACACAGGCAGTCCCTTCCATGGACGCTCGCTGGAATCCAGATTCAAAACGGGGCCAGGGCTGTAAGTGTTTCCTAACCTGTATACTTAAGGGATTAAAGCAAACTAGGAAAAAGCCAATAAACTATGCAATGTTATCCACCATAACTCAAGGAAAGGAAAAAAACCCAACAGCTTTCCTTGAGCGATTGCAAAAAGCTTTAAAAGAGTACACTCCCCTGTCACCATACTCTATTAAGGGTCAGTTAATACTAAAAAACAGGTTTATTTCTGAGTCAGCAGCAAATATCAAGAGAAAGCTTCAGAAGCTAGCTTTAAGAGCAGAACAGAGTCTAGAATCACTGCTAAACCAGGCCAACTCAGTGTTTTATAATAAAAACCAAAAGGAACAGGCTAAAAAAAAAAAAAAAAAACAGGAAAAATCAGAGAAAGGCTGCTGCCTTAAGTTATAGACTTCAGGCAAGCAAACACCAGGGGCTCAAATAAGGGAAAGGCTCACTTTAGCCACCAGTCTAGCAAAACTTGTTACCAGTGCGGTCTAAAGGGACATGTTATCAAAAACTGTCCCCAGAGGAATAAACCACCACCTCATCCATGCCCGCTATGCCAAAGAAATCACTAAAAAGCACACAGTCCCTAGGAACCAAGGTCCCCTGTGCCTAAGGTGTCTAACCAAATAACCCAATGGCAAAACTGAGGATGCCTAAAACAATTACCAGCATAAGCCATCACCCTCACAAAGCCCCAGGTTAAAGCTAGCCATAAAGGTCCCAAAAGTCAATCTTCTCCTAGGCGCCAGAACAGCCTTCTCAGTATTTCTCTCCTGCCCTAAAAACAGTGCTAGTATTAAAAAAGTTACTACCTCTATTCAGTTACTATAAGCTATCTCAAAAGTTAATTAGTAACAAAGACAGGTTGCTAATTCTCTCTGCAAAGGGCACCTCTCTCTGCAAACCAGCTTAACTTTTTAGCTGTTGTAGCTTTAAAAATAGAAGAGCCCTAAATCTGCTAACAACAGAAAGAAGAAAAACCTGTTTCTAGGAAAAATGCTGCTATTTTGTAAACCAGTTTCGTGTTATTTTAAATATAAAACTCAGAGATCAATCAAAAACAGGCCTAGAAACCTTCAAAGACCTAGCTCTGCTCTCTGCTAGGCTCATTTATAACTCTAAGCCTCTCATCTTTAACCACCTGGTCTTATTCATTTCTTGTAAAACCATAAGGTCACAGTTAATCCTGCTGCTAGAACCCTGAATGTCCTTAGCTCGTAAGCTTTATCGTAAACCTGTAAATCAACCTGCACCCCTAAAAGGCTCCCCTCTGGAAGAAACCTCCACTGCAGGGCCCCTTCTACGCCCCATTTCAGCAGGAAGTAGTTAAAGAAGATCAATGCCCCAATTCCAACAGAAGTTAAATTTTCCTGTTCAGAAAGGGGAATGAGGGAAGGTGGTCTCTTTCTGGGTCCATGAAGGGGTGTAGCTTTAAAGGCAAGAATCTTCCAGCTCCATGCCCCCCTCCCATCTCTCTCCATCCTGGAGATTCAGCAGTTTATGTTTGAATTTCGCGGGCACGGGAAGAAACTAAAAATCAGTCACTCCAGCGGAAGTTCTAAGGAACTCCTTTCATTGGCCCAGGGTCTTAGAGAAGGTGGGCGTTTCTCCCAGGATAAAAGTTCGTGCTCCGTCACCTGCGCCAGATTTTCCAGCTTTCTCGAATCCCTTTCCACACAGTGGGAGCTCCCTCTGTGATCTCTCCTCTGGAATCCCCTTCCACACTCTTCTTAGAAGCCTTTCTCCTCTTCTCTTTTCCTTCTGTTTTCTCTACCTAAATAAAATCACCTTCCTGCAACACTTTTTGGGTCCGATATTCACTTTACGAGCATACGGTCCACCTGCAGTGGCCCCACCGCTTACTCCTTAAGAGGCTGGAGGCCAAAAACCCACAACAATCACCGGCATGTGAGAAAAACCTGGTTCCAAGATGGCCTTTACAGTTTCTGCTGGCAGTGCTGTTTTCAAATACAATCTTTTGTTATTTGCTGTGTAAGTGGCTTCTCTTCTGGGAGTTCATCCCCTGGTGCCTCAGACAGAAAAAAGCCACTCTTTAGCTTAGAATTTGGTTTTTCAGGAGAGGCTGGAGACAAGTCCAGACAACGTCGAGATACTGCACGTACAAAGTCAGAAGACACCCTGGCAGGTACTGTTATTGTTACAATATACTTACCTAGCAAGTGTTTTTTTTTTTTTTTTTTAAATAATATGATACCGTTTGTTTATTGAAGACAGAGCCTTAATAGAAATGTGAAGACCCTATAGGCATAATGCTAGTGCCAATGAGAGTGCTAAATTTTTTCTTTAGAGAATTGTGGCAAAGCAGTTCACATTAATTATTGTCCTGGTAATATTTATTTTTATGTTATCTTTATATGTAGTATATTTATTGTTATTATAATATATTTCAGTGTATAAATCAATAAAGTGCTTCCTGAACCCAAATATAGTGTAGGATCTCTCCAATCACATTTCTGTCATCTACCACCATTCATTTTCTACATTAGGATTCTCTCTTTACATTGCAATAAACAATAATATAAAGCTAAACAGTATTATAAAGCACAGTTTCTAAAAAGTTCGTGGCCTACAATTTTTTGGGGATGAAAAAATTTAAATATCTTTAGGTGTGGTATTTCATCTCTTGTTGTATATGCCTGTTCTCATGCTGCTGTGAAGAAATACCCGAGACTGGGTAATTTATAAAGAAAAGAGGCTTAATTGACTCACAGTTCTGCATGGCTGAGGAGGCCTCAGGAAAGTTATGGCAGAAGAGGAGACAAACACATCCTTCTTCATATGACAGCGGGAGAGAGAAGAATGACAGCCCCGGAGTAAAGGGAGAAGCCCCTTATGAAATCACCAGATCTTGAGAAAGTACTCATTATCACAAGAATAGCATGGGGGAAACCCCACCCTTAATTCAATCACCTCCCACCAGGTCCCTCCCACCACACGTGGGGACTATGGGAACTGCATTTCACCTTGAGATTTGGGTGGTGACACAGCCAAACCATATCACTTGTTTAAAATATTTCTTCTCTCCTGCCAATTCAAACTTTTTCTGTATTTTCTTGGTCTCTGAAATCTGTATGGTTTGTACCTCTGCAAAAAAGCCAAAGAAGGAAGTCCAATGAAATAAATCATTTCAATTCTTATATGCAAATTTAATATTTGAGTTCATGTATTGAAAAAGCAGTAACAGCTTTGGGTGTAGGGGTGTGGTTATAATATCTTCAGGCAGGATATAAAATTTTGTATCTTTCAATGAGGTTGATATTTTATCCACATTCACCATGTAGTCCTCATTTAATAGTAAAATATATTTTCTTTAAGGAAACTTTGTTTTAGAAGTGTTAATTTGTTTAACCAAGGGCAGGCCAAGGGCATACTCAGGGTCAAGAATATAAATGTAGGTATATACATAATTAAAAGTTATAAATAAAAGAAGAAAATAGTACATAAAATATCTTTTTGTTTATACCTTGACAACAGTACATTTGTGACAACCTGGAAGGCATGTTCCAATGTAGATTTTTCATGTTTCTTGGAATTCAATGCTGGAATGTTTGGACCTTGACCTAGGCAAGGTCCCTACAGCCCCGCTCCTTCTATCTCCAGCTTAGCCCCATGCTGGGAGGTATGCCCCAGCTTTACTATCTCAGTCCGTCTTCTTCCACACACTGGCCATCCTCTGTCCATCCTTCAGACCCAGGGTTTCAATCATTGTAATGTGGTCTCACCTGGAGAAGAAGGTCTTGGAAAGATGCCCATGTAGGCCCAGATCACAGGTTTGGCTGTAGTCTTGGGGACTTAGAAAATGGTCCAGCAGTGGGGTAAGGGATGACACAGGCTCTAGGTAAGTATTGCTTTTTCACCCTCAGCCTGTAGTCTCTGCTCTCTGAGGAGTGCCATGACCCAAGGAAGGCCAGAGTGAGACTTGCATAGATCAGATGAGGAACTTCCAAAATGTGTGGATTAGATGATTAAGTCCACCAGTGGCATATATTGTTTCAAGTGCTGCTAGGATAATGGGAATTATACAGAATAAAATGGGGCTTTTCATGGTTTCATAATCAGATGACTTTATATTCTGTGCTAATAATGCTGTTTTCAAATAAAATCTTGTGTCATTTGCTGTAGGTGGCTTTTCTTACGGTAGTTCATCCTCTGGTGACTCAGACAGGAAAAAGCCACACTTTAGCTTAGAAATTGGTGCTCAAGGTGAGGCTGAAGACAAGTCCAGAGACCGTTGGGATGCTGGAAGTTCACAGTCAGAAGACACCCCAGCAGGTACTGTTGCAGAAAAACACATGTACTTAGCAAGCAAGTGCTGTTTGTTTTCATTTTGGATAATCTGAAAATCTATGTTTTCTTAAAGACAAAGCCTGCATAGAAATAGTGGGAACCCTAAAGACACTAATTTCAGAGCCGACTAGAGTGATAAATTCTGTCTTTAGAGAATTGTGGCAAAGAAGTTTACATTAAATTATTGTCCTGATAATCTTTATTTTTAATGCTATCTTTGTAATTAGAATCTTTATTATTATGACATATTTCAGTCTATGAATTAATAATTTAAAATGCCTCCTGGATCCAAATGTAGTGTAGGGTTTCTCTATTCATGTTTCTGTAATCTAGCCACCATTCATTTTCTACACTAGGATTCTCTCTCTCTCTCTCTCTTTTTTTTTTTTTTTGAGATGGAGCATCACTATGTTGCCTAGGCTGGAGTGCAGTGGCTCAATCTCAGTTCACTGCAACATTTGCCTCCTGGGTTCAGGAGATTCTCCTCCCTCGGCCTCCTGAGTAGCTGGGTTTACAGGTGTGTGCCACCACACCCATCTAATTTTTGTATTTTTAGTAGAGACGGAGTTTCACCATGTTGATCAGGCTGGTCTCAAACTCCTAACCTCGTGATCTACCCACCAAAGTCTCCCAAAGTGCCAGGATTACAGGCATGAGCCACCGCACCTGGCCAGATTCTCTCTTTAAATTACACACTCAGTTTACTAAAGGGTAGCATAAAGCTGAGCTTCTGAACAGTGCATAGACTGCAGGTTTTTTTTTTTTTAAGGAAAAAATTTAAATGTCTTTAAGTGAGGCATTTAATCTCTTGTTTGACATATCTTTCCCTGCTGGCCTATTTAAACTTTCACTGTACTTGCCAGGTCTCTGCAACCTGTAGGATTTATACTTCTACATGAGAAAGAAACAGGTTCAGTGAAATAAATAACTTTAGTATTTCATATGAAAATTTAGTATTTGAGTCCGTGTAATAAAAAGGCAGAAATAGCTTTGGATGTAGGGGCGTGGTTGTAATATCTTTAGGTAGGACATAAAATTTTATCTCTTTTCATGAGTTTGGTAATATTTTATCCTCATACAGTACGCAGGGCCCATTTAATAGTGAAATAAACTTTGTTTAAAGAAACTTTGTTTTAGAAATGTTAATCTGGTTAGCTAACGACAGGCCAAGGGCACAGTCAGGGTCAAGAGTATAAATGCAGGTGTATGCGTAATTAAAAGTTACCAATAAAGGAACACAATACTATGGAAAATGCGTTTCTCTTTCTACTTTGACAAAAGTACACTTATGACAACCTCGAAGGCAGAATCCAACACAGAATTTTCAGGTTTATCGGAATTCAATGCAAGATCAGTGTTGACAGTGCCCTAGCTAAGGTTCCCATAGTCATGCTGCTTCTGTCTCTACTTATTCCCATACTGGGAGGGACATCACAGCTATTCCGTCTCTGTCCATCTCCTTCTGCACACTGTCCGTGCCTTATCAATTCCCTCAGGCTGAGGGGATCATATTTGCAACGTGGTCTCACCTAGAGAGGAGGGTCTTAGGAAACATGCCCATGCATGGCCATGTACTAGACTAGGGACTGCAGCCCTGAGCCCTAGAATATGATCCAGAAAGGAAGACGGGGATAGCACAGCCTCTGGGCAGGGAGGCATAATCCCTTCGCTCTTGGCCTGTATTCTGTGTTCTCTGAGGAGCGCTGTGACCCCAGGAAGGCCAGAGGAAGATGTGGGTAGGTTAGGACAAGAATCCCTGTTCGCTGAGTGCAAGAGAGCTACTATCCAAGGCTACTGATTGCAAATGGGGGAACTCAGATGGGTTTGAATTAAGAGTTTATACTTTCGCTCTGACTGAGTACAGCTTTGCTTCCTTCTGCTTTGCCATCAGACTAAGATATTTATATATTAAGGTGCAGCTCTGAAACTACATGACATTGAAAAAGACAATGAGAAAGATGGTAAAAGAGAAAAAGAGGAAGAGTATATAGTGACAAAGGGTAGATAGATGGGAAGAGGAGGAAAAGAGGGGAAATACTGTATATAGGAAGAGTAGTACAGGTAATCGTGGTTGGAGGGTTAGGTAATAAAGCAATAATTTACATTGGCTGTATACAATTTAAACATTGTTTTAGTCCTAAAACAAACACCTACATGCAAAATTTCAAAATCTCTTAAAAGTTGAATGCTTTTCCCTAATACTACATAACGGATTATTATTTTGACTCTTCTCATAATCAGAGACATTTTATTTTTAATATTTGCTTAGAAGAGTAGAGGTGTACTTGCTAGAAACATGGAAAATGGCAAAGAATTCCGAGAGTGGTTGTTGGGAAATGTATTTAAAAACAATCTCCTGCCACTTCTGAAAACCTGTCCTGACAGGCATCTTGCTACAAAGATTGCAGGCACACAGAAATCTTTCTCTTTTATAAAACAAGCAGATAAACCCCATTACATATAAGATGTGAAGATAAGCAATAACTAGTTATCGAGTGGACTTGACAGCACCATTAGCCACAGAGTTCATCCTACATTTACATGGTAGTTGGGGTAGCCACCTGTGTTTGCTGATTGCTTGTAAAAGAAAAAATAAGTTTCTTGTATATTATGACTGGAGGTAGGTTTGTACTTTGTAGCCAAGTACCAGCTGAAGTTAGGCCCCTACTTCCTAAGAGTTTAGGAGATAAAGAACCATCATCCTTCATGACTACATTTCAAAGTATTGGCTCCCAGCCCCTTGAAGAAACATTCTTGGGGTGCTTATTTAGTCTTTAAAAAGATCTATATACATTTCAGAGAACTAGAGAAAGTATTCATAAGTTTTCTGGAGGAAATGATCAAAGAAAAAGTATTTGTGGAGGGAGAAGTCTCTTTCCTTATTTTAATAGGGAAAATTAAATCACTTACTTTATTTGTATTTATGCTTACATAGTCTTCAAGTATTACTTACAAATAATTCATTTTTTTATTTGATGAACAAAATGTATGTCTTTGACAACTCTACAGGAATATCACAGTTATTAAGATGTTATTAAATATGAAGTATTTAAATTTTATGTAGAGATTTCAAAAAATATACAAACGGCATAATAGAAAGCATATACACTTTGTGTAGCAAAATATTTATTACCTTAAGAAGTGGTCTTTGTTGGTGACTGCATTTATTAAATAAATACTGAGTGCCCTCTATTGTTGAGGAAGGTCTGGATACCTGAAATCCCTCGCTCAACAGAACAGGCAAAGAAACCTTGAGTTTATGTAGCTTAAAATGTAGAAGGATACAGTCAATACTCGATAAACATTATAGACAGCGATAAAAGGTGTATCACAAGGTGATATATTTTACCTTGTATATTACAAGGTGATAAATTCTGTGGGATAAAATAGAGTAATAGAATGGTAATTGGAAGGGTAACAGTGGAGTGGGATTGCAATTTTAAGTTGTCAGAGTGTGCCTCATTGAGGTGAAACTTGAGGTGAATGCTACGATTAATTCATAAGTAAATGCTTACATGCGTTCTTCCTTGCAGAAATACATAAAAGAGAATCAGGCATGTTATCTTAATTTTATCAGCTATAAGGAACAGTAGCCGAGGACCATGTGGATTTAACACGGCAGAAAAGTTTGATTCGGGAAAGCGTGATGCTGGAACTTGGGGCTTAGGAATGGGGAAGAAAGCAGACTGAGGAGCTTCTGCTCTGTCCAGGAGAAGAGTTTCTAGTACACATCAATTATTGAATCTTCATAGCTCGATTCTCTTCTTTTTCTTGAAGTTTCAGAACCATGACCAAAAACTACAGATAAGGTGATTAAGTCAACCAGGGGTGTATGTTGTTCCAAGCGTTGTCAGGATAATGAGACTTCACAAAACAAAACGTGGCCATTCGTAGTATCATAATTAGACTAATATAACTCTGTTATTGTTTTATTACCTAATCCTCCAAGTACTCTTTTTTTAGTCTGTGCTAGCAATGTTATTTTCAAATAAATGTTTTCTTTCTTCACTGTAGGTGGCTTTTTTTATGGTAGTTCATCCTCTGGTGACTCAGACAGAAAAAAGCCACTCTTTAGCTTTGAATTTGGTGCTTCCGGAGAGGCTGAAGACAAGTCCAGAGAACCTCGGGATGCTGAAAGTTTAAGGTCAGAAGACACTCCAGCAGGTACTGTTACAGAAAAAATATCGACCTAGCAAGCAAGTGCATTTCGTTTTCATTTAGGATAATCTGATAATCTTTGGTTTGTTTGTAGCACATGTCTTTAATAGTAATAGGTACTCTAAAGGCCCTGACTCCAGGGCCAATGAGAGTGCTAAATTCTGTCTTTAGAGAATTTTGGCAAAGATGTGTACATTAGATTAATTTTTTTCCTGATAATTGTTTTCCTGTGCACTCTTCATATTTGGTACTATTATTCTAATGATGAGTTATTTTTCTGACACTTTTACTGTATAAGTTAATAATTAAAAATGCTTCCTGGGCACAAATGTAGTATAGATTCTCTTTGCTCTTTTTTCTATATCTAACCAACTGATTTTCTGTATCAGAATTCCCTATTAAAATTACATATCCAGTTTGCTGAGTGATATGATAAGAAAGAGTTCCTAAACAGTTTGTGGCCTGCAATTTTGTTTTTTGGGGGAAAAATTTTGAATTTCTTTATGTGAGGTGTGGCCTTGCTAGTTCGATACATGCTTTTTTTTTTTTTTTTTTTTTTTTTTTTTTTTTTTTTTTTTTTTTTTTGAGATGGAGTCTCGCTCTGTCACCAGGCTAAAGTGCAGTGGTGGGATCTGTGCTCACTGAAACCTCCATATCCTGGGTTCAAGCGATTCTTCTGCCTCAACCTCCCGAGTGGCTGGGACTACAGGTGTGCGCCACCACACCTAGCTAATTTTTGTATTTTTAGTAGAGACGGGATTTCACCAGGTTGGCCAGGATGTTCTCCACCTCTTGATTTCATGGTCCGCCAGCCTTGGCCTCCCAAAGTGCCGGGATTACAGGTGTGAGCCACCGCGCCTGGCCTCAATACATTTTTTCCTACTGTTCTACTCCAGCTTTTACTGTGCTTGCCTGGTCACTGAAATCTCTATGGTCTGTAACACTACAAAATGGGAAGGAAGCAGTCTCAGTGAGGAAAATAAGTTCTATATTTTACATTAAAATTTAATAGTTTTGTCTAGGAGGTGAAAAGGCAGAAACAACTTTGGATATAATATCGTCATGAAGGACACAACATTTTCTACCTCCCACTCACCTGTCTTGGGACTGACAAACTCAGTAGAGCTAAGGAGTTAAGGCAGATCCCTTCACTCTTGTTTATATTAGGTGTTAGTCGTTTTCTCATGTTCTGTAGAACACAATAGAAGTTTACTGTCAGTGGCCTCAAAGCTTTGCATTTCTTATGAAATTCTTTCACATCTCATGGTCAATTGGTTGCCATTCTTACTCCTGATTCTACTATGTAGAATTATATTTAGAAAGATATGGAATAAGGGAGATCAAGGAATATATCAGAAACTAAAATGTGACTCTGCTTCGAGCAGTCTGTAGGAGATTAATTTCTTGTATTGTATGAATGAATACAACTTTTCTGTGGTAATGTTTGTACTTTTGTATGGTAGATGAAACCAGTTCAGCAGGTGGTACTGTTTGGTGGTACTGCTTCAAATCAAAATGAAATTGGTAGGGGTCCCTGATCAAAATGGATTAGGTGTACATGCAATAAATGGATTAGCTGACTCTGATTCTGCTGCCAGGGAAACAGGTATTCTATGTTGTTGATTAGTTTATGCTTTTGTCAGAATAATCAATTAATTGATTTAATTTACAAAGCAGGAGTTGGTGGTGTTTTTGACAAATACAGATTTAATATTAAAGGAATTCATGAGAAAAATTTGTTAACTTTCTGGTTCATAAAGGATCTGTATTAACTTCAACAGAAATCAGCAATTAAACACTTTAGTGAAGAAGCAAGTAGGTTTGAGGCTTTTATTGAAGGAGCTTAGAGCTGGGAAGAAGAGACCCAGTTACTATCCCCAGTCTTTCACACTAACCTTTGGGAAAACCATTTAACTTCTCTTATTCCCGAGTTTTGTCACCTGGAACAGGTAAATTTTGGGCTTTTGTGGTTGAATGACATCTACAATGTTAACTTTTAAAATCCCATTATTAATATTTGACCTAGTTTTCTTGAAAAACAAGGCTGGAGAAAATAAATTTGCAAAAGTGTGGAAAAATAGCATTTTATATTCAGAAACTAGGGCCAATGAGGGAAGTGAGTGTCAAGAAAACATAGTAACTCTAGGTATTTTTGACTTAGAGCAATTTGCCCTAAGACATGGACACTGGTAGAAACAGGAAGAACAAGGAGTTCGCTGGTGATAAATCCACGGACCTTCGTACTCATGTCAGTGACTCAGGAATTCTGATTCAGAGACTATTAATGCAAATAGGAATAATTGTTATTCTTTGTTTATTATTCCTGATAACACTTTAATTTTTCATTAGTCGGGAATGTTTTGCCTTTTGATTTTGGAGTTGGTAGTGAAAAGAAGAGTGAACTGGAATTTGGCTTGGTAATTCTGGCTTGGTGAAGTTGGTGTCAGAGGTCTTCAACAAAGGCTTTGGTGAAAATGAAGTAGAGAACACTGGAAATCAAGTTCCAGTGATCTATATATTACAATTCAGGTTTTTGCCTCAAAATAAAGAACCATAAAATGTGTTAAAATATTCCCTTGGTGACAATGATTTTTTTCTTTCTTTCTTTCATTTTTTTCAGCAGATAGCACCAACACAAGACTTGGTGCTGGTTTTAGTAGCAGTGGTGCCTCTCTGAATGTGGGATTTGGTTTGGGGACCTCTGATGAAAAGAGATTGGAAGTCGGTAGAGCTGATGGGAGTGAAACTAGAGGCAGTGGACCTGCTGGGGGTGAAACCATAGTCTTTGGATCTGATGCAGGTAGCTCAGGTATTCCAACTAAGGCTCATTCCTAAACATTTAAGATTATTTCAATTAATTAATTAGTTAAAATACTTTTAATACTTAACAACAAAGAGGTTACTTAATATTAACTTTAGTAATATTTTGATTTTTCCGTTAGTTGGAACTGTTTCTTCTGGTTTGAAACTTGCAGCAGGGAAAGGTGATGCTGCATTTAGTTTTGAAGTTTCTGATTCGAGTTCATTTGGTGACAGTGGCATTATTAGCAAAACAGTTGAAGGAGATCAAATGAGTAGTTCTGGAGGATCTATTTCCGTTGATTTAAGTATTAATGTCTGACTTTTGTGCATAAAAACATTTGAATCATATGTTTTTAATACATCGTGACATTTATTTTATATTCTGCAGGTGATACCAGTTTAAGAAGTGAGAATCAATTTGTTGGTGGTGGCTCTCGAAATCTGATATCCAATTTATGGGATTCTGGCCAAAAGGGATTTGGAATCAAGGAAATTGGAGGGAATGGAGTGAGTGGCAGTGTATCTGCTGAGGCTGGATCCAAAGGTGTTGGATCTGATGCCAGTAGCTCAGGTATTTTAGCCAGTTTCCGTTCCTGAGATATACAACTGAATTCCAAATATGAATTTATTTAAAATATTTTGATTTTTCTATTAGTGGGAATGCTTGAGTCTCTTGAATTTGGACTTGGAGGAGAAAAAGTTAGAGCTGGATTTGATTTTAGGTATTCTGATTCAGGGAAATTTGGTGATAATGACCTTAGTGAAAATGGAATAAAAGTTACTCCAGCACCTAGTTCCAGTGGCTTAGGTATTGTTATTTAATGTCTTTGCATAAAAATTTGAATAATAAACTTATTGAAATGCATTCTATGATAATCATTTTCTATCATGTAATTGGTACCAGTCCGATAAAAAGGGATAATTTTTTTTGTGATATATCAAAAAATTTAGGCTTTGATTCAGTGAAATTTGGTCAAAAGGGATTTGAAAGAAATGGATCTGGTTGGAATGAGCAGAGCAGCAGTGGGTCTGATGTCAGTGGCTCAGGTGCTTTAGTCCTGGACTCTGCTCTGGTGAAATCTAAAATGATTTCAACCTTTCATCCATTATTTTATTAACATTTTATTTCTTCACCAGTGGGAAAGTCCTAGTTATTTGAATTGGGACTTGGAGAAATGAAGGTTGGAGCTGAATTTGACTTTAGAGACTCTGGTTTAAATCAATCTGGTGACAATGGCAACAGTAGTAAAAATTTTGATGGAAATGGAGTGGGTAGTTCTAGAGGCTATAGTTTGAGGTGCTGATAGTTACTTTCTGTGCATGGAACAATTCTGAATCATGGTATGCATTGAAAGTAATTCTAGTGACCATATTTTGTATTCAACAGGTGGCTCAAGTGCAAAAAATGGGTTTGAATATCCTGGTGGTATCTCTGAAGATTCAGGAGTCATATTGGGGTCATCTGATCAACATGGATTTAAAGTCAGTAGAACTGGTGGGAATAGAAAGAGAAGCAGTGAACCTGCTAAGGCTGGAAGCTTGAGTCCTGGATCTGATGTCAGTGACTCAGGTATCCTAACCTGGACTCTATTTCTAAGAAATTCCAATTAATTTCTTTCTTCTTTATTTCTTTTATTTACATTTTGATTTTCCATTAGGAGGAAACACTTGGTCTTCTGGTTCTGGAAGTGGTGGAGAAAGTAAGAGTACAGATGGACTTGGTGTTAGTGCTTCTGGACTAAATGGTGAAACTGGCCTTAGTGGTACAGGTACCTGTGATAACGGAAATAATGTTACTGGGTCTTGTTCCTATGGCATAGGCATTGAGATTTCTGATGATCAGAAAATCAGAATTCTAAGATACATCTTAAAATAACAGTAAAAATTGAAATCATTATTAATAGCAATCATATAAAAAGCAGGTCTACATTTTAAAATGTTGAAATATGTTTAGATATGATCAGGCAAATGATTAACATTTGTTGGCATAAGATGTGGAACTGGTTTCATGGCTGTGAATATATCAACGTGGAATTCTTTTAGTTGCCTTTATGCAAAATTGATTTGGATTCAGTTGAAGAGATAGTTAAGCTAGCAGCTGAACTATTGAGCTCAAACTTTGTATCCTGTATCTGGACTTGGTGACTTTAGTTTTCTTTGCGAGCCTATTGCTGAGAAGAGTAAGGCTTGCATCCATTTTTGAAATCCTCATAAAATTTAATATCTCCACTTAATGAAAACGATTGCATAGTCTTGGAATTTGTAGTACACATTGTTAAAATAATATGTATTATTGATGCAGAAATTGTTTTGATGCTGTTATCAGGGCTGGAAAATCTTGGGAACCACTAGAATAGATGACAATAGAACTGGGGGCAGTGGCTCACTTCCCGTCAAATGGAAGTTGTGGAAAGTATTCAGGATTCATCTTTAGAATTCAACTTTAGGATTAATATCTTTTTTCTAAACAAGTTATATATAATTATCAAGAGATATAGTGTAATGTAGTAACAGTTGACCAGACACAGGATTGACTATCAATTAATTTGTTCCAAGAAAGGCCTGGTCATACAGAAATAATAATTTTACTTTTGGTTGTTCTTAATGTTTGGACATCAATTTTGAAGTCAACTCTTCCATGGAACTAAGAAATTTGAAGTCGTTCATTATTTATTGGCACTGATTTTGTTTAATCACAGTTGGTACAAATGATTTAAAAGACACCTAATTTCTGATCTCTAGACAGGCTGCCATCAGCTCAGGTATTCAAATTAGGTTTTCTTCCTGAGAAATGTATTCAGAATAATTATGTCTAATGTTTCCAGTGTGGAGTGGTTGCGAATTTGAGGAATATATATATATATTTTGCTATTTGGATGTCAGGTTTTAACTGCTTTGATTTTTCCACATGAGATAGACTTTACTAAGTAGTGTTACTTTTGGTAGTGTATATAATGGCGGTCAATCTAGTGGCTTTGCAATGAGAAGTCTGAATCTCTTGACATTAATGAAGGCGTCAGTTCATTTAGATTAGTGGTTTTCATATTACTAGTTTCTGAGTGCAGAATCTTTTGTTCAGTTGACCTCTTGAAATAGTTCCTAGGTTTCCTAAAACTAAAACAATTCAGAATGAGAAACAGTTTGGTTGACAGTGGGATAGGAGACCTAGAGCCCTGTCTACTGAACCTTGTTCTTTTACCTTTGACAAGTTTTAAGACAAATGACCTAGAAAACAAAAATTGATTTGCTGTAGTTAATTTAGAGGCAAGGCATTTAATTTTCTTACCCTAGCAGGTTTTTGAGTTGATTTTTTTTTTCTTCTACAGCTTTACATAGTCTTAGTCTGCTAGTATTAGCATTACTGGTCTAGGATCTATGGTCTACCCATTAGATTTTCTTTAAAAATTACTTTACCAAGTAAAATCATACACATAAAATAGGCTAATCCTTTTGTATTAAAATAGGTGTCACCAGTTCATCTGAATACAGTACGTCTGAACCACTCAATACTCCAGGTAATTTGATTTATGCTTTTGGGTATTTAAAAAGATACATATACACACACATACACATGTGCTTACAATGTTGTGATGTTCTGCTGATTATTGATTTACTAGGACTTGATATTATTGTTTCTCATATTGAGCTCTTAAGTGCTGCTTCTCTTTGGATACTAAAGTTTAGATGATCAACTAAGTATTTGAAATAATTTTATGAATAAGAGAGATTAAATCACATTTTAAGGGAATTTGAATAAAATAGATTACAACTCTTTTACTATTTTAGACATACATTTTTAAAATTCCTTCATAAATAAATTAGGAGTTCAAACTGTTTCCACTCAGTCTGAGTAAAGACAACTTGTAGTAAAGAGAAGAAGCTTCAAGATAGATAAAGAGCATTTTGAAAAAGATTTTATAATTCTATCAAAATATCCACTTTGTTATTGTTGTTGTTGCTTACTTTTAGACCTTACCCTAAGATTGAATATAAATTTACTTGGTTACATAAAGGGTCATTAGATATAAACAATCATAATAAATGTAGTTTTAAAGTATACAGATTTTTCCATGTAAGTGGGAGAAATACATTTTCCTCACATACAGATAATAAAATTATTAGTATTAGATAATAGACTGATTGACTAAAATGTACGTTGGTCTTATTTGTGCCATGGCTTCTGATAAAAATGAGAATGCAATGTTTTATTTCCAAAGTGAAAAAATATTTCTGTAAGGGGGGAAGCACAAATTAGTAATTGTACAGGATCCCAAATGCATAAGCTCTTAATGATTCATGAACATACTGAAAAAATATGAACTTCAGAGATAATCATGTATATGACTTTGGCAAGTCCCAGTTCTCACAAAGTTATATATGTTATATAATATACAGAATAAAACATTCATTGATGGTCTTCTATACCAACTTTTAAGTTCCCATGTAGAAGTTTCAATATCTTATATATTTAGAATGAATATATATCTTAAAATTGAAATAATCTATGCATTGTGTTGAATAGAAAAAGGATCCCATATTCCAGAAGCAACTCCAAAATACTCAGAAACAAGTGCAATTATTGGTAAGTAAAATGGTTGTGATATTCATCCATATATTTATGCACAAGCCAGTACCTAATGAGGTCATAGAATCAAATTCACAAGATTTGAAACTAGTTTTATTTATTTATTAACAAGGTCTAACTTTGCCATCCAGGCTGGAGTGCAATGGTGAAATCATAGCTCACTATAACCTCTGACTCCTGGTCTCAAGCAATCGCCCTGCCTTAGCCTCCTGAGTAGCTGAGACTACATGAAGGCACCACAATGAGTGGATATTTCTTTTGCTTGGTAGAAGTGGAGTCTTGCTATGTTGCCTATTCAGGTCTTGAACTCCTGGCCTCAAATGATCCTCCCAACTCAGCTTTCCAAAATGCTGAAATGATGGGCATGAGCCACTGTGCCCAGCCTGAAACTAGTTTGAAAAATGTCCCTGTCATCTGTCTGTTTAATCACTGTATGTTTGAGTGACATCACATTTGTACCATTTTTTCCTCCAAAAATCATGTATACGCACATACACGCACACACACATACATCCATACACACACACACACATATATATATATATATATATTTATGTAGAGAGACAAATGATATAATTCTTTACCTTCATTCACTATAAATGGGACCTCATTCAGACTTAGAAAAACCTCTGTAAAAGAAGCAAAGCAAGAAAGCATACAAACCACCACTTCCCTCCATGTATTCCTTCCCGTATTAGAGACAAGTTTTGTTTTCCTATGGGAGACAACATATTTTTAGTCTTGCTTTGTTTTAGCCAGAATGGCCAACTTAGGGTACTCTAAAGAAGTACTCACGTACTAGTTTTAGTGAATCTTTGCAGTGATGAAAGAAAGCAAACACTGATTTATGTGGTGACTATGAGAGTGGAACCTTTCAGTGATTTTATATGATTTTATTTCTCTTAGGACAAAAACACTTTAAAACAGATCTAAAAAAAAAAACAGATCTAGAAGTTATGCTAATTGTTCTAAATAATTATGTACATGTTTCTCTGAATATTTTGTAGGTGAAGCGTCTACCTGGAGCAAAGGAGCATATAAATCTTTCAATGGCCGAATCTTTTCCTTTGAATCTTCATGCCCATACACTTTCTGTCGTCACTGTGTTGAATCTGGAGGAGATTTCAATATTGAGATCAAACGAAACAATGATAGCGAGATTGAAAAAATAACAGTTCTCATTGACAATAATGACATCTCTATTTTTGGTGACACTATTTTAGTTCATGGAGAAAGGTAAATACCGTAATGTTTTGGGTAAATGATATAAAATTATTTTAAGTAATCTGAACAAAAAAAGAAAAAGGAAAAGAAAAAGATAAAAAGGGAGATGGTACTTACTTCTGATTTTGATGCTCATAATGATATTTATAATTGATTATTGGCCAAGAGTTTGATAAATGTGTAAGACTTTGACATATTTGGGATTTTAAGACATTATATTTATTCCTATAACAAGATGGAAAAACAAATTTGTTTGACTATACTGAGTATCTAGATTACGGGAAAAATGTGTATTCAACAAAATTGAATATTTTTGTTGAATATTTCAGGATATTTCACTTGTCATTTGCAAGTTTAACACCAATATAAATTTGAGATTTTATAAATTAGAAATTGAAGAGAGTAGAACTTGTAGTCCTTGCTTTTTAGAGGGAACAATTCGGATTTGGAAGGGATGGCATATTTGAATACTTTCCAGGATAAGAAAATGAGGCATGATATTCTACTTGTGAACATTTCAAGTTATTTCATCATTTTTTTTCTGACACTGAACCAGTGTCATCTTGTTAATTTTTCCAAAGCCCCAAGGATCTATTAGTTGTTTTTTAGAAGTTCATCTGATATTCAGAAAAGACACTGTTTCTCCTTTTTTGAATTGATAAGAAAACTTTAATATTTACCAGCAAGAATTATATCTATAAGATACTAAATTGTTGTGTGACATGAATTATCAAAAAACATATAATAGTATGATTCTTACCTTTTTACCTATACTTGTATTTTATACTTTTCAGTGTACAGATACCATATAACAATAAGTTGATTCACATTAAAAAATTTGGAGAATATAATGTTCTGAATAGCCGTAGAGGAATCCTGACTTTAATGTGGGACAAAAATAACAAACTCTCAGTAAGTCTATCTATGATTTTCTTGTAATCCTGTGCTTTTTGTCCTTTTGTTAAGTTATAAAAACAATACATTATAAGGGAAGTAAGAGCTAAGGTTTATTGAGAAATCTCTACGTATTCATCACTATACTAAGAATTATCTCATTTAATATTCAAAAATATCTTAAAGTACATTCTATTACTAATCATATTTTAGAGATGATGAAGCTCAGAAAATACAGAGTAAGAAAACTTATTAGGTTGGTGCAAAAGTAATTGTGGTTTTGACCATTAATTTTAGATGGCAAATACTGCAATTACTTTTTCACCAAATAATCTTTTTGAAGACACATCATAAATGGTAGAGTCAGGACCTATTTCAAATTACAGAGCCAGGTCCTTAAGAAAAAGACCTTTAAAACCCCTAAGTAACTGGCCTATATGTAATTGAATTTGAGGAAGCACAGCCTTTTGGTTTGAGTTCATTTTAAGATATGTTTAATATTTCATGAACATATACATGTAATTTTTTTTTTAAAGCTAACTCTTCACAAGCAGTATCCAACTTGTGGTCTTTGTGGTAACTTCAACAGCACTCCAGGTAAGATTCCAATGTATCATGTTTAAGAACTTGCTTTCTAAAACAAATTTAAAAACGAAAGTAAAAATAATCATGTGCCTTTTATAAAGAATGAGAACTTGTTAAAATAAAAAAATCTACATTGCCAAGTCTATGTGTAGCTTGAAAATAATGCACACATAAAAAGAATAACTTAAATAATTCTTTCTTTTTAAGGACAAGATATTAATGAGCACATTGCCAATAGTAAAATTCCTGGTAATTGTCCCAGTGCTGTTGGTAAAATCTATGAAGTTTGTGAAGATGGAATACAGGCAAGAAACTTATATTTCCTTGTGTGGCAAATTCTAGCAATAGTTCCCATTGTTTACATTTAGGGTACACAACACATATACATGTTTGTCTGGCATGAGTTTGGCATCTTTTAATTTTTTGATAGTAGCCATTCTAACAGGTGTGAGGTGATAGCTCTTGGTGGTTTTGATCTGCATTTCCCGGATGGTTAATGATCCTGAGCACCTTTCATATTCCTATTGGACATTTGTGTGTCTTCTTTTGAAAAATGTGTGTTTCAGTGTTTTGCCCATTTTTTAATTGGGTTCTTCCTTTTTCCACTTTTGAGTTTTATATGTTCTTTATAAATTTTGGATATTATCCCCCAATCAGATTAAGATACATGGTTTGCAATTTTCCCCCAATTTTCAGGCTACCCTTTAATTTTGTTAATCATTTCATTGCTATGCAGAAGTACTGTTTGATGCAGTCCCATTTGTTTATTTTTGCTTTTGTGGCCTGAGCTTTTGGTGTGATATCCAAAACATCACTGCCAAGGCCAATGTCCATGACCTTTTCCTCTATATTCCTTTTGACATTTTATATTTTCTGGTCTTAAATTTAGGTCTTTGATTAATTTTGAATTGATTTTTGTATATGATATGATATACGCCTTTAATTTTATTCTTTTGCATATGGAAAGCCAGTTTTTCCAGCACCATTTAGTAAAGAACACATCCTTTCTGCCATTGTGTCTTCTTGGTGTCTTTCTCAAAAATAATTGACAGTGTATGTTTGGATTTATTTCTGGGCTCTCTACTCTGTTCACTGGTCTATGTGTCTGTATTTATGCCATTATTATGCTGTTCTTATTACCCTGGCCTTGTAGCCCTTGGTTCCAATTTAAGCTTTTGGTTTCATATTCTTCTGAGCACTTCTTTGAATTCTGCAACTACTTCCTCTCCAATGTTCCTATATTTTTCAGCTTTAGTCTAGCGGTACAGGCCAAAATAACCCCCCCAAACACTATGATATTTACCATATATTAATGTAATGATTACAATTTCCTTTGCACAATGTTTTAGTTTGTCTGTATGTAAACTGACATGCTTCACCTTTCCACTATCATCTCTTAATGGATACTGACTTGATTCCTTTCTTACAGTTTGAAATCCATGTACTATGTCCCACTCCCTTACTTTTGCCCCAGATGTCCAGTCTGAATGGTCATTCCTCATATCTTTGGCTTTCTTTTTGAGGAAGTTATGAATAATGTTTTTGACAACAACATTTACAAATAGTTTTCTTTTACTCTGTGAATTTTCTGCAGTTATGTAATTCTATTATGTTGATTTTGTTAGACTGCATCCATTTGGTGATTTAATGAATGTTCACTCATTCCTATTTCAATTAGAATAGAATTCTCAAGATCAAGAGATATGTGGATAGTATTGATAATATATATATATATATATATATATATATATTTTATTTTTACTGAAAGAGGGTGTTGCAATCATAGCCATCCTGTCATCTTCAAGCAAAGCAAATTACACCATGGCATTACACAAGACCATCTGTCATCTTCATTGTGAAATCTTCCTTGATCTTTGCAGTTGGAATTGGTTTCTCTTTCTTTTGTTACCTTATGGCTCTCATTGGTACTGATAATGAGATACCATCTATAAAAATTGCCCAAGTTTTTCTCATGTGTTCTGTATAAAATTAGGAGTCCCATGATAACAAAGATTATGTATTGTAGTAGTTGCATAATATGTTGAAAACATTCCTTGTTGCTCAAAAACATTAGTTACATGATTACATAAATTTATGTTCAAAACAATGCATATTTATTAAGGACCAACTTATGTACAAGATAGTGTGTTAAGCCCAGAGCATAAAAAGCTGTATTTTTTGCTCTAGAGAAATCTGTAATCTAGTGAAAAAATGTACAAAAATAATAGATGAAAAAGTAATATTTGAAGATTTTTATTTCACTTAATTTTATACCTCATTTGGAGAATGTTATCAACCTGTCTCCAGCCTACTTGATACAAATTGTACATTTGTTCAACAGTAGGTTTTGTTTCTCTAAAAACAAATCGTTAAAATAGAAAACAGCTGTATGGTGGTCGAATTATGTTTAAATTTGAACTTTTTTTCATTCAATAATATATATCTCTACTTCTTTTACTGAAACAGAACAAATATGTTGTTTCCAGAGCAAATACACATGACTCTGACTAAGAAAGGACAGAGTCAATTTATTTTATGGTCATCTATTTGATCATAAAATATAAGCAGGTTAACAGTTAAAACGACAATATCCCTTCTGTCTATTATGATATTTCATCAGGTACCATCCCAATCTTAGGCATTTATCAATCTCTCTTCTTCTCAACCATTCCATTTTCTCTAGTTCTAAAATTCATGTCACCTTTAAAGACAGTTTGGGTAAGTTTAAGTACAATAATTTTTGAAGTCATTACATAGCAATCCAGGATGCCAAGTATCCAGAAGTCTTCTTTTAGGAATCACTTTACCAGATATACTACTTCAAACGCCTCTATTTCAACCAATGCCATTATACAACAATCCAAAATGCCAGGAATCCAATTGTATTCATTTAGGAGTCATTTTACCAAATGTGATACTTCAAAAAGCTCTGTTTCAAACAACATCCAAGAACTCTCTTTGTCAAAGCTATGGGATATGATGCAAAAAGAAGCAAAAAAAAAAAAAAAAGCTCTTCTGTAATTATTCTTTAAAAAATTCACTTTATTGTCCATTTTTCTTATTTTTATTGCCTATTTTAATAAAATATGCTTTATTTTGTAGTACTGTAACAAAATTATTGGAACCTACTTTGAGAAATGTGGAAAGGTTGTTGCTCTCTCCAATGACTACAAAATGATCTGCATTGATGAATACTGTCAAACTAGAGACAAAACATCCACATGTGACACGTATTCAGAACTGTCCCGCCTCTGTGCCTCAGATGGTCCTGGCATCTTTGAATCCTGGAGAAGCGATTCTGATGTGGCTTGTGGTAGGTTTTTACCTTCATTGTAGGCTACATCTCTGTAAGTTTCTATAGTACTTTAAAGTTAAGCTGTATTGCAAAGAAATCTCAAATGATTCTAAGTCCTGGAAGGGGATCTTAGAGAGGGTGAAGTTGTTTTTTTTTTTTTAGCGACAAGAGTCTTGGCTCTGTTGCCAGGCGCCAGGTTGGAGTGCAGTGGCGCGATCTTGGCTCACTGCAACTTCCGCCTCCTGGGTTCAAGCAATTCTCCTGCCTCAGCGTCCCGAGTAGCTGGTACTACAGTTGCATGCCACACACCCAGCTAATTTTTGTGTTTTTTAGTAGGGACAGGGTTTCACCATGTTGGCCAGGATGGTCTCAATCTCTTGACCTCATGATCCGTGTGCCTTGGCCTCCCAAAGTGCTGAGATTACAGGCGTGAGCCATCGTGCCCGGCCAAGAGGTTGAAGTCTTGTTTGTCACATGTACTTATGAGGAAAAGTTTGTTTAGGTGGCATGACTCACTTCAAGTTGCAGTTCTTTGTGTTAAGATCTTAATTTAAAACATTGTACTCATTACAATCAGTAAAAATCATGGAAGACCACGGGTAAATTCTGTAAAAAATAACTAGTTGATCAAATGTATACTGACTAGTACCATCATTTTCTTTCAAAAAGATTAATAAAACCTAAATATGAGTTTCATACAAATATACTTTACACATATGCTTAAGTCAATCCTCATAATACAAGTAGAATATAAATGAAATTGTAGACAATATATATTTCCTCCAAATTAAATACTGTATCATAAAATAATACACAAAATTTGACATAATTTAGTTGTATTGAGTATCTTTAAAGACTGACTTCTACCTTGTAAATCAGATTCAAAGAATTCCATTTGAAAAGCTCCTCCTGGCCGGGCGCAGGGGCTCACGCCTGTAATCCCAGCACTTTGGGAGGCCAAGGCGGGTGGATCACGAGGTCAAGAGATCGAGACCATCCTGGCCAACATGGTGAAACCCCGTCTCTACTAAAAATACAAAAAAAATTAGCTGGGCGTAGTGGTGCACGCCTGTAGTCCCAGCTACCCGGGAGGCTGAGGCAGGAGAATTGCTTGAACCCGGGAGTCGGAGGTCGCAGTGAGCCGAGGTCACGCCACTGCACTCCAGCCTGGCACCTGGTGATGGAGTGAGACTCTATCTCAAAAAAAAAAAAAAAAAAAAAAAAGAAAACTCCTCCTTAGAAGACTGTGTATTCATTATACTTAGTTTGTTCTAATATCCATATCCATGTATACATATTTCTCTATTTCTCCAGAAACACAAAGATGTCCAGAACAGCATATCTACAAAGAATGTGGACTCTCCAATCCTGCAACTTGTTCCAATGTGGCTCCTTTTCAAGACAGTGAATGTGTGAGCGGCTGCACCTGCCCAGAAGGTAGTACACCTATGAGAGTATTTACACTAAAACAGAACAAAAGCGAAAACAAAGTGGGACTCAAATCATGTCAGAGTGATGTCTTATTTGTAGCACAACATTCCAACAATTTAACTATTTCTAATCCATCCTCATAGCAAACTGCAGAGGAGGGTTAGAGAAAATTTTAATGCTAATGCATATTTCCATATCTATAGTACCTGAGGGCTCCTGTAGTCCACAGAATATGCTTTAGTCCCACATTGACTGCAGTAGGGCTGTGCACCGTGTAGCAGTAACTCAGACTCAGAAAATTGTTTTCTGTCCTCTTACCAGTTCTCAAAGAGTAATTGCTTTAATAAGAAGTTACCATTTTCAGTGCATGTTACGCTTGAAAGAACTATCTCAAGAGTGATTTCACAAAGCACTGCTGGACAACTTACTGATGTTTTAAGAGTTTTGAGGTTAACTTTATACAATGTGTTGTAGATTATCTGTTGGATGACATTAGAGAGAAAGGAAAATGTGTATTAAAGGCTGAATGTCCCTGTGAATCCAACGGAAAAGTGTATCAGGCAGGAGAAGTCCGAGAAGGTCCTTGTGGTTCTCAGTGGTATGTGTGTGCTTTTTGTTCATGTATTATGGATGGTGAAATAATACCAATATTTTTATCTAATTTGAAAAAATTCCTGAATGCCCCCTTAAAATAAACTTTTAAGAAATGGAAAGCAATATCACTGCATTTTCTGTGTTGTTGATGTTTTGTTTTTAGAAAGGCACAGTGTGTTCTTTTTTATTATTAACTACATGATCTTTCTATGTACCTTTAAAAGATCATGTTCACTAACAGGAACAGTGTTTTAAATAGTAAATCACTTGGTAGTTGCAAATATAGAGCAAAATACAGAATAAGATTTTGGTTATGATAATAAAATAATAATCTCATTATGCCAAGAATATTTAACAAAATGTACAGTTAGAAAGAGCTGAATACTTTTCAAATAATTTTTATATGTGGCTAGATGGTAAAGATAAATAATATTCAGCAGTAAATTTTAATGTACCAAAGTTATTGTAGACTATTTCTTGATTAAGAGAATACTCAGCTTGAGTCTTCCTTCTGAGTTCTGTAACAATGAAATGATCATTGAGATTTCCCCATTCTTCATTATGGCTTTTCTCTGAAGCTCTAAATTTCTGCAATACTACAAAATACTTTTCTAGAAATGTATTGTGTCTTCATGGGAACATAATTTGGCTCAATAAAAAACCTATTTTCTCTATAGATGGAAAACGTTTTATTTTGGTTATAATAATATTAATTTATATTATAGTTGTATTAATAAAGTTTAATTTGTATTAAGAATTAGAAATAACAGTAATTATAATTTATTGAATGTGTATAACAGTACTGCTCAAGAGAAATACAATGTGGGCTGCAAAATGATCTACATATATCATTCAACATTTTTCACTTGACACATTTTTAAAATATAAGAAGAAACAAACACGTGAAATTCGTTTTAGTCATGTATTTAATATAATGCAATATATTTAGAATACTATCATTTAAACATAAAGTTAATATGAAATCAAGTTAATGAGAGATTTTACAATTTTTTTTCTTATAAATCTTCAAAATCTGTGTGTATTTTACATTTATAGTGGATCTCAATTTAGACGAGACGCATTTCAAAAGCTCACTCTAATGTCTTTGTACCGTATTGTGTGGTACATGTCTACAATGTGGCTTGTAGCAGGTATTTTAATATTGATAATGACCTGTGCTCTATTTAAACAAATCTCTGAAATCCAGCTTATGAGTTTTATATGCTTAATTCATGAGAAGTTATTATTTAATCAAGGCTTCTGAAACATCAGGATACTACCATCAATGAGACACTATCAGTGCTGAGATGTTGGGTGGGAAATAAAGATGGTCTAATAAAGCTAAACCAAATGTCTTAACTTGTTATGAACTTTTAGTGTGATATTTTATTTTCACCACAGAGATAACACAACTGATAACCCTTAATATAATTGTTACATTTTAACAGCACATGCCAAGATGCAAAGTGGTCTTGCACTGAAGCATTATGCCCTGGAAGATGTAAGGTGGAAGGAAGTTCCTTTACCACCTTTGATGGTGTTAAGTACAACCATCCTGGAAACTGCCACTTCCTGGCCATTCACGTATGTAATAGCCTGCAATATTTGAGGAAACTGATATACAAAAAAACTATTTCTCAACCAATTTAAAACACAGTCTTCACCTTGAATTACTATTTAAAGAAATAGGCTGGGCGCAGTGGCTCAGGCCTGTAATCCCAGCACTTTGGGAGGCTGAGGCGGGCGGATCACGAGGTCAGGAGGTCAAGACCATCCCGGCCAACATGGTGAAACCCCTTCTCTACTAAAAATACAAAAAAAATTAGCTAGGTTTGGTGGTGCATGTCGTAATCCCAGCTACTTGGGAGGCTGAGGGAGGAGAAACACTTCAACCACGGAGTCGGAGGTTGCAGTGATCCGAGAATGCGCAGCTGCACTCCAGCCTGGTGACAGAGGGAGACTCCACCTCAAAAAAAAGAAATAAAAAAATGAACAATCTTTCAATTACTGGTTATGTATTTCAGTATGTTTTCTATCACATATTGGCACTGATGGCATTACCTGCGGGTATTAAATTAATATTACCTGTCCTCCTTGGAAATTCCTTGCAAAAAAACCCAACAAATAATCGCTCATAATCATCTAAATACACTGGGAAATTATTTCATTCTCCTACTTTCCTTTGTGTGTGTTCACTACTGCTTCATATAAAACAATCTTTTACATTCCATGAAGAATCTTCCTCTTTCATTATTATTCTCTTAAATTTATTGTTAGTTTTTATAGCACAATAGTACCACTATGATAGAGGCTATTCTTACATTTAAATTCTTTTCAGTACTGAAATTTGAATTTGATTTCAATAAAGAGTGATTCCATTTTGTAGTCTGTGCTACAAAGGATTAGCAATCTAGTCTACCTGAGAATTAGTGATCGTATATAATCTTTCTGGTAAGAAATGAAGATTAACAGAATTTGTGAATCCTGAAGTGAAAAATGTGGATTAATGTCCTCTAAGCTGCAAAATGTAGTCGCTGCTACTAAAAGTCACTCTTCCAAAATAAAGCTTCCTGATTGCCTACCAACATAATCTGCTTCTCCTTCTTCTTCTTCTTTTTTCTTTCTTTCTTTCTTTTTTTTTTTTTTTTTTTGAGATGCACTTTCACTGTTTTCTCCCAGGCTGGAGTGCAATAGCATGATCTCGGCTCACTGCAACCTCTGCCTCACAGGTTCAAGGGATTCTTCTGCCTCAGCCTCCTGAATAGCTGTGATTACAGGTGCCCACCACCACACCCAGCTAAGTTTTATGTTTTTAGTAGAGACCGAGTTTCACTATGTTGGCCAGGCTGGTCTTGAACTTCTGACCTCAGGTGATCTGTCCACCGCTGCCTCCCAAAATGCCGGGATTACAGGCATGAGCCACTACGCCCAGCCTGCCTTTCTTTCTTTTTATGCTCCTCTAAATCCAATAGGATACAGGATGGGGAAAGTAAAAGGGATAAATGACAAAGCATAGGGAACATTTGCTTCTTGTAGATTACGGATTTCCAGACATTGAAATGAGAACTGGAAGTCCATGTTTGATTTAATTTATATTACAGTTTTACAGATTAAATACCTCTCACATAAGATTTAAAAGGACATGTGAACCGTCCAGAGAAGCAGTAAACTATGTTACTGCTAATTCCTAAGAATCTGTATGTGGCAGCACATTCCCTTTGGGGAGACAAAAAGTAAAGAGAAAATTAAAAAATGAAGACTATGAAAATCCATCAATGGTAGACTACATGGATATAGTTTATGCAAGATACTTGGACCATCTATAAAGCTCTTGGCCAGTCCTGATGCTGCACCATGGGCCAAACTAGGTTTCTATTCTCAGAGCACTCGGATTGTAGTAGGAATTGTACATATTTAAAATTCAAATATGCATTGTGAATGAATTACATAGTAATAGCATACCATAAATAGCATTAAATGACATTCTAATAAACATTTTAATGAAATGCATTTTTTACAGAATGAAGATTGGTCTATTAGTGTTGAGCTCCGTCCATGCCCAAGTGGTCAGACAGGAACGTGCTTAAATAGTGTTACACTTCTCTTGAATTCTGTAAGTAATCAGCTTCCTAAGGTTTATACAGAGTCAAATCATATCATTTATTTTACAGATTCAGGATTTTTGAGGTTGAAGAAGAGAAGCTTAACTATGTACACTAAAAGCTTAAGTAAAATTGCATAGAGAATTGATAAAGTCTCTGGAGGAGCTGGCTAGTTGCAAAGTTTCTGAAGTATATCAAAATTACCATTGATACACAATTAATATGTTCATTATAGATCAAATTTATGTGTTCATTAAACTTTGCAGACCATTTGTGAAGGAAGGCAATGGCATTTGTTTAGAGTTTTATTTATTTGAAATTGACATTATGAGGGAAATAGACTTAAATGGGAAGGGAGAACAACTAGTTTAGACTTTGGCCTTTACAAGCTGTTTAACCTTTGGATACCCAAGTTACCATCCTGGGTTTCCATGTCTGCATTACACATTGGGGATGAAGATTTCTTTACAGTCTGCTACACAGAGTTGGTGTGAGAAACAATGAAGCAAAATGTGCCTTAAAAATGCTTTAAAAATTTCTGTATTTTAGATATTCATAAATTAATCCAATAGCATTAAACATCTTATGACATAAAATTGGGGTTCATATATTAAAATTAATATTGTAAATTAATATTAACTAACAAAGTGTTTTAAATATTAGTCTGTTCCAGTTGACAAATATATATTCAACAGTGATGGAACAGTCACAAATGACAAGATTAGTAACCAAGGTTATTACTATTCAGGTAAGTTTAATAACAACATTTTAAAAGAAGTGTACGATGCAGTCATTTATGTAATTTTTAAAGATATTATGGTTCTAATTTTTAACAGATATCAAAATATTAAGCTATTTTAAGAAAGTAGAAACTATTGAACACATCGTTATTAATGTTCATAATTATTTTAACAGATAAAATACAGATCTTCAATGCATCTTCCTCATACCTTCAAGTAGAAACATACTTTCATGTAAAACTACAAATACAAATTGTTCCTGTGATGCAATTATATGTTTCTATGCCACCCAACCAATTCACAGACACTGTGGGTGAGTTCTCTGGATACAGTTTTATTCCCAAGGCTGAAATATAACCATCATTTATTCTAATTTTCATTGTCTCTTAATTAGTAACAATAAACCAGTAAACCATTTTGACTTAATCTGTCCTTCCACATTGTAGTAAAATAATTCCAACTTGCTTTTCATAATAAAGATGACTTATTACAAAATCTATCCTCCAAAGATTTTAGCAATTTAAATAGTTTAAACATCTTAAATTGACTGTCATTTAAATGAAATTTGATAATATATGCGTTAATGTTTTACTTTGCTAGTGCTACCAAGGCTTTTACCTGTAGTTGAATAAATGAAAACACTGTAGATATAAATCTTTGGAAAATCACAGTTGATATAAGAGCTACACTATTACCTGTCTTTCTGGGAAATCATATGGTCATTTCTTTCACTGATGTTTTCTGTCTTAGAAATCAGTTCCTAACTACAGCCATGGATGTTGAGCAAAACAAAGATTATGGAAAATTCCACAAAAAGTATTAATTTATAAACAGTAGAAGTTTTTGTAATACACATTTACTTGAGAAGGTAGCTTATTTACGCAAAGGAAAAAATGTAACTCAGGTCAGAAGGGTCCAGGTAAAAAAGGCATATAGCGCTCAGCATGATTCGACCCTCCACACTGAAATTGTGCAAATGTGAGCTATAAGTTCTTACTTGTAAGCATTCTTTCTGTTGGCTCCTCAAAGAGATAAGGTTACAGTGACAAACAGGAAAAACACAGCATTCATGGCAAATGGTGTTTCAGTGCTCCTGGAATTCAAATGAAAGGGAATTTCAGTGAAATCTGAAATGCCTCGAAATTTTATTTAATGTATAAAGGCTAATCAAGACATATTATCAGATAGCTTCTACAGGTTTCTACTTGAGCAAAGAACTGAATGTGCAGTGAGGATGTGAATCCAAAGATACTGAGTAGGTGAGATGTGCAACTTTGTTGTGTGCTGTTATACAGGACTCTGTGGTTCCTATAACAACAAGGCAGAGGATGATTTCATGTCAAGTCAGAATATACTGGAGGAGACATCTCAGGCATTTGCCAATTCTTGGGAAATGATGTCCTGTCCTAAAGGAAACCCCTCTTCATGTATCAGTATAGAAAAAGGTAATATTAATTGACTATCAAAATCTATAATTACATATTTGGTGCTAGGAAGTATGTGCTTATTCTGGTAATAATATCAACACATCAGATAATCCTGGTTTTAGCTAGTGTTTGCTGTACTGTCTGAATTTTAGAGGACACAGCAGAGAAGCAGTCTGGCTGGTTGATGTTAGTTCTACAAAATAAATATTTCACTGGGAGTTCATCTTGGTTGCTTCTTTTTCTATACCTACTCTTTTCCTTCTTACACAATTTGTACCATAATTATAGAATAACAAGATCTGAAGAGATTTGGGGAATATTTAGTTCTTCAGTTGATCCCTCCTTTAATTTAGTTGTAAAAATGTTAGTTAAAATACCAAGACTCACTGAAACTGGTGAAACCACTTGATGATAGAGCTATAGCTAGGTTCAGCTGTCCTAACTCTTGCTGTCCAAGCCCCAATATAGACATTAATTAAACTTTACACTGGCATGATTCAGCTTACTTTTATACTTACCAAAAGGCTTTTAAAATATTAGTTCAATTTATTTCTACCAAAACGCATGAACAGCATGGGCAGGACTATTATCCCCATTAATGTAGATATTGACAATGGAGCACAGAGAGGGTTAAGAAGGATCCTTAGTGAGTAAGGATGACAGCTGAGCAATCCAAGGATTTTGAATCCAAGTCATGCTTTGGTTTTCTCACTGGTATTGCTGATACTAATAAATGCTTTATTTTGTATTGCTTCTTTCATAAAAAGCGAGTGCAATGGAAGCCAAGTTAAAATGTATTATATTGACATGTTAGTTGTTTCTAAATTAATACAATTTGAAATAGTCTCATCAGATTATAATAATATTTTAACATTACTAAGGCAATTCCTTTTCAAAGCCTTGTCTACTAATTTTGATTTAAAAGAGTTGGTAGAAGCATTAACATAAACATCATAATACATATTTCAGGGTTTTGATTATCATATTATTTTGGCTTTGGAGTTTTGCAGTGAAAACAGTTATAATGAGAATATATATCTCATCAGAAACCAAGTCAATTTATGTTAAGCAGACTATATACCACCACTTTGGAGAGATATAGAAATTAATTAAATTTAATTTTCAGTTTTATATTGAACCTAACATAAAATGCAGAAAATTAAACTGTATTCTAATAATCTGTTAGTAATATCTAGATAAAAAGTGGTGATACTGGGTTGCCAATTTGTTAAAATTTTGGAAATAATTGGTCTTAGTTTCTTTTTAATGGAGACCTTCCAAAAGTCATTAGGTCAAGCACTTGCTACTCAGATGCTATTGTTATGATTTTTATTTTTGTTAATTTAATACTGTGCTAGTTATTTATATGCCAATTGAATATCAATTAAAAAACAAAATTAGTGTATTGGAATTACTGATACTGATTGTGATAATATATGATCTTCAGGAAAACTGATATAATCTTCTGAAGTGACAGGGATGGTGTGGTCGGAGGGTGTTGTGGTTGGTTTATTTACCAACTCAACACAATTTAGCTATAAATATATATTTTAAAGTTAAAAGGCATCTAAAGATATAATATGGTCCCCTAATTCTATTTTTATGTAGAAACTGCATTTCAGAGAAGCTAAATTGATTTAATCCAAAAAAACAAAGCTAACAAAGACTTTGCCCCTTAGTGTAAGATTTTTAAATTACAGCATGCTAATTTTGCATATAGTGACAAGTTAGATGTATTACAGCAAAACACTTTAAAAATTGTTTTAGTAGACAGAACTGTTACAATTTTATGTCTTTTCTTTTAATTAAAGAATTATGGCTGGGTTCAGTGGCTCACACCTTTAATCCCAACACTTTGGGAGGTTGAGGTGGGTGGATCATGAGGTCAGGAGACCAAAACAATCTTGGCTAATGTGGTGAAGCCCTGTCTCTACTAAAAATACAAAAATCAGCTGGGCGTGATGGCGTGCACTTGTAGTCCCAGCTACTCCGGAGGCTGAGGCAGGAGAATTGCTTGAACCTGGGAGGCAAAGGTTGCAATGAGCCGAGACAATCTGGGCTACGGAGTGAGACTCCGTCTCAAAAAAAAAAAAAAAAAAAAGGAGTTATGACATTATTGAAACTAATTTTGGGTGCACTGATTTTCTTCCAGAAAAGTTTGCTGAAAGGCACTGTGGAATTCTTCTCGATTCAAGCGGGCCTTTTGCTTCCTGCCACCCAATTGTGAACCCTAAACCCTATCATGAGGTATGTGAGGCTCTAATATTAACAGCTCTTGTTGAAAAATACTTTGCAGATATTGACAAAAGCATGTAGTTATTAAATATTTTCAAATAACAGCCATTGTCAATAGATTGTATATCCTTACATAGGCATTAGATTCTATTAATTTATTCTTGTGTTAGATAAAAGTGGTGCTGGAAAATAACCCCAAATAAGAAAAATCTTTAATAATTTTCTCTTTTTGCCTTTTCTAAATGTTTTGACAAGCAGGCTAATAATTCATTTACTATTTGAATATTTAAAAATGTCTTTGAAAGTTTCAAAGAAACTTTTTCGGGTAGAATGGTTAGGAGCTAAATTATTATACTTAGTTTACCTGATCTTTCAAGTAATTTCATAATACAATATAATTTTTTTATTTTCAAGGAATGCAAAAAATATACTTGCACTTGTGAAAACAGTCAAGACTGCCTATGTACAATTTTAGGCAACTATGTGAAGGTGTGTGCTGAGAAGGAAACATACATAGTAGGATGGAGAACTGGCCTATGTGGTAAGCAGCAGAGAAGATTTCAATAATGACTTCCTTCTCAGTTTCACTATAGGCTTGTGTGTGTGTGAGTGTGTGTGTGTGTGTGTTGCGTATGTGTGGTTTAGGCATATGTGTTTACAAATTTTTACCTGGTTCTTTCAAAGGCGGGTTTTTTTGGTTTTATTTTTTTAATATCCTTGTGCAATCTTTACATATTTTAATTCTTGATTTATTGATCTTAATATATTCACATATAAAGCAAAACCAGAATATATATGTATTTATATATAAATATACGTTTCTGTTCAATTATTGTGTGCTGAAATTTAAATAATGTTCTGACTGATAATGCATTTGTAAATGACATTTTAATACGAATAATTTATGTTGAGAAGAAACAAAAATGAACCAATAAATTAGAAGCTCAACTATCATATTTTTAAAACCTTGCTTTGTTTTTAAAATATTTATTGCACTGTTTGAATATGACTTCACAAAAACGCTTGATTTACCACAAGAAAAACAAAAAACAAACAGCAAACTTTGTTGAAACACATCTCTTGTAGATCATATGTAACACCTCATTGCCTGAATCCAGTTAATCAATAAGGTCTGTCCATTTCACCTTCCAAATCTCTCTCAGTTATTCACATCTCTCCATCTTTATTGCCACCAACCAGGTTCAAGAAACCACCATTGTTCTTCTCTTAGTAACTGCCATAAGCCTCCTTCATATTCACTCTTGGCTTCCTTTAATCCGTTTTCTACAGATAAACCAGGATAATATTTAAAACCAAGCCACATCGCGCTAAGCTTATCATGTGACACTTCAGTCTAAAACAAGTTAATGATGTCTCATTGCTGTAAGGCTAAATACCAAGCTCCTTAAGGGGACCCTCTAAATTTTAACCACTGAGTCACTTTGTCTCTGGCCATACAGCTTCTATTCTTCTATGTGCTCTTTAAAATAATCATTCTCTTTCTGAGTTAGGCTATTCTTCAGACATAGAATCACCTCTCCCTGGGCTGTCTTCCTGCTCTTCATCTACCCACCCTCTTCACTAAGCGTAGATCCTCATCTGTGCATACTTAGTGCCTCCCCTCTGGTTTCTTCATAGCACGTACCACGACTGTCCTTCTACCGGGAATAGACACCACATGAAAGCAATATATTACCTCTCCTGTTTATGGGCTAATACCAAGCAAAGTGTTTAAACATATAATAGAAATTCAGCATTGACTGAAAACAAAAAAGAATTTAAAAAACCCAATGAACAAGTACTTTAAAAAAATTCATAATCTCTATTATGAATATTTCATGCTAATATCTCTGAACATCAAGCTGAAATAAAATTGTTTATTTCCCTGGATATACACATATTCATTCTTTCTTTTGTCTCTGTACCAACAGAACATTCTTGTCCAAGTGGTCTAGTTTTCAAGTACAACGTAAAAGCCTGTAATAGTTCTTGCCGATCATTGTCAGAGAGAGATAGGAGCTGTGATGTGGAAGATGTTCCAGTTGATGGATGCACCTGCCCTGATGAAATGTACCAGAATAATGAAGGAAACTGTGTACTGAAATCTCAGTGTGACTGCTACATAAATGACGAGGTCATGAAACCAGGCAAACTCATCCACATTGATGACAATAAATGGTATGGAGATTACATGTATACTTACTATGACACCGAAATCAAGAGACTGCATTGTTTTCAGAGAAATGGTCTTTTGCCAATATGAAGCCTTTTTAGATCTGCCATACTTTTGATTTTTATTTCTTAATAAAAATCTCTTTTATCCTGGAAGGCTTATTGCATCCTAATGGATATAGATGATTTATCCTACTCTGGTTTTGTTTTAATCACCAGCAGAAAAATATTCTGGCAGCTTCTACTACAGACAATGTGAAATGATTTCTTATTCAGAAGATGCTTTCTAGCTGTCTCAGTAATAATCATTAACAAACACTTATTAAGTGTCTGCAGTGTGCCAGGTCTGGTGTTGAGTGCTGGAGTTGCAGAGCAGGATGAACATTGTCTTCGACTTCAAGTAAGCAGGACACAAACCGTTAGAGGGAGGTTTGTACCCTAGAGCATGATAGCAGAAGGGGCCAGGCACTACCTAAGGAGATTAAGGAAAACTTCTCAGAGAAGACAGGCATATGAATTGTGCTAGGGAATGAATCTTTTTCCAGACAAAAATTGAAATGTAGAGAATGATTTCCTGTGGAGTAAACAGAATACTCAGATGTAGAAAATGTCTGGAAAAAAATTCACGCATATGGGCTGCTTTTATACAGGATTGGGCTAGAAACATTGACAGTGGTCAGATCATAACCAAGAATTTAGACTTAGTTCCTGAAGAATTGAAGAATTTTGACTATTTTGTAATGTCTGAGGAAGCTATGATTTCTACACTTCGGAGCAAAGTAATTTCCTTCCCTCCGTCCCTCCCTCCCTTCCTTCCTTCCTTCCTTCCTTCCTTCCTTTTTTTTTTTTTTTTGAGACAGAGTCTCACTTTGATTGCCCAGGCTGGAGTTCAGTGGCACGGTTTTGGTTTACTGCATTCCCAGCGTTTGTGGGCTCAAGCGCTTCTTCCACCTCAGCTTCCTGAGTAGCTGGGACAACAGGTGCACACCACCACGCCCAACTAATTTTTTGTATTTTTAGTAGATAAGGGATTTCACCATGTTGCCCAAGCTGGTCTTGAACTCTTGGACTTCAGCAATCCACCTGCCTTGGCTTCCCAAAGTTCTGGAATTCAGGCATGAGCCACTGTGCTCTGCCTGGAGCAAAGTAATTCAAGCATATTTCTAATTCCATAGAGAGATGTAGGAACTGTTGATAATGTAATAGCCAAAATGAAGTAGCCACTCAAAAATACTTTGAATACACCTCCTCTCTTTTCTTTGGTTTCATGAGGCTATCATTTAGGAACAAATAATTTTTTTGGTCATTCAAAAAGAAAGCTTAGGTAACCCCTTTAGGTCAAAGCCAATGAACCTTTGGTTGAGGCTTGATAAAGATAATGTCTTTTCTTCTGTAGTTTATAGGGAATCATTAAATTAACTTTTTAATGGTGCTTAATAAATAATTACTATTTTATTTGTTTTAGATATTAGAAAGTATGCAGTCTGCTTTTATTTTCATGGGAATCAATAAATTAACTTTTCAGTGAATCAGGGTAATACCTCCAAATTATGGTTCCCTTCACCACTACCATATCTGAGACTCTTGTCAGCTGGCACCACTGTGATAGCTAACTTGGTTGGTCATTATTGCTGTCTCTGTCCCGTGTTTCCTGAATTATTGCAAGAATGTGTAGCCTAAAGCCACGTGTATATCTATGTAACAAACCTGCACGTTCTGCACATCTATCCCAGAAATTAAAGTATAATAATAATAATAATAAAGAATGTGTAGCTTAAAACACTATTCTGATAGGGTCACCTGCCTCCTCCGAAACTTTAATGACTGACAGTTACCTGAAGAACAGATAGAAACTTGTAAGTCATCTAAAATCTGGCCCCAATCTACACATACCGCTTCTGCCCATTTTGCATCCTGCCTTCCATCCAAACATGACTCATTGGAGTCACTGGAACATATCTTGTTCTCTCCTGTGCCACAATTTGGCATCTTATCAGAAGTATTAAATTGTACTTGTCATCAAGATCCAGCCATCCTTTCCATGAGGTTTTCTCTGATATCCATAAAACCTTGTTTGTACATTCCTGTAATATTTACAAGATCATATCTTATCCTTTGGTACATTTTATGCATCATCTGGGGTTGGTGCCTCATTCATTTAATTAATTGTCCTTGAAACTTGATGTCTAAATTTATAATTTTGTTTTATTTCCAGTGTCTGTCGGGATGGAATTCTTCTTTGCCAGATTCCCATTGATTTAGCCCTACGTAAGTGTTGAAATCATGGTTCAAGCTTAAAATACCTACTTTGGCTAAAGAAAACAGATTAATAGGCTCTTGATCAATGATAATTTTTATTATTCTGCAGAAAATTGTTCTGGAGGGGCTGAGTATGTAGACTGCGGGGATCCCAAAGCACAGAGAAGAACCGACAGAACATGCAGCACTCGGAACATACCTGTTTTTGAAGTAAGTAACGTAACGTGTAACAAGGTAACATAAGAGTTTAGCCTTTGAAAGCTTTTGTTTCCGGTCCTAGGAAAACTACTGTTTTAATGAAAAATAATTAGAAGGTCATGCTCTTTTTGCCTTTTACTTTCAGTTGTCAAAGGTTGACTCCAAATATATACTTGGCATATTTAAACATTTAAATTAATGCTGATAATATGACATGATTAGAATGGTGCCTCATGGTGTATATTTTATATTTATTCCTGTAGGAGAACTTGCCTTGCAAACGTGGGTGCTTTTGTCCAGAAGGAATGGTTCGGAATTCTAAAGGGATATGTGTCTTTCCTGATGACTGCCCCTGTTCTTTTGGTGGACGAGAATATGATGAAGGAAGTGTCACTTCTGTTGGCTGCAATGAATGGTGCCTAATAAAGGATTCTTATTTTGTTTTGGATATTAGAAAATATGCAGTCTGTTCATACTTTCATAGGAGAGAAGAAGTCACACTTTGGGATATTTGAAAAAAATGACCAAATATAGTTAGAAAAAGAAGCCATTTATGTATGTATGTATGTTTGAGATGGAGTCTCACTCTGTTACCCGGGCTGGAGGGCAGTGACGGGATCTCAGCTCACTGCAACCTCTACCTCCCAGGTTCAAGCCATTCTCCTGCCTCAGCTTCCCATGTAGCTGCGACCACAGGCGTGTGCCGCCATGCTTGGCTAATGTTTCGTGTTTTTAATAGAGGCCAGGTTTCACTGTGTTAGCCAGGATGGTCTCAGTCCCCTGACCTTGTGATCCACCTGCCTTGGCCTCCCAAAGTGCTGGGATTATAGGTGGGAGCCACCGCACCCAGAAAGATGCTATTTTTAAAATAGAACTTTATGTAACATTGTATAAAATGAACATCCTACGTTATAATGAAGGCAATTGCAAAATTTAATTCAATACATACTTTTGTGCTTCTTTACAAAAACAATATTAGTGTGTGAATCCCGGCATAATATATTCACTATACCCTCTCATCTTTTCCTTTTAGTACTTGCATTAAAGGGTCTTGGAGTTGTACGCAAAATGAATGTCAAACCATCTGCCACATTTATGGGGAAGGTCATGTTAGAACTTTTGATGGGAAAAGTTACAGTTTTGATGGTCTCTGCCAGTATTCATTTCTTGAGGTAATTATGAGTATGTTTTATTAAAACAGTTCTATACTTCTTATTTATTTGAATATTAGTTCCAAACAATTTTATTTTCAAAATGGAAAATATTTTTAAGGGTCCCTATATGTTTCTAGAAGGCAGTAAAATGTTATATCATGTACTTCTGGATCTGGATGCTAGGACTAGATTTCAATACTGGCTCCATCTTTTATCAGATGCATGGCTTTGGGCACATTCCTTAACCTCTTAGTGTCTCAGTTGCTGTAATTTACAGAATGGGCATGAAAATAGCCCATACTTGAAACCAAACTAGAGCACACACTGGAGCACATACTAGTGCTTAATAAATAAATGCTAGATATAATTGTTCTAAGAACAGCACTGGCAGCAAAACTTACGGCTACTATTTATAAGCACTTCTTTGTCAGGCAAATGTATAGATTTCATTGCATTTAGGAATTACAATACTACAAGACTGATGTTGTTATTCCTATGATGCAGATGAAGAAATTGAGGTTTAGAGAGGTTAAGCAACTTATGCTACCAAATGGAAAATGTCATAGAAAACCTAGACCTGTTTGATTCCAGAGTTCATGCTTGTTACATACATTTCAGAGTTCATCTTATTAAGCTGCTAGCTTCCTAAATAATATTTTAGGGCTACAACTTGGATTGGATTGTATTTATGGATTAATTTTGTTTGAATATCAAGTTTTGCATAAGTCTTTGAGGAAATAAGGCCAACTTTATCTAGCTATTTACAGAGCCTAGAAATAACTTTGTGATTACAAACGTATAAACTTTAAATACTTAGATGTCTGTGGTATAATTCTGAATTTGTGCAGAAGTAATGGGAAAATAACTGAGTCAAAACATTTTAACTAGAGTGGACTCGGCCAAGGATATCTATAAATGTGGTCAAACTATTGTCTTTTAGAAATTCCGTAACGTAGCATGTGGTGATTTATTGAGTTTAAGGCAAATATTCTCTAAGAATGTTTGTCTGACACAAACACTGTAGTTGAGTTCTGTGACTCTGATATTCACAAACTATTATAATTTATATTTTAAAGGATTATTGTGGTCATGAAAATGGCACATTTCGTATTTTAACGGAGAGTGTTCCATGCTGTGAAGATGGGCTAACGTGCTCAAGAAAAATCATTGTTTCTTTTCAGGTAAAGTACTATTTTCTTTACTTTTCCTCTTGCATTGTGAGTAGCCAAATAAAATTGTTAATCTGTGTGAATTTACAGGATCAGAACATTGTCTTGCAAGATGGTAAAGTAACAGCAGTCAAAACTACAGAAAGTAAGGAATGTGAACTCAGTGCAAATGCATACTCCATACATACTGTTGGCCTGTACTTAATTGTGAAATTTCAAAATGGAATAACCATGATTTGGGACAAAAATACAAGACTGTCTCTTATCCTGGATCCAAGCTGGAATGTATGTATATCACTAACAAGTGAATAATGGGGAAGCAAAATCGTTTCTGTTACTAAAAAATCGAGACAGGTATTCATAGGCAGAGTGCAGGAGAATGGCAGGGTCTCTGTTAGAGTTTAAAGCCCTCCACCTTTGTTCAGCCTTATTGTAAAATATGAAATGTAATCAAAGATAATAAAATCTGGTTAAAAAGTAAATGCAGTAAACTTGAGGCATTCTAGTTTTAACCATATTTGTTTACTTAAGATTATCACATGATATGATTTTCAGGTGGTTGTTATATTTCCGATTAAATGTGTTCCTTGGAGCAAATATTTTAAGAAGCCAAAGTGGTCTCATGTATAATTTGGAGCTAGCAGACATACCTGTTTTGGTTCTTTAGACATTTATCCTGCTTGATACTAGATCATTTTGTGGCATGGGGTAACTTAAATGAGAGAAAAATCTTATCTTTAGATTCTGGAATCCTATCCATGAAGTTTGGAATTAAACATAGATTCATGCTCCAATATACATAATCATGATATCTATTTGTTCATTTACCATCTATCTGTTTGTCTATTTATCTCAATGTTGCTAGTACAACTAATTTTTAAATTTCCCTTTCTGATCAATACAGGGTAAAGTGTGTGGTCTTTGTGGAAATAACAATGGTGATCTCAAGGATGATTTCACAACAAGATACACTTCAGTAGCTTCTGGAGCACTGGAATTTGGGAATAGTTGGAAAACAAGCCAAGAATGTTCAGATACAGTGGCTCAGACTTTCCCATGTGATTCAAACCCATACTGTAAAGCCTGGGCTGTGCGGAAATGTGAGATCCTCAGAGACAGCACCTTCAGAGACTGCCACAACAAGGTAGCATTGCTCTGAAAGCAGTGACTTACACAGGGATTCCTCCCAGAGACTCACGTGCTGTGTTCTGTTCTAGGTTGACCCCAGTGCTTACTATGATGCGTGCATCGAAGAAGCCTGCGCATGTGACATGGAGGGGAAGTACCTGGGATTCTGCACTGCTGTGGCTATGTATGCAGAGGCGTGTAGTGCAGTTGGAGTCTGTGTCTCATGGAGAAAACCAAATCTGTGTCGTAAGTGAGGCCCATATGTTGTTGTTTTTTTAAAACGTAATTAGATAGAAGTGTTTTCTTAGACCATCAGTCTTCCTCTCATATTTTCTATAAAACACATGTTTGTGTACCTAGAAACATGTTAATATTTTTGTTTATGATGTGCAAAAATACCAAACTTAAAAAATAAAGCATCTGGCCCAGTGCTTCAAGTTCAATTTTAGTTTAAAAAATTCATGTGTTCATAGGGGAAAAAATGAATACTGATGTAGAATATTTCTTATTCATACTTAGATGAACAATGAACTATTTACTTACCTTGGTATATTCATATATCCTCCAACATTTGCTGCCTGTATTACTTTTGTTTAAGGTACTCACACATGTTTTCTTGAAAACTTTCATTGAGCCCTCTTGAAGATGAACTGTCAATTGAGTATAGATTAAATCTGGATACATATGGAATATGATAATCTTAATAGAAATTAGCTCTTTTCCTTCTAAGTATTATGAGAGAAAATATGATGAGAAGTGTTAAAATAGAAACCTCATTTTATTCAGTTTATTATGCACAGCATTAGAGGATATTGACATCTTTAGTTATGCCATTTAAGAACTGTTAAAAAGCTTAATTGTCTAAGATTTAGTTTTCCAATTTAAAGTTGAAATTAAAAACATGAATCTAGACTATGATCTAAAATATCTCCATATGAGAAAATTAATGTTTACCTTTTTATCTCAAACTAACCTGAGTGTGAGATGGCAAAACAAAATGCTGTTTTGAGTTTACCTTCCTCCCCTGTGACCTATTTTGGCTTATATGACAGTTTAGATAAAGCCAAAGGAACTTAATAAGACCTGATATACTTTAGATATATTTATTATTATTATCATTCCAAATCCCTTTTTAAAGTGCTCTGGAAACTGAAAGGTGAAAATTGTTATATGATGAATGAAAGTAATTTGATCTAATTCAATTCTAGCTGTCTATTGTGATTACTACAATGCACCTGGGGAGTGCAGCTGGCATTATGAGCCTTGTGGCACAGTGACAGCAAAGACATGCAAAGATCAGCTCATTGGACAGAAATTTTCTTCACTTTTAGAAGGTAACACATACTTTAAGAATATCCGTAAAGTAGTGCAAATGATATTCATCTTAACTGGAAAGGGTTGTTTCTCCCAATTGAGTAATATTTTGTAATTTAATGAACAGTTATCTTTATTATGACATTAATATTTCTACATTAGAAATACTTTCTCTAGACATAAGCTTAGTCGGGGGTGGGGAACAGCACTCTGATCGTGTCGTCACTCTTTATACCTTTTACTGGACAATGTCATTTAGTGTGAATGCAGTTTCAGAATGCAACATACAATACAATCTTTCTTGAGTAGTATAATTGCTGTAATAATTAACTGTATCTCACACTTTAACAGCATTTTATTCTTAGCATTATATATTTCAGAGAGAAAAAACGGGCAAGAAAACGGGTTAACATGAAACTTTTCCAAAAGTCACACTTGTGTTAAACTCTTTGTCATATTTTTATCCTATTTTGCTATGACTTCTGTATCTTTACCTACTGTTGCAAAAACAGATTTTTGAGACTAGCATTCACATTTCAAGATATGTATTTACCAGAGCCTGTTTTATGTTGCAGCATCATAATCATTGTTAAAGTAGCAAATCATTTAAAAATAAGAATCGTTTTAGAAAAAAATAAACCAACCAAAATCTGTAAGTTCTTCGTGTGATAGTTCACTGCAAGAAAGTCTGCACCTTCCTATATTTATATATTTTCATTATGAGTGTGATGCTTTGCTATTATTTACTTCACCTCATGGAGTCATTTAAGTAAATTTACAAATCTATAGTATACAGTATAATGAGTGTCAGTAAATAGAGATGAACTGTGGGTCATTTTTACACACAGGTTGCTATGCTAAGTGCCCAGATAGTGCACCCTACTTGGATGAGAACACCATGAAATGTGTCAGTTTATCTGAGTGCAGCTGCTTCTATAATGATATCATACCAGCAGGGGGAGTGATCGAAGATAATTGTGGAAGAACATGGTATATTTTCTACTAACTTTTCAATAAGCAATTCTGACTTTTGCCTTTTCATTTAGGAGAAAAACCAAATGTGTGTATGAATATATTATGTTAATAATACATATTATATATACATACTTATAATTTTTGATCCTGCCATTTCTAAATGAGAAGACCAGCTTTAGGTTCACTTTTATATCAGTTATGTTAGTTATTCTTATTTTCAGATAATTCATGTGTCAACAAATAGTTTGTGGAATTTTAATAATGCAGAACATAGGAAAGAAAATGTCTTTGTGTAGTTTTAGGGAGAAAGAGTTCTAATTTTATAAATGTAAGATTATGTTCACAGGCTTTCAAACATGGAAGCAAATTGATGGGATCATAGTAGGTCCCCACAGCCATCAAATAACATCCTGTTTGAAATTGAGCATGCAAGAACTGCCTTTAAGGCTCACCTGCACACCATTTCTTCAGGCGCCCAGAGCTCCTGATTGGATATAGCAGCACATGGAAAAACAAGCAATTTGAATCAGTGGTATTCTCTTGGGGAAACAATTATTTGCTTCTATTTGTTTTCAGTCAGACAATTTGTTGTTTTAAATTTGTGAGCTGTATGTCATTAAGAGTCAGATTTTTCAACTCATTATTTTTTCTTTTTAAATTTAACTTTCAGCTACTGTATTGCAGGGCAGTTGGAGTGCAGTGGTAAGTCATTACATTTTACACTAAGTGATTTAGGAAAAATCAGAGGAGGGTTGGAGGTCTTTTTTACATACTCCAGAGGGGCGTTAGGCTGTCCTTCAAGGATTCGCACAATTCTATCCCAGAGCAATTGTCCATGGTGAGTCACTGATGGAATCCAGTGCTACCAAAATGTGCTGAACAACTGTCAGATGGGGCCATGGCTGATACTCAGGGGGTGCGCCTACAGCATACGTGCCCCTGCTCAGCTGTAGGTTCTGGGAATTGAGGGAGCGAGGAGTCAGCAAAAACAGTTTAATGAAGGAGAGAAATAGAATATGAGACTCAATATACAAAGAATTAAATAACTGAAAGATTGAAGGATTGTTGATGAGCAACATACTCTTTTTTTTTTTTTTTTTTTTTTTTTGAGACAGAGTCTGGCTCTGTTGCCCAGGCTGGAGTGCGGTGGTGTCATCTTGGCTCACTGCAACCTCCACCTCCACAGTTCAAGCGAATCTCCTGCCTCAGCCTCCAGGGTAGCTGGGATTACAGGCCCCCACCACCACCCTAATTTTTACATTTTTATTAGAGACGAGGTTTCACCATGTTGGCCAGGCTGGTCTCGAACTTCTGATCTCAGGTGATCCACCTGCCTTGGTCTCCCAAATTGCTGGGATTACAGGCATGAGCACTGCGCCCAGCCACAACACACATCTTAAAAGTAAATCTCAAAAAACTTCAAAAGAATACATGTGCTATTCCTTTTTATATTAGGAATTGCAAGAAGTAAAATAAAAAGAGACATGACTTACAGACAAATTGAATGGTAGATTTTTTTTCTAGATATAAAAATTCCTGTCAATAACGGTAATGTATGATTATTTCAGAAACTGCTCCTACCAATTCAACATTTGCAGGTAAAATCATCATTATGTTTTAAATGTTGTATTTCTGATTTCTTTGTGTGGTTAATCTTTTATGGTTTCACTTGAATCTGTTCCAGTAAAAGATATGATGGTAAGTGTGCTGATATAAAAATTTTGAATTATAATAAACAATTACTAGAAATATGTCAGAATATCATTTCATTATATTCCTATGAATTAAGTCAAGAATATGATTAAACATACAATAGGTATAATTAGTTAATATTTATGTTATTGATTAATATTTAACTCTGCATATTAGTTACATATCATTCAAAGCTTGATATTTGTAGATAATAATTGAAGAACTGCATGAAATAGAAGTAAATGTTGCCTTCTGTGAAGCAAATATTTTAAAAACATCTTCATGCTGGGAATGATTTGAAAACAGAAATAAAAAGTTCATTCATTCCTTCCTTCCTTCCTTCCTTTCTTCCTTCCTCCCTCCTTCCCTCCCTCACTTCTCTTCTTCCATCCTTCCCTCCTTCCCTCTTTCCCTCCCTCACTTCCCTCCTTCCCGCCTTCCTTTCTTGCTTTTATTCTTGTTTTAAGGCAGGGTCTCACTTTGTTGCCCAGGCTGCAGTGCAGTGGTGTGATCACAGCTCACTGCAGCCTCTATCTCCTACGCTCATGTGATCCTCCCAACTCAACCTACCAAGTAGCTTTAACTGTAGGCATGTGCTGCCATACCTGGCTAATTTTTTATTTTTTAGAGACATGGCCTTGTCCTGCTGCCCAGGCTAGAGTGCAGTAGCACTGTCATAGCTCACTGCTTCCAAAGTGTTGGGATTATAGGCTTGAACCAGCACCCAGCCAAGGAATTACATTTATGTTTACTTAAGGGGATGCTGAATGATAGTTTTAGGGCATGTAACTCCTTGGCAATATAACTAAACTTTGAGTTGCTATAGTACACCTACATATTCCTACCTTGTGTGATATAAAGAGGGATTTTATTTCCTGCTGATTGATATTTGGAGGTGGGTAGTATAAATTGGGAGATAGTACAGAAAATAGGAAAAGTTAGGCTTCGATAATTTATTTAAAATTATGCAACATGCTGTAAAATGCTAGTTAAGTTTTAGTTATTATTGGTCACTTACCTGAAGTGAAGTTTTCACGTCAGGGTTCTGAACCACCTTCCTTTAAGTTATTATTGGCCCATAAATTGACCTTACAAAGTTCCTATGAGATTATGGTTAAGTGATAATAACAGGAAATTGTTATTTTTGGTGTACATACATAAATACATGGTGCTATTTGTATTGATATAAATAAAAAATGATTTTGTCACTTAACCTCTGCACACGTTTCAGAAATTTTAATTTTAGTTTATGGCAATTGTTTTCTTGAACTATATTTCCCAGAAAAAATTATTCAATTAATTGATTTTCATAAATATTGTATTTTCTAAACAGTTTCCACTACAACAGCTACCGCCATATTAAGCACTGGAGCAGGTAAATACAGTAAAAATGTTAATTATTTTTACGGATCCTAAATGAGCAGCAAAGATAATTTATGGTTCAGGAATCATAGCCCTTTTTTCCAATTTTTCATTCTCCATTTATTTATTTGCCAAAGGCCCATGTCAAGTAGCAGGTCTGTATGTAATTGTAATATTATTAAAGAACATCTTCTCTTTTCAAAGGTGTCTGTCCTAAGAAGATCATTCTACATACTAATTATTTGGAGAAAGTGGCTATGTTAAAAACTTCTATGTTAAATTCCTTGAAAGTAATTTGCAATTTCTTTTATTAACACCAGAAAAATTTTAACTTTAATTGGATGCTTTGTCACTAAAACAAAGCTAGCAGAGTAAAAAAGTGCATTGAAATTTGTAAGCCTCTGATAAGTGAGCTTAACTGTTACATTTAATCATTTTATTTGTATTCTGGAGATCTCGAAACATGCTTAAATACATATGATTAACCTCATCTGTCAATACCAGTTTAATATATATTTCCAAATATTTGTCTTTTTCTTTGCATAGCAATTACACTGGTTACCAGTAGCCCAGGCACAGGTAAGCTATAACATCTAAGCCACAGCTTAATCAATGGGGGTTTTAAAAAAAACACCCAGACTTCCTTTGCAGTATTATGATTTTGCAATGACACTTTTAGAAGAAATAGACAAAGTAAGTTTCTTTTTTTAAAGAGAATTTTCTTTAGAGAAAGCTTTTGGGAAAAAAAATTATACCAAATGGCAAGGTTTTGTGAACTTTTACTCATTGTCTGTAAGTTTTAAAACTAATATTTGGGCTTCTATTCACCTATATGATCAATTTTTCTGATACCGTCATTTCAAGTTGATCCATTTTATATATGACTATAGATATTCTTATAAGCATAATTTCCTCTGTATATAAAACTTATTTTTTCCATTGTTTTCTTAAATTCAGCAGCATCCATTCCAGGGATTACAACATCAAGCAGTGAAACAACAGGTAGGCAAATCAGGATATCCACGTGATGAATAAAGTTTTGAATAAAGGTTTGTATATAAAACATTGAATGACTGCATTGGAATCAACATCAGTTTAATTACACATTAAAAATATTTGGGTTTGAATTTTCCCTCTGACCATTCAAACAATTCCCCTAGTTTATTTTTCTATTTTGTTTTTCCACCTAAATTAAAAAATTCATTGAGTATGTTTCATTGTTTTTAATGTAAAAGAAAATATGAGAAAAAAAGAATTTGAAAAATATGGCTAGCAGACAATTTAGTATTGTGACTCTACATGTTATTTTTGCTTATAATATATAATAGTCACCTGTATTTCTTTAAACTAATTAATTTTACAATTAGTAAGATGTCAGTTTTACTCAGTTGAAGATTCACATGCATAATATATGTCATTTCTTTCTAGAGACTATGTTTTTGAGAAAACCATCCATGGATTTCACCCTTCCAACTCTGCGTTAGTTTTCACATACTCACTTTTCTATACTTAGGGTCTTTACCTCCCAATTTAGCACTATAGCTCTTCTTTTGTTATTTATTAATTTATCAACTATTAAATGAACACGTTCCTTAAAGTCACAGACCATGATTCGCTATCCTTGTAGTCCCAATTGTACCTAGTGTCAAAGTACACATTCGCAGGCAGTAAGTATTTACGGAGTGAATGTACTCTGTTTTGTCGCTGTCGAAAATTTAGAACTCAGGTTTAGAATTAGCACAGAATTTCTGGTGAAGGATAAACTATTTGTTAGCTATTAGTTATACTGATAAATCCAACAGTTCACACATTTCACTCATTAGAGCTAATCTTCAATATAAAAATACAGTGTAAACCCAACTATTATTGGATTATAAATTGATATTATAATATAGAATTATGACTATAATTTTGAACATTTTATAAATCTTAGTATTGTCTATTTTTAATATATTTTTATGTTAAAGAGATAAATATACATGTATATCTTATGCATCAGCCATCATAGTGCACAATATAATTAAAAATACCGAAAACAACATGCTACTTCCTGTCAAACTTTCTCTTGTGTTGAATACCGTTAGCAACAGAAAGCATTATTGAATCTTTCAACGTAAATCTCAGAAAGCCTGACACATCTCAAAAATGTTTTTCTGCAGTCTGTAATCATAAATTCATTTCCCAAGGCCAATAACAATTTCATCCCAATAGTTTTTTGAATCATTTCATATACACCGCAGAGTAATTTTCTAGCTACATATTACCTCAGTCAAAAGCAGTGGACTGAATTCCTAATTCTCAGCCTGGTTCTATTTCTATGATGATTAATTTAGTTCAGATACTAAGCTCTCCTTTAGTCAGTCATTCATCAGCTACTAAAACTTTTGAATATTGTGATCATTTAAAGAAATGCTTTTTTCCTTGATTTGACGAACTCCATAGATAGACATGAATCAATAGCAGTTTAGATAACTCTTTCATCTATTTCTTCAGTGTTGTGACTATCATATCTATATCCTGTATCACAATACTTACCTAGAACTATTAAAAGTGTTTAAATTTTTCTAGCTTATATATAAATATGTATATTAATGTATATTTAGATATATTTATACATTATATATAAAAAGTATAATATATATTTTATATGTAATATAAATTTTTTAATTTTTTCTTATAATTTTTCTTATAGTTTTCTTATATATATTTTTTCTTATATATAATATAAATTTTTTCTTATATATAATATAAATTTCTTCTTATATATATAATATATATATATATTAATGTTTTCTTTTCAAACACCTGGTTTTGAATGTAATATCCAATTTTATTTTGTCAACACTTTGTACTGTAGCAAGCAAACTTTCCATGGAAAACAGAAGATCGTGAGTAGATTACCCTGCTAGGGTTTTTGTGAGCAACTGATGAAGTTTTACGTGTAATATTTTGTCTCATTTACTGTAAAACACTATAAAAATCTTATCAATCATGTTCATGGTAGCATTTTAAAAATTATAAATCAAATGCAGAGTTGAATTATAGGAAAGATTACCTGGGTGATTTTTTTCCTGAATTCATTAAGTATTATTTATGACTTCCGTGCTTTGCCTGACTGAATCCTAATGTTTTATTTAATTTCCCTGAAATTCTGGTAGATATTTCATGCTCTGTAAGTATAATATTAATAATTTTCTAAATGCTATGTTAGTACTATATAGAAAGGTGTGCTAAAAATAACTTTTATTTACCTCTTTCTAGTCATTACGTTAAATATTTTTCATTCAGTATCTGATTAAATCTTAATCCCCTGATTGTTATTCTCCACAGTCCTCCTCATGTAATCATTTTTAGTGAGGAAATGCAAAGAGCTTAAGTAACATTTTCAGGGTTATGAGGATAAGAAGGAAAAGGACTTTCTGACATGATCTAGAGAGAAGTTAGGATTGGTTTTCTTTTCTTGTTATCCATGAAAGCCAGAAACTGTAGTCAATGTTATTTTAAAATCAGGGGACAAAGAAGTATAAAAATATTTATTTTTTCATCTTAAAATTTTCCAATTATGCCACAAAACGTGTTTGTTTCAAATAAAGTTAGTCAAGTAATCCCAATGTACAGAAAACATTGAATATCAAATTAATAATACGTTCCCAGCATTTGTTAATAATACGTGTGTAGCTTACCTGGAACGGATTAAGAACTGCTAATTTTCCAGATAAAGTGAAGCATACAAAACTTTAATTAAATTTTAGTTAAATGGATCAAATTTCAGTTAAAAAATAATGATTAGTGTTAAGAATTAGTGGTAATTCTTAATTCCTCATCTTTTCTGAGGCTGTGACCATATCATACTAAACAGATGGGAATTTAGAAATCATTCGAATAATGATTAATGTAGTTTTCCCTAAAAATCTGTGACTTGAGGGCTTGGATCCTACCAGTTGGTCTTCTTTGTTGATTCAATTAACTGAAAATCATAAATAGTCTACTTCAACTAGTGCTAGGGACTTGGATGGAGTACAAAATATTCAAAATAAAATGTGATATTTCTGAATTTTAATAACTATGAGATGACATGCCAATTTTCTTCTGACTGAGGATTCATAGTAATTTACATAAAGTGAGGATGGTAATCAAGAATCTCAGAAAGTACTAGATAAGTGTTTACTGATAATTTTATTTCAGACCTTTAACGGAAAAGAGTCACATCTATTAATTTTCATTTTTCATGTAAGAATAAAACATTTTTCTTTAAGAGACACCAACGTATTTTTTCTTTTTAAACTGTTTTTCTTTCTATATTCGCCCAGTAAACATTATGTCATTGTGGAAACAAAACAGTTTAAGATGTTTCCTTTTAGAACTCTTTTTTAGAAGAAATAAAGGTCTTTTTATAAAGCAATTGCCTTGCACAAATTGTAGGCTTGAAAGATGCGTCATATTTCTTTTACTGACATTGGTGGTTTAAAAGTGGATTTGACAAATTGTGATGAATCCATGACTGCAAAATGATTTTTGTTTTTAAGTCTTCTAGTGGTAAATCTCACTTGATCAGTGATGAGAATGATGAATCCCATTTTTGTTTTATTTTAAAATAAGTGTTTGGACATTATCACTAGCAAAGGTTTTTGTTTGTTTGTTTCAAAATATGGTATGCATCAACCAAAAATATTTAAATAGAGATTGAAATGTAAAAGTTTTTATTTCACATATTATGTAGCTAAGAAGACACCTCATTTCAAATATGTATTGCCTCTTCATGAACTATCTACAATAAATGGAAAGATTTGTTTCTTGGACACGGGAACCTGTTTAATTTTGGAAAACGTATTAGTGCTTTTCAGCGGAACCAATATGATAAGTGGGATAAATTAACTTAGTCAAAACTTTGCTACTTTTACATTTTTCTTTGTCTTCAAATAAGTCAATTTAACATAAAAACCTACAATTTTTGAACACAAAGGTAAGATTTATTTTAGAGTCTCGGCAGGGCAGTGGGGTAGGAGGTGCAGGTTTCTGCCACTAACTTGTTCTCTGGATAAAGTGCTTTTGATCAAGTACTGGATTAAACTGTAATCTTGAATGGGAGAGAAGGTATGACTTCATTGTTAAATAGTCCTTAACTTTTTTGTTGAGGTAAATAGAAGTAAAGTATACTTTTGAGGAATTGAGAAAGACATTACAGAAAACTTTAAGGTGAAGGGGAAGCAATATGTAAACTTTAATTTCTCCACATGCTTTCTGTATCTATTTTCTTTTCTATACAGTAAATGCTTTCAAAGAGCTAAAATATTCCGAGATGCCTAACTAACCATTCTAATAAGCATGCTGTTTTTAGAAGAAAATTTATGCAGTAAAGGGCTTTTCCTCTTTAGATTGACTGATCTTGATACAGAGCTAATATTTACTAAGTGCTACTCTGTATATGATATATATTATCTGATTTGATACAGCTAATTCTCGGAAGTGGTGTCATCATTTCCCCCTGTTTACAAATAAGTAGATGGAAACACAAAGAGGTTAAATTATACATTCAAGGTTACTTGCTAATAAGTTGTAGAGATAATTACAATTCAGAACATATTTTCTAGATTCCAATCCTAATGCCCCTGTGTTTCCATGTTTAAAGAAGAGGATGAAGTTAAATTTAATTTAAATCAGTTATCAAAGTAGCAACATGTAATTACGGATTCTGATTTCAAATTAGGACTTATGTTAAAATCATAGATTGTTTAGGAAGTTTATATTAAAACAAACAAAAAAAATCCCCACCTTGAATGAATACATGGGATACTGACATATAAAAGTAGTTTTCTGTTACACCTCAATGTGATCTGTTAAAAATAGATATTTACTCAAAAATTTAAAATCTTAGAATGTTACAGCTATAAGTTATATGTAAGTTTTGTTTATACGATGCGCTTTTTTTAAAATTGCATTTTAGGTTTTGGGGTACAGGTGAAGAACATGTGAGATTGTTGCATAGGTACACACATGGCAGTGTGGTTTCCTGCCTTCCTCTCCATCACCTATATTTGGCATTTCTCCTCATGTTATCCCTCCCCAACTCCCCACTACCCCCTGCTGTCCCTCCCCTACTTCCGCCCGACAGACCCCAGTGTATGATGCTCCCCTCCTTGTGTCCATGTGTTCTCATTGTTCAACACCTGTCTATGAGTGAGAACATGCGGTGTTTGATTTTCTGTTCTTGTGTCAGTTTGCTGAGAATGACAGTTTCCAGGTCCCTACAAAGGACAAGAACTCATTGTTTTTTTATGGCTACATAGTATTCCATGGTGTATATGTGCCACATTTTCCCTGTCCAGTCTGTCATCGATGGGCATTTGATTTGGTTCCAAGTCTTTGCTATTGTAAACAGTGCTGCAATGAACATTCGTGTGCATGTGTCCTTATAATAGAATGATTTCTAATCCTTTGGATATATACCCAGTAATAGGATTGCTGGGTCAAATGGAATTTAGCATCAATTGTAGAAAAACATGTTTTCATCAGGAAAAGGGAGATAGATGAGTATAGTGGAATGTGGAATTAGAAAAATAAGAATTTGAATCCTTCCCCTGAAAGTTTGACCCTGTTTTAAGTCCCTCAACACCCTGAGATTTGGTGTTGTCATCTGTGAAGTGGGAACTAATAATAATCTCTACATGGAAAGATTTGAGAAAATAGTAAATGTGATAGTGCAGCTTAGTGTAATACATAGCAGTTATTCTGTAAAGGCAACTCTATTATTAGTTAATTTTATAAATAATAATTAGGTGAATTAGTTTATATTTTAGTTTGGGAGTTTAATACCTTTTCAGTTACTAATCAGAAACATACCACTTCTGAATTAAAGCTACTTTTATGAATTTTTAATTTTTTTCAGAATAAGATATTTTACAAAAGCTATAGACTCTGTAGTACTGAATTTGTTGTTTATAAGGGGAAATATTATAGATACTCCTTCAGCATATCTCTCAGACATATATTTTAAGTAAAATAAAATTCATTGAAAAAATGCCAAAATATTTTTTCCTTGTAAAAATAAAAATGATTCTTGGAAGTAATTTAAAAACTTCGTGGTATCTAGAAAATTAATTGAAAGACTTTATATTAAGTTTATAGAAAGGTGAAACACAAATGGACAAAGCCACTTGGAAAAGCTTTTAGGGTGGAATATCATACTACCATGTAGGCATGTAGAGCTTTTAGTGTTTTGGTAGAGGCAGCTCCTCCTATTACTCTTTATGTCTTGTCCACAAAGAAGCTGATGCATTGTAATTGACAGTATCAAGTACTTCCAGCATGTATGTTCATTTGCAAGTGATGGAAAAATCAGCTGAAACTATGGTATGGATGTCAAAATTGATGAAAATTGGAATGCTGTCTCCCATCAGGTGGATAATTATACCCAGAAGAAAAGTGGGTTCTCATGTTTCCTATTAGTAAAGGCTTATCCCTACTTTTATTGCTGTATCGATAATTTCAGACTTACATCTTCTGCAGTTCATTCGTGGGAGCTATATCATAGTAGCCTGACTGGAATGTACTCCAATCTGTGCCTAGCTTAGATAACTCTATGACCCTGATTAAAGATCGGTCCTCAAGATGCACATGAGCATATTGCCATCTCAGCAACATTAATTATAAGGAAAGGCCTATAAAAAAGTTCGCTTGTGCATATGGTAAAAATAGTGATGATCAGTGCACGACCACCTATGGTGTGCAGCCATGTTCTTGAATCCATTGTTGATTAGAGCATATTTATTTAGATGTGCAAAATTTGGAGATTTAATTTCATATGATAATGCTGCTTTTAATTAAATGTAATTGTCTTCAATTTGAAAGTGCTCAGATTGGATCACTGGAATTCTATAAGGTTAAATCAATGCTGGGAAATGGAATCTGCACCAAAATCTTTGGACGAATCTGGGTCTATCTATTCTTCCACATCATTCTAATCTTGATAGTCTCTGTGGATCATGGCAGAACAGTCTTTCTATGCTATCCTTAGATCAGCAAGTGATTTTAATTCAAATGTGCAACTATTGTGCTCATTAGTGAAAAAAGATATCAAGATCCGAATTGTACAGTTGGTAGAGTCTCTGAAACCAATTTTGAAAATTCTTCTCAACTAAACCTTGTCAGCTCTTGAGAACTGTGACAAAAACTTTCTCTCAAACTACTTATCATACTTATTTAAATATCCATTGTGTAATTTGAGTAGACAGATATTTTATTATTTACTTCATATTGTATTCTACATCTTCTAGTCTAATTTTTAATATTTCCGTTAACAAGATGAATGGGTAATTAAGAAAACTGCAAGAGGTGTGTGTTATGTATATAGGAAGACTAACATAAAAAGCAGCATGGGTCACAGTCCTAGTTACTTGGTGACTTACATTTGAGTCCTAGTTTTATCACTAACCATCAGTGATCTTGAACAAATCACTCAACTTTTCTGAGCTCCATTCTTTATATAAAAACTAGGTAAAATATTTTGACTCCATTCATTTACTCATTCATTCATTTATTCATTCTATGGACAAGTATCAAGCTCTTATTATGTGCTAGGCACTTTACAGGCCTTGGAGATACTAAAGTGAATTAAAATAGATATGGTTTCTGCCTCTATAAAGCCTAGGGCCTAGTCAGGAATATGGTTATTAATTAAGTAATTACAAAAACAAATGGAAACTTACATCAACACAAGAGCTATGGAGTACTTAAAAGGGCATGGGATGAGAGGGAGGGGATTTAATCCAGTGAAGGAACTCAGAAGAGACTGAAGAAAAGGTGATTGAGTTGAGAATTAACCAATGAAAGCTCAACTAGGAGAAGAGCGGGAAAGAATCGTGTTCCAAGTAGAGACGACTGCAAACAGCAGGTAGAAAAGACAGAAAGGCCAGTATGGCTGGATGAGGAGCGAGGATCAAATAGATTGTGTGAGAAGTTTGTTTCTCACCTTTTTTTGAAGTTCTAAAACACTATAAAATTGCAAAGTGGTATTATTTACATAAAGTAAGCAATGGATTCCTATGGATTTTCAATGAAAATTAACACTGAAATAGAGAAAATATCTGACTATTTATTATTTATGAAAACCCTGAATTAATAAAGGTTTATTTTTAAGTGCACAGGTCCTCAATAAACATTTGATGAGCTTTAATCATATCCCTGGCAATGGGCAGGTGTTGGGAATACAAAGTTAAAATATGGCCTCTTCCTTCAGGAGTTCACTGATACTCCACAACAGCTGTTTAGAGTAAATTCAAATTTATTTTCACAACCTGCTATGTCAAATAATAAACATAAATCTTAAAAAAAAATTCTCCTTTTCCCTCCAAACCCTTATAGTCTAAATGCCACTCAATAGAAAAATATCCAAGATGCAGACAACCAGAAGCTGAGAAAAGTTGAAGAAACCATAAACTGCAAAATAAGCCTTTGCTTAACAGAGAACTTATTGCCCTTCTTGATATACATTCCATTTACTTTGTATTTAGTAGAATTCAGCATATGTATATGTGTGTGTACACACACACACACATATTCATTGGAAAGTACATCATGTATGTTACTATATTAAAAATGAAATACAAATTTATTTTTAACTCTAAACACAATATATTACAAATTGCCCTACATTGAAAACTATATAACAGCAGAACAATCTCTCTAGTATTTTTTTCTTGAGGTTGGAAAATTCACATCATTTCTGTTTTCCTTTTCAGGAACGACTCTAGGTCCTCTCACCAAACCTTTTACTGCAGGTCAGTATATTAATTCCTGGTTTTATATGTTAAATAAAAATATCCAATAGTATAAATTATTGGTAACTTTGAGTTTTTAAGAAAGCATTTATAGGACAGTTTGGCCTTAGCAAAAATATTTCAGACAAGTAGTTTACTAGGCTTTTACCACTGGTTTTAAATTTTTCTTAAAAAACATTGAATTTATTTTGGGTCAGTTTATATCGACTGGCTATAGAAACATGGTTTCTCTTTTGATTTTCTTCTTTATCATTAATTATTAATATAGGATATACCACAGTAGCAAATATCATAAAATTTTTTTAAAGAACATGGGTTATACATCTAATAACATCTGTTATGCTCTTAGGTGTTTCAAGTTTAAACATGTGCACATCTAATAATATATGTTACTCTCTTTGCTGTTTTAAGGCTGAAAGTAGCAATTAATTATTTCATAATAGTGTTTCTTTATGGTTATTATCAGCCCCAGGCAACAGTGATTACAGCAAAGGATCTGTTTATTTTATTTTTTTAATTTTAAAAATTATTTTTTAACATGAGGGTACATAGTAGATGTACATAGTATATGTGGCATACATGAGATATGTTGATATAGCCATGCAATATGAAATAAGCACATGATGGAGAATGTGATATCCATCCCTTCAAGCATTTACCCTTTGTGGTCTAAATAATCCAATTACATTCTTTAAGTTATTCTAAAATATGCAATTATTATTGGCTATAGTCACCCTATCGTGCTATCAAATAGTAGACCTTATTCATTCTTTTAAATGTTTTTGTACCCATTAACCATCCCTACCTTTTCCCCACCCCTCACTACCCTACCTAGCTCTGGTGACCATCTTTCTACATTCTATGTTCATGAGTTAAATGAATTTGATTTTTTAAGATCTTACAAAGTAAGAACATGTGAGGTTTGTCTTTCTGTGCCTGGCTTATTTCACTTAACATAATGATCTCCCATTCTATCTATGTTGTTGCAAATGACTGTATCTTATTCTTTTGTTATGACTGAATAGTACTCCATTTCATATATTCTTTATCCATTCATTTGCTGATGGACACTTAGGTTGCTTCCAGATCTTAACTATTGTAAACAGTGCTGTGGCGAATATAGGAATGCAAATATCTCTTTGATACACTCATTTTCTTTCTTTAGGGTATATACTCAGCAGTGGGATTGCTGGATCATATGGTAGCTCAATTTTTAGTTTTTTGAGGGACCTCCAAACTGTTCTCCATAGTGGCTGTAGGTTCTTCTTATTTTAAAATAGTTATTTAGACAAATGTATGAAGGCCTAGGGTGACTCAGTTTAAGATACAGAAAGCTATATTTGTAAAAAAGAAAAAAAGGCTGTGATATGAAAACAAATTCTTAAGGGACTCTAGGCAGAAAGTCACTGGTTTTATTGAGACTATTTTCTATGATAAAATTGATTAAACAGTTAACTCACCCCTTGGTAACAAAGTCCTAGTAGGCTTTGGATGAGAAGTTTATGTTTTTTTCAGGCATTACTGAAACTCCATTTCCCATCATCTCAACATCTGGGAATGCAGGCACAACACGAATAGTGAGCCCCACCATCACTCACGCTGCGGGCATGGCAGGTAAATTCAGTTCAGAACAAAGTATACCAGCCTCAACTAAGCAACTAATTTATTTTGAAAAATACTGTCCTGAGTAACATTTCCTAAAATTAGGTGCTTAGCTGAGTCTTGTTGAACAAACTCCTTCACATACATAAATGGATTAAAAGCCATTTCTTTAGTGTATACATGGAACTCTTTCTCTTTATGTACTTGCTAACTAATCCATGGCCTAATTTTATTTTTTTCTACATTTATTTCCCTTAGCAACTTTCTTGATTTGAAAGTTACAACTTGAACACTTTTTGCAATAAGATATAGTTTACATAAAAAATAATGGTTTAAAGGATATAATCAATGCACAATAGCACAAATTAAGAAACTGGTTCATTCCAATTAGATCAGTAAACTTAAATTTTAGCGTGATAACCATTTAATTTACATTTCTTAAAACCTGCATCAAAATTACTTGGGTAATAACAATAAGTCAGTCAGCTATCTCTTTTGGTTATGAGGCAGCATGTATAAAGATTTTGAGCAGGGCTACTCAAAGTTTGGTTGACAGATGGGTAGTAGCCAGATTGTTACTGGTTTTTGAGGTAATAAGAACTGAAACAGAGACTAAGCACTTAAAAACATAGCAATTTTACAGGATGATTTTTATGTCTATTAAATAAAGACTAGTGTTTGGTATGGTTTTACTTTTAAAAATTTCATTTCTCTATTTTCTTTTTTTTTTTTTTTTTTGTGACGCAGTTTTCGCTCTTGTTACCCAGGCTGGAGTGCAATGGCGCGATCTCGGCTCACCGCAACCTCCGCCTCCTGGGTTCAGGCAATTCTCCTGCCTCAGCCTCCTGAGTAGCTGGGATTACAGGCACGCGCCACCATGCCCTGCTGATTTTTTGTATTTTTAGTAGAGACAGGGTTTCACCATGTTGACCAGGATGGTCTCGATCTCTTGACCTCGTGATCCACCCGCCTCGGCCTCCCAAAGTGCTGGGATTACAGGCTTGAGCCACCGCACCCGGCCTATTTTCTTTTTTTTAAATGGAGTCTTGCTCTGTCGCCCAGGCTGGAGTGTACTGGTGTGATCTCAGCTCACCAGATCTCAGCTGCAACCTCTGACTCCCAGGTTGAAGAAATTCTCTTGCCTCAGCCTCCTGAGTAGCTGAGACTGTAGGTGCTTGCTGCCACACCCAGCTAATTTTTTGTATTGTTTTAGTAGAGATGGGATTTCACTATGATGCCCAGGCTGATTGCCAACTCCTGAGCTCAGGCAATCCGCCTGCCTCAGCCTCCCAAAGTGCTGGGATTACAGGTGTGAGCCACTGTGCCAGGCATAATTTCTCTATTTTTATGGCCTTTTTCAAAGTATCCATCTAGGACAGATTGCAAATTTTACAAAATTGATCTTTTGCAATGGATTGTTCAAGAAGCACAGATTAGAATATTAACTGTAGCTAGACTGCTTGAATTTTGACTCCTGGATCTGCTGTCAATCAACTGAGTGACCTGGAACAAGTCATTTAATCACATCTAATAAATAGGAATAATAATATGACTTGTTTCAGAGGAATTTTAAAAGAGTAAATGAGTTGGTTTGCGTAGGGCCTTTTTTTTTTTTTTTTGAGACGGAGTTTCGCTCTTGTTGCCCAGGCTAGAGTGCAGTGGTGCAACCTTGGCTCACACAACCTCTACCTCCCGGGTTCAAGTGATTCTCCTGCTTCAGCCTCTTGAGTAGCTGGCACTACAGGCATGTGCCACCACACCTGGCTAATTTTTGTATTTTTAGTAGAGATGCGGTTTTGCCATGTTGGCCAGGCTGGTCTTGAACTCCTGACCTCAGGTGATCCACCCACCATGGCTTCTCAAAATACCGGGATTACAGGCACGGGCCACTGCACCTGGCTGGGGCATTTTTTAAAAATACTGTTTTTTATCAAAAGTAACCAGTGGCCCTCCTGCCCCAACAATGAGAGGAGGGCATCATACCCAGGGAACCAAGCATAGGAGCTACAAGCCCAGGAAAATCAGGCAAGTCAGGACACATGCTTTAGCACCTGCTAAATGGGTAGATGATCAAAATATGTATGCTGCTCAGGAAGCTTTAAAATTGACTTGAATCGCCTAGTCTTTTCGTTCAGAATCACCATATGTTGAAATCACTGCCACTGTGTTTGTCAGGTACGACTGGAGAATCCATTGGTGCAACCACAGGAGCAGGCAGGGAAAGCACACCTGGAGCATCAGGCACTGGGGCCACCAGCCCTGGGAACCCAGCAGGTAAGACAAAGACTCTTTTAGGGGGCTGTAATTGGGGTCCAACACAAGATTTGCCAAGACCCCAGAATATGATAATGAGATTAGATAGAGATAACCAAGGACAATATTTTAGGAAAATGACATGAAACTATGAATATCTTGAAAGAATTTTTTCATAACTATCCATATACATTAAGTACCATTATTCTTCCAAGTAGGAACAACTGGAGGAATGGATGCAGCCACCACTGGAGCTGCTGGTGAAAATACATCTGGGAGAACAGGTACTACAGGAGTAAAACCATCATGACGCTGTCCTGTAGACACGTGAGCTTTCTGCTCAAAATTTAGTCAGAAACAAGGGTTCTTGGGGAATCCAAACATTATGTAAGGCTGTGTGTCCTGAAGCTCAGATCATTCCGACAAGTATGTGCTGTATACCTAATACTGTGATAGATGCTCTGTGGAATACAGGAAAAGAATAGGGCCATATATTTGTTCTCAATCCACTTCACTTTGGAGAGGAAGGAATAAATATTCCTACACATGTAGATGATAAAGACTAAGAAAGTTAGGAGTTAATTAAGCAAATAAAAGGTACATGCTGGAGCGTAGGGCAATTCTAGTAAGAGTCTAGATAATTCAGTGTTGAACTATTCAATGTTGAACAGTGAATTATCTGCATGATTACTATATTTTACTAAGAAACACTCCTTTATTGAAATCAGTACAATATCAGAGTTTCCTGATTTATCTGATTTACCTTGAACAATAAATGATCATGATATTTATGAGATAGATTCATTTTTTAAAGGAAAAAAATGTGTATTTCAGGTGACTTTCGTAAGGGTTTAACTTTCTTAAGCAGCCATTATTTTTTTTTCCATGATAAAAAAATTAGGCACAACTGCGATATCATCTGGAGCAACCCCTGCAGTCGGAGGTGGTAGTACCCCCGGAAAAGCAGGCACTGCAGCTCCAGTTTCTGGTAAGATGGACCAGGCTGGACCTAATATCTCAGAAGCTCCCAGCCATGACTCCCACACTAAGTGATGCTCTGTAAACTCAGGGTAGAACTAGTATTAGAATGCAAGGCTGAGGAGAGTTGGAGGGATAGTTTCTTTCACTTCCTTTTTCTGGAAACTTCCAAGTAGTCATAGTAACAGAAGTAATAACATGCATACCTCTCCCTGTCTTGGTTTCAGGAAGCACAGGAGTTTCTACAGGCTCTACCACTGCCAGCCCTGGAGCCTCAGCCACAACCTCTGAAAGCAGCAAAGCAGGTAAGTAAAAGGAAAAATCAGTGAGTGTGCAGGAGTAGAATGGAGAGTGTGGATCTGCCCACATTTCCTCTATGTAGCAGCATTGTAAAGAATGAGAACTGGAGTTAAGAAGCCCAGTTACTGACCACCGGTATTGCAGGTAGTAATCAGCCATATAGATTCAGACAGAAGTTCCTATTCTGGAACTTCTGAGCCTGTGAGTCTGGAGTGGGGCTTGGATCATGGTTTGCAATCCTAACTACAAATTAGAATCAACTAGAGAAATGTTTGAAAATACACATTGAAGAACCCTTCACAGACTAATTGAACATGTATCCCTGGAAGAAGGGACCAAGCATTAAGTATTTTTAAAAGCCTCATGGGTCCCATATGTAACCTGGATTGAGAACCACTAGGCTCAAATATCTGAATATTAAATAAATAATAAACAAGCTTATTTACAAGAAAGAAGTAAATAAGCACTCTCAGGGATTCCAACAATTGTGTAAGATTACTATCATCAATTTGTAGAAAGGGTGAACCATTTCTGGAAATGAAGAAGTGTAAACAAAAGATATTTTGGAAGCAGAGAGTAGCACCCTCTGTTCTGCTAAATCAAAGATCATGATACATATTTATTGTTTATTTTGAAAGGAACTACTGGACCCTCAGTGGGTGAAAAAACTAGAGCCACAAGCAGTGAAGTGACACCATCTGAAGGCACGTCAGGTGAGTAGAGGACGTCATTCCAAGGCCATGGCTTTTGGTGAAAAAGATAGTGTTTCATCAGAACTCGGCAAATTTTACCTAGTATAAATGCCATCCAAGAAAAGATAGAATGGTATATAAGTGATTAACATTTTTAAGAGAAGTTTTAATTTATGTTGTCTCTAAATTTTTCCTTTAAAAATACTACAGCACTAGGTTGTCATAAAAATGTATATACTCTCCCAATACTGTGTTTGTCAGGTGTTAACAGGACAGTCTGTTGGAACTACTGCTGGATCTGACAGTGAAATCACAACTAGAACATCTTTCACTGGTTCCAACCCACCTGGGAAACTCACCAGGCCAACCCCCGGTTCACCTGGTCACTTTAGTGGTGGTGCATCACAAACTTGGTTTGAAACTCAAATTCTTATAAGTTTAAATGAATTTAGAAGGGACATAATTTACAACAAATGATCATGGATAGTTTAAGTCCTATGACCCCTTACCCCTCTAAAGAAGCCCTGAAATTTGTTCAAAGAGTATTTCATCATAAGCATTTATGTAGACTAAGGTCGCCAGAGAAAATACAGGATACCAATTACATTAGAATTTCACACAAATCAGGAACAATTGTTTTTTTGGTGAGTTTGTCCCATGCAATAATTGAAACACAGTGTTTATTGTTTGTCTGGGATTCATATTTAACTAGGTATCCTGTATTTTTATTTCGTGATTTTGAAAACTCTGATGCAGACTGAGCACTTGTTGCTCTTTTCAACTAGGAACAACTGAAGGGAGAAATGTAGCCACCACTGGAGCTGCTGGTGAAAACACTTCTGGAGCATCAGGTATGGAAAGAGCATAATCAGAATGAATCCAGGCAGTCGAAGTGTAATTCTTTTACTTAAAATTTTGTCAGACACAAGGTTCCCTGGGGAATATAATAATCATTATTTGTGTAATGTCAAAACTGCAGAAGATCAGAAAAAAATCAAAAAAATTTGTTGTGTGTACAACATCATCCTGGGTGATACAACATAAAAGAGGAGTAGAGCAGGTATTTGTTCTCATGTAACTTCATTTCTGAAGAAAAGAAATTAATATTTATAATACAAAAGCAAAACCATCCAAGGCAAAAGATAATCAAAGTGGAGGAATTGTTCTATGGCACATGTTCGAATAAGACTTGCGAGGCAAATCTAGTAAAGTGACTAATTTGGTTAAAACAACAGAATTATTCTATTTTGAAAAGAATATATTATAATCACTGTACTCTGAGCTATGTCTATATGCCCCAACTTGAACAAAAACTGAAAATATAGGGAAGCTGAGTGAAATTTTAAGGATCTATTCAACTACAAGGGAATAAAAAGCAGTTATCATTCAGGTTTTGGGGAAGTAGAATTAAAAAAATATATATTCTTCAAACCCAGAAACCCTCTGAAAAAAGGTAGTAGAGAATTAAATACAGGTTTATTATTGAATAAGCATTAAAACAGAATGTGATACACGAGAGGTAGTCTGTTAAGACAGTGCAAAATCAGAGAGATATCTCACTCTTTTATAATATATACCCAAGCAGATACTACTGACCATATACATGTTCTCAATATAAATGATAACAGTCTTCAAGTAGGAGGACTTGAGAGCACGATTTATTACACATAGTTCATCCTAAATTCATCTCTGGAAATGAAGCAGGTGAGTAAGTTTTTCATAGCTAAATCTGTGAAGAACCTTTCTTAACCTAATTTCCTAGATAATATACCTCTAATGACCTGGTTAAATATTCAAACACATCAAAAATCCTTTTATCAAAAGCAGAATGTAATTTAATTAGTCATAGTATCAACGTTATCCTTAATTTGCACTGACACTAGTAGAATGTAATAGCATTTAAGCTCAGGAAATCAATGGGGGAAAAAACAGGAAAACAGTGGCTGCCTAAATTAGAGTCTACGATTTCTTCAAATTGTAAACATCAAAACAGAGCCCACATCTATGGTGTTTAGAGGAGACAGAGAAGAGCAAGACTCCAAAAACTGGGAACGATGGCTCTGAGGCTAACAGTGGGGCTGAGATTTAGGTAAGGGCATCAAAGAAAATAGAGAAGTATAGCGAGGTCCTAATAGTGGTAGAATACCATTATTCTAGTGTTTCAATCAACTGGAGTGGAGCCTCAAAAGGAAGATCCCCCAACTTGAGTGGAAAATACTGACAGAAAATCTAGAACCTGGCAGGTCAGAGATCCCGCATGAGTGGAGTTGAAAGAGTATCGGAAAATGCATGGAAGTCTTTGGAAGGGAGAGGAACCCTTGGATCCTGGGTGTCAAAGGAAAAACAAAATATGTAAAAATAAGAGTCTCAATAAAACAGAATATTAATGAAAGCATCAGAAGACAGACAGGGAAAAAGTGCCACTTATAAAAGAAGCTCCCTCACTGTAAGAACATAAGAGGGAGCCCTTTATCTGAGAAATCTGGGAAGCCAGCCTGAAGCCTCTCTGCTGCCCCCTGCATAGAATCTCCTGCTATTACTGGCCCACAAAACAATGAAAAAAATAGTAATAATGAAGAAAAAAATGAAATTCCAATATTGAGACACAGCTATTCCTTTGTATACATTTTCAAAAACTTTGCAGCAACAGCAAGCAAATTCTAAACATCTAGTCATGAAGCCAAAGAATATAAAAAGGTAACATAAAATAACTAAGGAAACAACTGCAGCTACAAAGAGACATAAAAATTACAGATTAAAAATTAAGAGTGGAAATAGATAAACAGCAGGAAGATGTTAAATTGGAATTGGTGAAAACCCAGGAGAAAAATTGAAGAAAAAGAAAAATCATCTCAAAAGAAGACCAAATAGCAAGGTGCTCCACTAAGAATAAATAAAACTGAAAATACAGCAAGGATATTAGAGGACAGAACTGAAAAGATGTTCCCTATCCCTGAAATATTGCAGACACTTTAAAAAAAAAGATATAATGGGCTAGAGAAGGTTATAGTTTTAGGAAACAGGCAAAAATATCCAAAATATACATTATTGCCATTTCTGGAGAAGAAAAAGCAATGAAAGAGAACTAATATTTAAAATTATAAATAAGGCAAAAATTTTCTTAGTTTAGGAAAAAAAACCCCTAAATCTATGTAGTGAAAGAACCTACCATATATCTGGAAGAATTAATCCTGAACCGTCAATTATGCAAAGTATTTTGAAAAACAATTGGATTTGTTTTACTCAGAAAACAGTAAGTTGTACAGAGAATTATTTAAATCTCATGAGCTAAGTACAAGAAGCTTAAGTTTACAAAAAAAAAAGCATTCAGGAAGAAACTAACATTTAATTATTTTTATTAAAACCAAAATTAAGGAATCTTTTAATGTAATTTATAATATTAATAATAGATCTAAGGGAAACAAAACAACCCACAGAAGCTAAAAAGGTATTTGATAAACATTAAATAATCATTTCTGATGGGGAAAAACAGACCACTCAAAATAGTAGGAATGAATGAATACTTCCTTAAAACAGGGCCAGGTGCGGTGGCTCATGCTTGGTAATCCCAGCACTTTAGGAGGCAGAGGCAAGAGGATCACCTGAGATCAAGAGTTCGAGACCACCCTGGTCAACATGGTGAAACCCCATTTCTACTAAAAATACAAAAATTAGCTAGGTGTGGTGGTGGGTGCCTGTAATCCCAGCTGCTTGGAGGCTGAGGCAGGAGAATCACTTGAATCTGGGAGGTGAAGGTTGCAGAGAGCCAAGATCATGCCACTACACTTACTCCAGCCTGTGCAACAGAGTGAGACTTCAACTCAGAAAACAAACAAACAAACTAACTAACAAAAAACAAGAAAGTATATATACCTCAGCCACACATGTAGCATCTTAATAAGGAATTTCTAAACCTATTTCACTAACTTTAGGAACAAGGTAAGAAGACATTCAATCATATTATTATTTAACAGTTTCTGGTGTTATTAATAAATTGGATTAGATAGTAATCGAAAGCATAGAATTTGAAATAGAAAATATTGAACTCTTTCCATTTACAGATGATAGGAAAGTGTACCTGCAGAACTCTAGAGAATCAATGGAAAAATTATAAGCAGTAAGAGAATTTAATAAGGTACCAAGACACAAGATTAATCTGTAAAAATTAACAGTCTTCATAAATATAAATAATAAATTAAAGTATATATTTGAAGAGAGAAGTCCAATTTATATAAACAACAAACAAGGTAAATTACCTTGGAATAATCCTAACAAGATAAAACTTACGTGAGGAAAACTTTAAAACTCTCCTTAGTGACACAAAAGCATTTTTGACCAAATGGAAAGGCAACCTATATCAGTGTGCCCAAAACGCCTTCAAGTTTTGCTAGAAGGACTCACAAGTCTCAGTATAGAATCATATTCATGGCTATGATTTATTGCACAAAATGATACCAGCAAAATCAACAAAGGGAAAAAGTACATAGAGCAAATCATAAATTAGAATAATAGAAGATGTGAATTGAATTACACAGAAAAAGAACTATAAATGATTCTTAATCCTCTGAGAAAATGATCAACTTCACACAAGAAAAATGGAAATCAAAACTACACTGAGATAGCATTTCTCACATTTTATATTGGCAGAAATCCAAAAGTTTGACAACAGCCCTGTTGGCAGGCCTGGAAAGAAACAGGTGGTGCTCTCCACATTGCTGGTGGGAGCACAAAATGTTACAGCCCCGTGGAGGGGAACTTGGCAAAATCTAACAGAATTACAGACTCGTTTATCCTTTGACCCAGAAATCCCACTTTTAGTGCTCCTGAAGCCAGACAACCAAAGTACAAAATAATGTATGTAGAAGCTTTTTATACCAGCATTGTTTTCTTAATAGAAAGATTGGAAACAACTCATCAAAGACACATTGAATAAAGGAGGACAAAAAACAGCACTAGGTCATTCTAACAGAAGAGTGAGAAAGATCTCCATGTACTGATCTAGTTACTTTCAGAATTTATTGTAAAGGAAAAAAAAAAAGTCAGAATTGTGTCTACCCTTTATACGTTTATGAAAAAAGAGGGGTGTATGTGTATGTGTATGTGTATGTGTGTGTACATATATGTATATATGTTTTGTAAGGATATGAATTATACACACATATGCAAGTGTGTATACAAAAAACATGGAAGATAAACTGAAAACTAGTAAAAGTCATTACTTATAGGAAAAAACCAGAACAGCAGGATTTTGAGTTCTCTGAGTATTCTTTTAAATACAGTTTTGGCTTTCAAAAAAGGAAAATGTTATATGTATTTTTAAAAACAAAATTAAAATGAAAAAGCAAACCCTAAAACTGAAAACTAACTGAAACAAGTGAACCTCATTGAATATCAAATTATAATCACACGGAGAAAATAATTATTTCACATGACTTTAAAACACAGTAATCAGACTGTATATGCTAGTGTCATGTATTTAAATGGCAAAAAGATTGCTAGGAAATTTTAAACTTGATTCAATAATTTTCTTCTTAGAAGTTACATTAGTGTTCTCACCTTGAAATTTTTTTATATATCACAGGATAAAACAATTAGTAGTTATATGAATATTATTAGAAATCAAGATTTTCAAATTAAAAGAAAAGAGAGAAAATAGTTAAATCAGGGCTGGACCTTGCACCTCACACCTGTGATCCCAGTACTTTCAGAGGCTGAGGCCAGGAGACTACTTGAGCCCAGGAGCTTGAGACCAGCCTGGGCAACATTGTAAGACCCCCCCCCATCTCTACAAAAAAATACAAAAAATTAGCCACACATGGTGGTACATGCCTGTATCCCAGCGACTTGGGAGGTTGAAGTGAGGGAATCACCTGAGCCCAGGAAGTTGAGGCTGCAGTGAGCTGTGATTGCACTACTGCGCTTCAGCTTGGGAGGAGTGAGATCCTGTCTCAAAAAAAAAGAAATAATTAAGTAAATTTCTGTAATGTTCCATTTGAGTTGGAAATATATATGTAAACTTGTGATATATATGTAATTTATATTAATCTGAATATATGATATGTAGAAAATATGTATTTGTATATATTAGAAATATTTACAAATTTATTATAAATATGTGATATATACTTCTAATATATGGAAATATATATATATATCTATATATATTTATATATATAAATATATATCTTCCAATATAATACATTTATTTTCTATATATTTATTTATATCTTCTAACTCTGGCCATTGAAATGGCCTGCAGTCATTGGTACCCTAACAGTAGTGTGCACCCTTTGTCACCCACTTTGGGCTCCTAAATTTCTGTGTTCACTCTTGCTTGGAGAAATGATTAATTCCAGGTCTTGGGCAAGAAAAGTTCAAGGTGAGCTTAGGACTTCTTGAGTCAGAAAATGAAGAAGCATTCAAAGAGTAAGGGAGCTCTGCTTAAATGACAAGGGCACTAAACTACATGAGTTCCTGTTGACCAAATGTGGAGAATTTTGAGCACTGAAAAAATAATTATTTGTAGTTGATTGACACACATTTATAATATTGAAATATACATGTCTCCAATGATGATTAATAAAAAGAAGCACAGTGACTATCATATCAAGTCCTTATTCTGAAGTTTGGTAATTAAAGGGAAAATTAATCAATTATCAAGTATTTTTTATTAGAAACTATGGATCAAGATATTGAAATAGTTACAGTTGATTAGAGAAATCTCTCTTTTTGAAGAAAAATTCCAACCAATAAATGTTGAACAAAGACACAATTGGAAAAATCATTGTTTTGAAATCCTGAATTAAAGGGACAAGGAGCAAAATACATGCTGAAAACATTAGGTGAAAGGTTGAGTAGGACCTGGATGTTTGTCTGATGCCAGATTATTTGCTAACTGCAGAATCAAAAAATACTTTACACTGGAGAGCTCTGGCTGTCACCACTTAAACCTAGTGATCAAACATAGCATCACTGATAGTGGGGACTTGATGTTATGTGTCTCCTTTTGTGATATATCACCTAGAAATTATTCCTGTCCAAAATGATGAACCTGAAACTAATCAAGTTCTTATATCCCTTTCTAGATATTCTAAATTTAGCTGTTCTCCATTACGTAAATTAACTTATTCTTTTATCCTCTGGATGCCCTGCAAACTGAAAATGAATATAAGAATTTAATTGCAGTACAAGACCAACCTGTTCAATGTTAGAATTAGAATTTCTGCTGGGAGAGATAGGAAATTTTCATTTTTAATAGGCTCACCAGATGATTCTTACACACATTAATGTTGAGGAATTACTATCATTCAATATTGTTGAGCAGAGAATATATTTGTGATGAAGAATATTGTCCTGTTAATTGGGTAAAGTTAGGAAACAATTGCAGTGTTTCAGGTAGGAGGAACGAAGACATGAATTTGGGTGGTGAAAGTAGTCATAGAAACATCATAAATAATCAAGTTGAGTTTAAAAAATATTATCATATTACTTTTCATCGCCCCGGCCTCCTCCTCTTCCTCCTCCTCCTCCTCTTTTTCTTCTTCCTCCTCCTCCTGCTTCAAAATGAAACAAAACAAAACAAAACAGGAACAACCAGAATATCCGTTGAATTGACTACACTGGCAGGAAGAATGGCTGGGATGCCAGGCAGTGAGTTGGGATTTAATATTGAGTAAATGGCTCAATAATCACAAAAGCTTATTCATTCAAATCAATTGCATTAATCAGAAACAAAGCTATTGAAATACTCAGACAAAAGGATAAATAATGGTAATGTCTGAGAGTATTTAATAGTTGCCTTAATTTCCTAGAAGCTTTGGAAATTCATGTAATCCTAGCTGCCTTTGCATGTTGACCAGGTCCAACAGAAGGGCCTGTGGAAGCCACCACCAGAGCAGGCAGTGGAAGCACAGCTGAAACATCAGGTACTGGGGCCCCTGGCCCTGGAAACACAGCAGGTAAGACAAAGCATATATTGTTGTCAGAGCAATGGTCAAACACAAAGGTCTTATATATAAGTAGCATAAGTCCAAGTGAGTTTTTAAAAAAGAAGTTAATTACAAGAGAATGACTGAGGAAAATTCTAGCAATAAGAAACTAAGTTTAATAAAAAATAAAAAGTTTAATAATAAACTTTTGTCAAAAAGCATTTGCAGCATAGCAACAAGCTATAGGCAGAGCCTCATAATTTTTCAAATTGGATGCAACTGGAAGATCAGATGCAGCAACCACTTTAGCTTCAGGTAAAGTCACATTTGAAGTATCATTCATATCTAAAATTATTTTTAATTAGCAGAAGTGTGAGCTCTGATATCAAAATTTGATTTATCAAAAGAGATTATGAAGAATTTAGTAGTTGTAAATAGATTAGTGCAAATGTTACCAGAAACTGTGGGAACCTTCAGTTTTTTTCTAACTTGGAAGAAATAATTGAGCCAAGAGATGCATAGCAAGGATTAAGTAGAAGAGTTTATTGAAGGAAGATAAAGTGCATTCTTAGAAAGTAATGGAAAGCAAACTGTGCTGGTACAGATAAAAAAATAGTAGGAGCAGGATTTATTTCAGAAGTACACCCTGAAACACGAGACAGAGTGGGCTGCTTGACAGAATGAGCCAGCAGCAGCTAGTGCTGGGGGACCTCTTTTATGAGACTCTTCGGTGATTATTCATGAAGAGGCGTGAGGGGGGTGTTATTTACACGCATGTTTCAGGATGTCTCTGGGCACGCATGCTCTGTGGTTGTACATGCTAGTACACAAATCGCATGTCTCATTAGCATTTAAAATCTCCACCCAGGGATGTGTTTTTTACTATTATAATGAGCAAAAGTCTACTCCGGGACAATTTTTTGGAGGAGTGTGCATGCTTGTCAGTGAGGACATTCCCTAATCTGGTTCTCTCCAGCTAGGGCCTGGCAGGTCCCTTTCAAGGCAGGAGGAGCTCAATCGCAAGACCAGAAGTAGCCAGTGTAGCAGTTGTCTTTTTGCTGACTGTCAGTGGGCAGCACTGACTATGAGTGGACAGTGTCTCCAGGACTTTTTCCCTGAGGGCTCCTTGCCTGCTCATTTCTGGCTTTCTGCCTACTCTAACACAAACACTTCTATTTTGGCTAGATAATATTTACTGAGGGCTTAGTAATGTGTTCTGTACCAGAAGATGCTCTTATACTTACAAAGCTTAGAATTTTTAGAAGAAAGTAATGTTTAAACACATGAAAAAAGCAAAAAGTAAGTAATATAGCAAAAGATGTTGGGAGAATAATTTACTCTGGAATGATAACTTGTAGGTAATTTTAGAAAGAACTGTAGGTAATTCAGTGTCAAAGGCAAATAAGGATTGTGATGTTATAATAGTGCCTTATCAGATTAACATGTACACCCTTCCTGAGCAAGAAGTCCTAATATCACTAAACTGAGTAAACATTATGAGTATAAATATGCTGGAAGAGATTTCCGAATTGTTTCAGGTCACAGTGATTGAATAAAATCAAGTTTCTTAAACTGTTTGTTTTTTCTGAAAGTGTCAGGCGCACCTGTGGTATCACCTGGAGCAACGCCTGGAGTTCCAGGTAGCAGCACCCCCAAGGAAGCAGGCATTGGAACCACCAGTCTTAGAAACTCAGGCAAGTCGGGACATGACTCCTTAGCAGTTCTCAACCCTGCCTTCCTCAGCAGGTTGTGATGTGAACTATTGGTCGGGCTATAACTGACATTAAATGTCAGAGCATAGGGAAAGCATCTGGAAGATGCCGTTAATGCATTATACTTTAGAAATCTCAGTTCTGTGCTATTAGCACGGAATAGGGACCAGTACTTTCACAGTAGTGAGCCTGAACCATTGTCGTTCATAACCAGGAACCCCAACAGTATCTGTTGCCTCAACTACAAGTAGCCCTGTGAGTGAAAACACGAATGCAGCCTCAGCCACAGCAGTGACAATCTCTGGAAGCAAACCAGGTAGATAAAATGGGGGACCCAGCACTTGCAGGAGGCAATATAGGATGTTCATGTAATACTGTTCCTCAAAATCAGTGTCATGCTATTAAGTAAGTAAATCACTTAACCTCTGTAACCTGTGTTTTCTTATCTGTAATATGTGGGTCAAAGTGATCTACTCTGTGAGCTTGGGATGAGGAGCCAAGGAAATAATGAATAGTGTACATCAAAGTACATTTTTTAAATGTGGAAAGGATCATTATTTTTATCAATACAGAAAAATGAACATTTCTGTAATTTTTAGTTGGAAGTTAATTTAAATGAGAATTGGTTATCTCATCACTTAAGGAATTCTGTGAATGAGTCCTTTCCATTTTTGCCTTTGCAACAGGCACGGCTGGAATACCAGGTGGTGCAGCTAGTGGAGGTGAAATGACATCTGGGTGGTCCAGCAGTGGTACCACCATGGGCTCTTCAAATAAACCAGGTGAGACTAGCAAAGCATAAAAGGTCACAAAAATGGGAATAAGTGTGGAAACCTGTTTATAAAAGCTTATTCAGTAGGGTATTAATTCAGTTGAAAATTTTTCCTGCATGAAACTTAAAGCACTGTTATTTAAATATTCTGTGAATTCATTAAAAAGATTGCCATTGCATGCTTTGTTATTCAGTGTTTATGTACCATTGGGGTATCAATTAGTGTAATACCTGAAATCACAGATATAAAAATGATCTGATAGTTTAGATATTTTCCATTATTAAACTAGACTAGTGTCACTTTTTTAATCAGATATTGTCACAAGACCAATTTAGAAATCACTGGAATGTTACTTGATACAACCATAGTGGAGTTAAGTTAAAAAAAAAAAAAGCAATAGTAATCTTCTGATACTGTATCCCATGGTTGGTCCATAATTGCTGTTTTTGAGTTAATGGCTTCTAAGGATGTGTTTACTCATTTTGTTACAATTTCTTTGTCTAAGTTCTGCATTTTCCACACAAAATCACTTAGACAACAAGCTAACATAATTCAATATAGGTTAAAAGTTCAAAATAATTACAAAATACTGTTAGTTATTTTTGCAGATCATTAATTGATTTTTCCCATAATACAAATACTTAAGAGTTCAATAAATTCTCCTCTGTCTCAAATAATATAATATGCTGTTGGGCATCAAAAGGTTATCTTACATCAGCAAGGATATTTAAATTTCAAACTGGAATTCTTTTTTTTTTTTTTTTTGCAATCTTTTGCAAAACACCACTATCTTCAGTATTAGAAATTTTTGTGGTTTAAAGTATTAGCATATTTTCCCATATGTTCTTTACTGAACAGAGATCTAGAACCTTGATGAATAGATTTCCCCATTTCTAAGAACAATTTGATAAGTAACACTGCCTTCTGAATTGTTTAAAAATTCAGAAATCAATTTTCTTCCTAAAACCTCTACACATGGGTTTTTTTAGTCTTCTTTTCTACAGTTTACAAATAGGGCTTGTCTATAATTCATTTGCTCAAAGCTGACCTGTTGAAGAAATATGTAAACTATGCAATAGGTGTTGCAGATCCCTTGCTAAACATTGTTTGTGTCTCATAATACTTGTTTCAAATGACTAAAGAGATAGATTACCAATCAATTTATTTATTTATATTTAAATACTTCTCAGAAAATAGCCAAAAAAACTTGCATGAAAAATACAAGGGTAGGATAAAATATTAGTAGATAAAACCATTCTTATATCTTCATTTCTACTGGCTATATTTAATACAATATTGTTGATAATATAAACACATGAAGCAGTCATATGTTTATATACTTATGTATGAATTATCTTAATCTGTTTTAACAAAAGTAAAAATGATCATCAGAAAAAAAGTATAGAAAGTATAAAAATGGGCAAAGTGTTTTCACGTATATTAACTTACTTGAATCTTACAGACACCCTATGCAGTCAATAATATATTAGTAATTATTCAAATATTATCTATGTAAAATCAATGTGTTTACCCCAAATTCACAGGATGAGTATGTGCTGAGTCAGGGCCTAGATTGTTGATTCTTCATCTAATCATCTTTTACTAGACAGACCACCAACATGGTGATTTCTGTTAAAACTAGAGAAATATTGTAATATTGTAATATTGCCTAATTTTGTTTTTAGTTTTGCTCCTAGTGCCTAGCTCAGTTCCTGGTTTGGGTACTTGATAAATATTTGATGGATATTTGGTAAATAATTCAATAAGTCAATAGTAGCTTCCAGTCTGGTAAAAGATGAAGAGGTTTTATTCTCATCACTGAGATAAAATCACAGGTCATATGGAAGGGAACCTTATGGAAGGATTGGAGCTGTCAGGAGGTAGTAGACTGTTTTCTGCTCCACTCAAATAGTGGAGTTTTGCTGGAAACATGTACCCATACACACACAGACACACCACTCTACAGATGCATGTCTCTGCAGATCCAAGGTTTCCATCTTCATCTGGTTCCTTAGGGGTATTCTTGCTATATTATCTTCAGAACTAGAGCCTTCTGGGTGATACTGGATTTCCCTTTATGGTCACACCTGTTCTCTGAGTCTTCCCCATATTAGAAAATGGTACCATCACTGACCCAATTCACTCAGGTAAAAATATTATTATTATCCTTGATGGCTGTCTTTTTCTTCTACCTTCCATATTTAAACAAGTCCTGTTAATGCTACTTCTGATACACATCCTGCCCCTATCCACTATTCTTAGTCTCCTTTATCACAATTTTAGCATAAGACACTCATAAATTATCTGAACTTCGAATTGGTCTTCTTACTTCTATTATGCACCCCTTGCCATATATTTTCTACAGAGTGTAAAGAGGGATTTTAAATGCATATGAATTCTATACTATTTCTCCCCTGTTAAAAATTATAGCCCCTTGCATTTAGAAAAATCTTCAATTTTTCTCCCCTAATTCATTACATTTTGCTTACTCCTACATATCTGGCCTTACCTTATAATATTCCCCAGCTCATCTCCCATTATCCAGCCATATTTAACTTCTAGCTCTGCTTTTCTAGCAAGCATAGCTCCATCAGCCTTATGATGTTTGTACTGGCTGTTACCTCTGCCTGGAATGCCATTCTTCCTAGAGCTTCACTAGCAGGCTGCTTGTTATCAGACTTCAAAATAAAGATATTCTCAGAGAAGCCTTTGCTAATCAGGCAATCTAAAATAGAACATCTCATTTTCTCAATATCAACTCATTTTATGCCAATGCTTTGAAGCTTTTCTTGTTTGTGAATTTGGTTATTGGTTGGTGATTTTATTTATGTCTATCTCTCTCTTTCTTCCCACTAGAATGCCCTATAGGGCATTCCCTTAGAATAGCTACTTAATTTCTAGGTGCTTTAGTGTCTATTCCATAAAAGAAGAAGGTACTATTACAAATCTCAAATCTCAAATAGAATTATTCTAATGGTAAAATGAAGTGATACAAGTTGCTGACAACTTCTTTGACACACAACAGATAGTGGATAAATGATTTTTATGAAAATAAACAAACAGAAAGAAGTTACACTAGAGCTGGCACAGTGAAGATCACCATGGTCCCAGGTACTCAGGAAGATTGTTTGAACCCAGGAGTTTGTGATCAGCCTGGGCAACAGAGTGAGACTGTGTGTGTGTGTGTGTGTGTGTGTGTGTGTGTGTATATATATATATATATATATATATTTAGAAGTTACAGCATAGCAAAAAGGAAAGTATGAAATAATATGGTGATTATGGAGTGAAGATGTATAAAAGCTATACTAGAGAAATAAAGCAACATGAGCCTTGAAAGTTAACTAAGGACCAAAACAGCTATTAACATTATTCTACTTGTACTATTTGTTTGTGACAGGGGCAACCAGATCATCAACTTGGGAGACAGAGACAACTGGACCATCAGCTACAGTAATAGGGAATTATGGACAATCATCTGAAATAACAGGGACAAGTAAATTATCATCTGAAGTTTCAGGGACAGTGAGGCCATCAGATGCAACATCAGGAGCAACTGGAACATCAGTTGCAGTGAAAAGGACTTCTGAACAATTGTCAGGAGTCACAGGAGCATCTGAACCATCAGTTGGAGTGTCAGGGACAACTGAATCATTAACTGAAATATCAGGGACAACCAGACCATTAATTTCAGAATTAAGAACAACTGGATCATTATCTGGAGGGTCAAGGACAACTGAGCCTTCATCAAGAGAATCAGTGACAACTGGACCATTAGCTGAAGGTTCAGGGACAAGTGGAAAATTGGTTATAGGATCAAAAACAACTAGATTATCAGCTACTGAAAAAGGGACAACTGGGTCTTTTACTGGAGGATTAGGTACAAGTAAATCATCTGCTAGAGAAACAGGGACAACTGAACCATCAGCTGATGGGTCAAGAACAACTGGACCATCCGTTGTGGGATCAGGGACAACTAGATTATTAGCTAGAGTGACAAGAACAACTGAACCATCACCTGGAGTGGCAGAAACAACTATACCATCAGCTGAAGAATCAGGAACAAATGGACCATTTGTTCTACTGACAGGAACAACTGGACAGTCAGGCAAAGGATCAGGGACAACTGGAAAATCTGTCATAGAATCAGGACCATCTGTTGTAGAATCAGGGACAACTGGAACAACATCTGCAGGATTAGCAACAACTGCACCATCAACTGGAAGATTAGGTACAACAAGACCATCAGTTGGAGGAACTGAGACAACTGGACAATCAGGTGAAGGATCAGGAACAACAATACCATCAGCTAGAATGACAGATGTAACTGGAACATCAGCTGAAGTATCAGGAAGAAATGAATCATCAGCTACAGGATCAGGTACAAGTAGACCACTAGTTGAAATAACAGAGAAAACTATACCATCAACAGAAAGATCAGGGGCAACTGGACGGTTTGTCATTGGATCAGAAACAACTAGACCATCAGTTATAGGATCATGGGCAACTGGAACTTCATCTGGAGGTTCAGGTACAACAAGGTCATCAGGTGGAGGAACAGGGACAACTGAACAATCAACTGTAAGGCTAGAAACAACTGGACCACTTTTTGCATTGACAGGAAAATCTGGACAATCAACTATAGTGACTGGGAAATCTTCAAATTCAGCTGGAGTGAGAATAACATCTGAAAAATCGCCTGGAGTGGCAATGACAACAGGACTATTGGTTGAAGGACCAGCTACACCTGGACAATCTCTTTTAAAATCAGAGACAACTGAATCATCAGTTGGAGTTACAGTAACATCTGGACAATCAGCCAGAGTGACTGGGACAAATGGACCATCAGCAGGAGAGACAAGAACAACCGGACCATCAACTGAAGGATTAGTTTCAACTGTACCATTTGTTATTGGATCAGAAACAACTAGATCATTAGTTATAGGATCAGGGACAACTGGAACTGTATCTGGAGGTTCAAGTACAATAAGATCATCACATGGAGAAACAGGGACAACCAGACAGTCAATTAAAAGATTGGAAACAACTGTATCACTTTCTGGATTGATGGGAACATCTGGACAATTGGTTGGAGTGACTGGGATATCTCTAAAATCAGCTGGAGTAACAATGACATCTGAAAAATCAGCTGGAGTTGCAGTGACAACAGGATCATTTGTTGAAGGATTCACTACAACTAGACCACCTATTTTAGAATCAAAGACCACTAGACTATCAGGTAGAGTGACAGTGACATCTGGACAATCAGCCAGAGTGACTGGGACAGTTGGAGCATCAGCTGGAGTGACAGAAACAACTGGACCATCAACTGAAGGATCAGGGGCAACTGTATCATCTGTTGTGGGATCAGGAGAAACCAGACCATTACCTAGTGAATCAGGTACAACTGAATCATCAGCTGGGGTGACAGGGACAAGGCCATCATCAGGAGGATCAGGGACAACTGAGTCATCCTCAATAAAATCAGCAACAACTGGACCATCACATGAAGGATCAGGAACAACTAGACTATCAGCTGGAGTGACAGTGACATCTGGACAAACAGCTAGAAATACTGGGGCAACTGGAGTACCAGCTGTAGTGACAGCAACAATGACACCATATTTTGTCAAATCAGGGACAACTGGACCATCTGTTGTAGGAACAATGACAACTGGAACTTTAGCTGGAGGATCAGGTACAACAAGATTATCAGATGGAGAAACAGAGACAACTGGGCAATCAGCTGTAAGCTCAACAGAATCATTTGCTGGGTTGACAACATCTGGACAATCAGCTGGAATGGCTGGGACATATGCACAATCAGCTGGAGTGGCACTAACAACAGGTTTATTTGTTGAAGGATTAGTGACAACTGGATCATCTACTGTAGGACTAGAGACAGCTAGACCTTCAGTTGTAGGATCAGGAACAACTGGCCCTCCTGTTGTAAAAGCAGAGACAACTGGACCATCAGTTGGATTGACAGTGACATCTGGACAATCAGCTAGAATGACTGGGTTAACCAGACCATCAGTTGGAGTGACAGGAACCACAGGACCAGCCAGTAAAGGATTAGGGACCACTAGACCATCTGCTGTACGTTTAGAGACTACTGAACCATCAGCTGATGGATTGGGAACAACTGAACCACCTATTGTAGAAGGAAAGACAACTACACCATCAGCTAGAGTGACAGTTACATCTGGAGACTCACATAGAGTGACGGGAGCAACTGAACTATTGGCTGGAGTGACAGGATCCACTAAACCATCTGTGGTAGGATCAGAGACAACTGGATCATCTGTTACAGGAATAAAGACAACTGCAAAAACTTCATCTGGAGGATTAAGTACAACTACATCATCAGTTGGAGGAACAGGGACCACTGGACAATCACCTGAAATATCAGGGACCACAGGACCATCTGCACAATCAGCTGGAGTGGTAGTAACAACAGGACTTTTTGTTGAAGGCTCATTGACAACTAGAAAATCTCTTGTAGGATCAGTAACAACTGGATTATCAGCTGAAGCTACAGGGACAACTGGACCATCTGTTACTGGATCAGGAACAACCAGACCACTAGTTATAGGATCATGGACAGCTGGAACTTCATCTGGAGGACTGGGTACAACTAGTCCATCAGTTGGAGGAACAGAGACAACTGGACAATCAGCTGCAGGATCAGTGACAACAGAGACAGTTTCTGAATTGACAGAAACCTCTGGTCCATCAGCAGAAGTAACAGTGACACCTGGAAAATTACCTGCAGTGACTCAGACAACTGGATCATCAGCTGCAGTATCAGGGACAACTGTACAATCTCTTAGATTATCACAAACAACTAGAACGTCATCTGGAGAAACAGAAACAACTGGATCATTAGTTAAAGAATCAGGGACAACTGAACCATCAGATGTAAGATCAGGGACTACTGGACCAACAGCTGGGGTGACAGGTACAAATAGACTCTCAGCTGGAGTGACAGGGACAACTGGGCTATCAGCTAGAGTGACAGGGACAATTGGGTCATCAGGGACAACTGGACTGTCAGCTGGAGTGACAGGGACAAGTGAACTGTCAGCTGGAGTGACAGGGACAAATGTACTGTCAGCTGGAGTGACAGGGACAAATTTACTTTCAGCTGGAGTGACAGGGACAAGTGGACTATCAGCTGGAGTGACAGGGACAACTGGGCTATCATCTGGGGTGACAGGGACAATTGGATCACCAGCTGAAGCAACAAGGACAACTGGACTATCAGCTGGAGTGACAGGGACAAGTGGACTCTCAGCTGGAGTAACAGGGACAAGTGGATTATCAGCTGGAGTGACAGGTACAAGTGGACTCTCAGCTGGAGTGACAGAGACAAGTGGACTCTCAGCTGGAGTGACAGGGACAAGTGGACTGTCAGCTGGAGTGACAGGGACAAGTGGACTGTCAGCTGGAGTGATAGGGACAAGTGGACTGTCAGCTGGGGTGACATGGACAACTGGGTCAGCTGGGGTGACAGGGACAATTGGTTCAACAGCTGAAGTGACAGGGATGACTGGCCTATCAGCTGGAGTAACAGGGGCAAATGGACTGTCAGCTGGAGTGACAGGAACAAGCAGACTATCAGCTGGGGTGACAGGGACAACTGGATCATCAGCTGGGGTGACAGTGACATTTGGATCACCAGCTGAAGCAACAGGGACAACTGCACTATCAGCTGGAGTGAGAGGGACAAGTGGACTAGGAGTGACAGGGACAACTGGGCTATCAGGTGAGGTGACAGGGACAATAGGATCACCAGCTGAAGCAACAGGGACAACTGGCCTATCAACTGGAGTGACAGGGACAAGTGGACTCTCAGCTGGAGTGATAGGGACAACTGGGCTATCAGGTGAGGTGACAGGGACAATTGGATCACCAGCTGAAGCAACTGGGACAAGTGGACAATCAGCTGGTGTAACAGAGATGAGTGGACTATTAGCTGGAGTGACAGGGACAAGTGGACTACCATCTGGGGTGACAGGGACAATTGCATCATCAGCTGGGGTGACAGGGACAAGTGGACTGTCAGCTGGAGTGACAGGGACAACTGGAGTGTCTGGAGTGACAGGAACAAGTGGATTATCAGCTGGAGTGACAGGGATAACTGGATCATCAGCTGGGGTGACAGGGACAATTGGATCACCAGCTGAAGCAACAGGGACAACTGGACTATCAGCTGGAGTGACAGGGACAAATGGACTAGGAGTGACAGGAACAACTGGGCTATCAGCTGGGGTTACAGGGACAGTTAGATCACCAGCTGAAGCAACAGGGACAAGTGGACTGTCAGCTGGAGTGACAGGAACAAGTGGACTATTACCTGGAGTGACAGGGACAAGTGGACTGTCAGCTGGGGTGACAGGGACAAGTGGACTGTCAGCTGGAGTGACAGGAACAAGTGGACTATTACCTGGAGTGACAGGGACAAGTGGACTGTCAGCTGGGGTGACAGGGACAAGAAGACTATCAGCTGGAGTGACAGAGACAAGTGGAATGTCAGCTGGAGTGACGAGGACAATTGGATTGTCAGCTGTGGTGACAGAGTCAATTGGATCACCAGCTGGAGTGACAGGGACTAGTGGACTCTCAGCTGTGGTGACAGAGTCAATTGGATCACTAGCTGAAGCGACAGGGACAACTGGACTGACAGGGACAAGTGGACTATCAGCTGGAGTGACAGGGACAATTGGATCACCAGCTCAGGTGACAGGGACAAGTAGACCAGCTGGGGGGACAGGGATAACTGGACCCTCAGCTGGAGTGACAGGGACAACTGGACTATCAGCTGGGGTGACAGGGACAACTGGATCAGCAGCTTGGGTAACAGGCACAACTGGATCATCAGGTGGAGTGACAAGGACAACTGGACTGTCAGTTGAAGCATCAGGGACAACTGGACTATCAGCTGGAGTGACAGGGACAACTGGGTCATCTGCAAGATCAGGGACAAGTCTACCATCGGTTGGAAAAACAGGAACAACCAGAACATCAGTTGAAGAATCACAGACAACTGGACCATCAGCTGAAATAACAGGTACAAATGGACTGTCAGCTGGAGTGACAGGGACAACTGGACCATCAGCTGGAGCAACAGGGACCACTGGACTATCAGCTGGGGTGATGGGGACAAATAGACTATCAGCAGGAGTGACAACGACTACTGGATCATCAGCTGGGGTGACAGGGACAAATGAACTATCAGCTGGGGTGACAGGGACAACTGGGCTACCAGCTGGGGTGACAGGGACACCTGGACTGTCAGCTGCAGTGACAGGGACAAGTGGACTATCAGCTGGGGTGACAGGTACAATTGAATCAGCTGGGATGACAGGGACAACTGGACTGTCAGCTGGAGTGACAGGAACAACTGGATTATCAGCTAGAGTGACAGGGACACCTGAACTGTCAGCTGAAGTGACAGGGAAAATTAGACTCTCAGTTGGAGTGACAGGGACTACTGGACCATCAACTGAAATGACAGGGACAATTGGACTATCAGCTGGGGTGACAAGTACCACTGGACCACCAGCTGAAGTGACAGGGACAACTGGGCTATCATCTGGGGTGACAGGGACAACTGGATCATCTGCAAGACCTGGGACAAGCATATCGGCTGAAAAAACAGGAACAACCAGAACATCAGTTGAAGAATCAAGGACAACTAGACCATCAGCTGGAATAACAGTTACAAATGGGCTATCAGCTGGACTGACAGGGACAACTGGACCATCAGCTGTAAGATCGGTTACAACTGGACCATCAGCTGGCACAACCACTGGGACAGGAACTACTGGAGAGCCAGGAACTAAAATTATAGCCCATGAAGGCAAGTCTAGTTAGCTAAAGATATATCATTTAACGTGAACGATATGATTTTTGGTCTTCCAGACTTAAATCTGTGTAAATTTATCACAATTAAATATGTTATTAAGAATTCAAATTGTTGAACAATAATGGGGACTTTCCAGAATATTATTGATTCCTTAGACATTTTGAGTTCATGTTTTCATGGGGATTCTGCGGCCACTACAGCTGGGAACCCAGCAGGCACAGCTCACCTTGGGTGCTCTGGTGTGGTCCAACATAAGCGTGACTGAGACCCCCAATTATGATCCTAAGATGAGTCAATTATGATTTAACCAAGGACCTAAATTCCTAAATTCAGGAAAAATGATTGAGAGATAACCTAGATTTGTCAGTGTCTAAATTCAAATTTTACATAAGGGGCAGTAAGTTCATTATATTTATTAAGATGTACCATGTAAAACTGATAATCAATTATTGCTTTAACCAGGAAAAACTGAAGAACCATATGGAACCACCCCTGGAGCAGGTGAAAGCAGGACCAGATTAACTACGCCTGGAAAATCAGGCAAGTGAGGTGGAAAGAATTTAGTCGCAACTGTAGCTCAACGTAAGGTTTTCTTTTTTTTCGTTTCTTTTTTCTTTATAATAATGTAGGTATTATTTTCCCTAATTTGCTGGTAATGAAGCTGAGGTTCTGAGATATTTAACCTGTTAACCACACAACTCTTCTGATTCCAATACGTGAGCTCTTTCTACTCCTCTACATTTCCTTTAGACCATTTTAGGCAAATTTCCTCTCTTCCAATTTTCTCTATTCTCAGACGCGTTCTATCTGAAGCGACGGTCAGTGGTCCTCTTCTAATAGCTGTTATCTCTGTTCATGTCATTTCTGTCATCTAGTCCATGTTAGCAAATACCCATTGCCCTTCAAATAAATTCTAAATGCTTCAGTGTAATGTTTGAGTCCTTGGAGACCCCATCTATTTTCTAAACTTCTCATTAGCTCCCTTCACATAATAACTTTTAGCCTCACTTAAATTAGTTGTTGGCACTGTTAGAAGTTACTTTATACAATTTTACAAACTGATCCCTAGAAAGTTATTTTCTCACTTCATTCAAGCTAAATTTCCAGTTATTTTTCACTCATTCTGTGTTTATGTAACACATGTTGCTATGTTTTCCTAAACCTTGGCCCTCACTATGTCTTCTGCCTGATGTGTCCTTCCTGGACTTCACATAGACAAATCCTAAGTAATGATAAAGATCTAGATGCTGCCTTTTCCAGAAAGCCTTCCTTGACCTCACTGAGGAGTAATGCTCAGCAGTTTCTCATGGTCTCAGGTTCTCAGTATATAAGAACTGTTTTTTGTAGCAGAAAGCTAAGGCATGCTGAGATCAAACTAGGTGAACACACGAGAAGATCATCTTTCATCCTTGTCAGGGAAGGCACAAATGGATTTACAAATGGAATAGGCCAAGCAGAGAAACTCATAGAATTATAGATCTGTTAAGTGCCCCGAAAAGGCTACTTGTTATAGCAAAGGAACACACAGATGTCATCTAGATTCAGATCTTCTCATGGCAGAATGAGTCAATATGGTGACTTCTGGACTTTCTGTGTTTCAGGTACCATTAGCGTAACCACTGGCACAACTCTTGCCCCTAGAAGTTCCAACACAGGTGAGAACAAGCTGAGTGGAATTTTCCCATGGGGACTTCTTTTAAGAGCTATTTCCTCAGGTTTTATTTATAGGCAAGATTATCACTACAGTAATCCATAATCCTTAATGTCTTCCCAGTTGTGTCTTTCTTCTTTTCTTCATCCTCAGAGGCCACAACTTCCTAGGAGGAAGTGGAATTGCTGCAGGTGGAATAGCTCCAGCTCAGCCTGCAGTTTTAATCAAAGTGCTTAATGATCAAAAAGTGAATTAATGCATTCAAAGCATCTTTCATTAGGCAGTGTTGCCTAAAATGTAGCCACACTGCTTTATTTCCTAAATGAAACCTTTTAAAAAATGCCAAACATTTCCTAGCTAACAAATGACAAGCTTCAGGAACCTAAGACTTCCTTCTACCTTAATGAGCCCATTCAGTACACTAAGAAGTCAAGTGACTGGCCACGGATAAATTTATACTGAGAAAACTTCCATTTCCCAGCACTGAATCTTTTTTGAAAGACAAAAGAGTCTCGAATATTGTCGGGAAATTTGCTGTAAGACAGATGCTACACTGGAAACACAGATTAATTCTTGACATTGGAAAGCTCAAAGAAAGAACATCCTAATATATTGTAAGAAATACAAATTTTTAAAAAAGCAATTCCCTAGTCATGGCATGTTGACCACCTTTCTTTATTTCAGGAACTTCTGGTGATATTTTGGGGAAAACTCCCAAACCTGGAAGTTTTGTCTTAGGTAAGTCACCACATAGCAGGACATCCTGGAGGGAGCCACTTAGGTAATGCCGCAGACCCAGCATGCTTTGCTCTTTTCTTTTCTTTTTTCTTTTCTTTTCTTTCTTTCTTCTTTCTTTCTTTCTCTCTCTTACTCTTTCTTTTTTTTCTTTTTCTTCTTTCTTTCTCATTTCTCTTTCTTACTCTTTCTCTTTCATTTTATCTCTTTCTTTTCTTCTTTCTTTCTTTTTCCTTCTTTCTCTTCTTTATCTTTCTTTCTCTCTTTTCTCGTTCTTTTCTTATTTCTCTCTTCTTTTTCTCTTTCTCTTTCTTTCTCTATTTCTCTCTTTCTTTTCTTTCTCATGATTCCTTCCTTCCTTCCTTCCTTCCTTCCTTCCTTTCCCTCCTTTCTCTCTCTCTCTCTCTTTCTTTCTTTCTCTCTTCCTTCCTTCCTTTACTTTCTTTCCTCTTTCTCACCCTGTTGCCCAGGCTGGAATATAGGACCATGATCTTGGCTCACTGCAGCCTTGACCTACTAGGCTCAGGTGATCCTGCCACCTCAGCCTCCCAGGTAGCTGGGACTACAGGCTATTTTTTTTTTTTTTATAGAGATGGGGTTTCACTATGTTACCCAGTCTGGTCTCGAACTGCTGTACTCAAGTGATCTGCCAGCCTTGGACTCCCAAAGTGCTGGAATTATATGTGTGAGCCACCGCACCCAACCATCCAGCATGTTCTTAATTCATTCATTTCTTTTCTTTCTCAGAGACCACAAATGCTACAGGGACTCCTGGAGCAGGACTGTCAGGAGGTGAGTGCTATCATTCTAAGACTTTGGGTTCTGTTGATTTATTGTTTGGGATTGCAGCTAAAAACATAAGAATATGAAGGTAGAAGACACATTTTACACAAGACCAAGTCAAATTGTGAATCCCTGTGGAAAAGCCGTCCGTGTTCATGCCCCTCCAACAAGCGTGCCTGAGTCCTGGCTCCCAGAATTAGTTCTCTGAAGACAGGAATGAGACCATCACTGCTTTAAAGTTCACACAATTTGTTTTCACAGGCACCACTGTCATTTCTTCTGAAGTCAGTACCAGTTCAGAAGTTTCCAACACAGGTAAAATTCCATAAAGAAAATATAAGCTGGCTCTTACCCCATATGAGTTTTGTGCATGTGTGTGCATGGGTGTTCTTTAAGGATGGCATAAAATAAAGTCATAAAATGGCATAAAATAAAGTATCACAGAGATATTTAGAACTTTCTCTTTCATTTTCCTCCTCTATAGTATAACAGGAAGTGAAATGGGCAGGTGTGAAATGAGCCCCAATCCCTCTGTCAGCAGGCTAGCATGTAGGTGTGTTCACTTGTAAGTTACCTGGGAAGAAATGGGCCAAGGAGATGAAATGAGAGAAGGAAACTCCTAATTTAGCGTTTACACCATTTATAACATTAAGTCCTCAGTTGTTTCCATGATGAATTTGCTAAATTTGCTTTTCTTGTTTCAGGTATCACTGGAGTAGGTTCTGAGACATCTGTTGAAACAGGAATTTCCAACACAGGTAAGATTGAAAGAAAACCATCTCTATTGACATGCAGATGAAATGGTGTTATTTTGCAGAGTTTTTCTGATGAATAACACAAAATCTCTCTTCCCACTATCCCAACGCCCCAGAATTCACTATTCCATATCGTGTCTCAGAGGCCACAATTTCCACAGAACGTGTTGGCACCACTGAAGCTTCATTCAAAATAGGTGAGAAGGAGCAACTCATGTCTTTGTTGCTATCACTGATTATGCCACTCATAGCGAGACTAGAGAGAGGAAGTTTCTGGAAAGCAATTTGTATTTACTTTCCTAATACTACATTTTTGGCCAACAAATTCTTTCTCAGTGTAGAAATTTTTCCAGAAAAGCTACTAATTATAGAATGCTGTGAAATTACAAACCATTTTAAGCTTTTAAAAGGTAGGGGAGGTGATAAAACTTGCTGAGAAACACAGAGGAGCTGTAAGAACCCAGGAAACACACCTGCCCCCTGTCAATGCTTCCTTTTCACAAGTGAAGGGCAAACTATTTTCACAATGTCTGGAGTTCTCAGCACACTCAGGGCATTCTCAGTAACCACCCCACAGCAGGCACCGCTCTTGCATCTGACAGCCAAGACACAGGGAGGAAAACAGGTGAGCTTAGGAGAAACCCACATTGTCCTCCTGACTGAGAATACCAGGAAGGTTATCACAGGTGGAGAACATTGTCACTTTGGTTGCTTTGGTAATAAAATGGTTAATGAGAAAAGACATAGGGCTTATCACTAAGGAAGAGCTAGGGAAAGTGCTAGTTAGATGTAAGTTAGGTTTAGATTCTTTCTAGAGGCAGGTCTGTAGGAAAGAAAGATTAATCACCATGGTGATCCTAGTGCTCTTGGTGTTTCAGCCACGACTGGGGTGGCTCCCAGCACAACCCTTGCCCGTGGCAGTTCCAGTACAGGTGAGTCTGCAGGTTGGCAGGGAACGCTTCAGAGCTCTTCTCATAATTTGATGTCTCCTTTGATGCTTTTAAGAGTAATATCTTATTCATTTCATGGTGATTGAATATTTTTCAAATATGTCTCTTCTGTTTTTCTGTCTCTCAGAGGCCACAACTTCCATAGGAGGAAGTGCGTTAACAAGAGGCGGAATAGTGACAGGTGAGCATTGCTGGGTCATTGCACTCACTTGCTAATAATATCCAATAAAACCTGTGGCTTGAAAAGGATCCATACTCTCATTTCTCCCATATTAACATTGTTAGGAAAGTTCCTACCGTTTTTCACTGACTAAATACAGAATCTCAAATTTCATTCTTATTTCTTGTGCTTGAACGGACTCTTCTCATGGCCCCCAAGGTAATCGTGAAGTCATTTGACTGACAGTTACATAGCAGATCTGCAGAGTTAGCTTCTATCTCCCTATTCCTGAAATGTTGAGAAAAGGAAACCTAATAAGTAAAAAAAAAAAAAAAAAAAAAAAAAGGGTGGTGGGGGAGTAAATATACCATGGGAAGAATATTATCTGAGAACTGTAGAGATTAGCTTTTGCCATTTAAAGGCCAGTTTAATGAAATAATAAATAAGTATACAGACCGTATCCATTGATTTGCTTGATATTCTTTGCCCACTTCATGGTAATGAGATACTGACCCATGACTGCCCCATCCCTTTCTTAATAGCTGCCACTGGGGCATTCTCTGGAAAGACTCTGGAACCTTGGAATGACAATACAGGCAAGTCTGAAAGCACACAGAAATGCTACACCATGGCTGCTCAGGTGACAGGCTCCTAGTAACCCTGTACTCCCCATCCTGCAGACTTCATCTTTGCTTTCTTTTCTCTCAGAGGCCACAAGTTCCACAGGAGGGGTCCGGGCCACCAAATCAGAAGCTCCAGGAGGTAAGCTTCATCAATCCAAGGCTTCAGAATTCTCATCATTGTCATTTTGTATTCAGGGTAACATATAAATGAGAAACAGGGCCATGGAAATGAAGTTACTTCTTTTCTGGAAGCACAACATGTATTCTGACCATCCTGAGTAGTCCTGCTAAGGAATTTCAGAAACGGGGTCATCTAAGTCAGGCATTGCTCCATGGCCTGTGTGACAGTGTTAGTTCTCTGGACACCTGACTGAGGCCTACTGACCTGCATCAGTTTTCCTGGAACCATGATTCTCCTCACTCAGCTCATGGTTCTGCAAATTACTATCACCTGCTGCCATCTCTTCAATATGTTTATTAGACTTCTTGTTTATTTTCTATTTCTTCTCTCACAAACACAAATCTCACAAGGCAGATACTTCATCTGTTCTTTTCACTGAGAGGATGTCAGACACAGAGGAAAGGCTTACAAAATAGGAGATGAATGACAGGCATATTCTTACGTAGAGTGTCACTGTTTACTTCATGGTTTCACTTGGTGTCGGCAGCAGTTTATCAGGTCTAAAAGCAGTTGGGGTAGGCTTCTTAAAACACCAGGGAAATGTAAAAACATCTGACTTGAGTGTATTCTTAAAACCTGATTGTCACACTATCACGTTACACAAATAAGAATGTTGGAAATATCAAAGCTTTTTCTTCTTTTCTCCTCCGGAGTGGCAGGGAGCCACTGGAACTGGCAGGGAATCACTGTAAGTGAAATCAGTAAAGTGAAATTAAGCGTCCTTCTTTGCTTTTTTGCTATGGTACAGTGGAGGGAATAGTCAGTATGCAAACATTAAACAACAAACTGGCAAAAAAAAATGATTTGTGGTGTGTATTTTTTCTAAAACAGAAGTTGTCAAGAAAAGTCTTCCAGTGGTTCAGGACCACAGTGCTGATTCCAGTACTGCTTGCTCTGTTAGGTCTTTATATTCTTGTTTTAGGTACTTCTGGTAAATTCTCTCAGACAACCATTGCATCTGGAGGTTCCCACACAGGTAGTTCAGTGAGAAGGAAATATTCCTTTTGCGTGCATGATACCTCTGTAGAGCTGCAATCATAAAATAGTGCCTCAATATTGTTTTTTCATATCTCACATTCTCTAGATCTCATGATTTTCCTCTTTCTTTCCCCAGAAGCAACAACTATCAGAGGAGGCAGGGGCAGTACTGAAAGTGAATTCAGAACAGGTGAGGAAGAGCAACCCATAATTTGGGAGTTACTGTGAATCATGACTCTCATTAGGATGACTTGCTTAGAAGTAGGCCTTCCTGCAGAATATTAAATAAGGATTTACAGACAATGTATTAGAGGCCAGATATATTTTTTAACTTATTATTTCCCTATAAATCTCCTAAAATCCTCTTTTCTAATAGATCGACTTTCTAGATGAGGTGTAAATGGAACGTAATTGTTTTGAGGGATTTCCCTATAACATTACATATAAATATTTCCAGTGCTATAGAAGTTAAAAACAGTTTTGGTCCCAGGAAGTAGAGATATTATAAATGCACTTTAAAAACACACCTGCCTAGATGTTTCCTTGCCCCCAAGGCAAGAGAAATAATTAGTATTAGGTCAATGGGGCAAAATCACATAGGAGTAATTAGTTTTGGTGTTTTGTAGCAGTGAGGTACCTATGGTAAACAATGTTATGGTGTATATTCAAATGTCCTTGACAAGATTCTGAATATTCTGCCCACCAAGCAATGATAAGTGTTTGAGATGATGGATAAGCTAAATATCATGACTTCATTATTACACAGTATATACATATATCAAAACCTCCCATATAACCCAGAAATATCTACAATTGTTATATGAAATTTAAAAAGAAAAGTAAAAATGAATTAAATGGTAATGAAATAAATGAATTTTTGTCTTCTACCTCTGACAGTGAAACAGTTAAGTATGGGAGAAAACCACCTGTCTCGCTCTGTTGGCAGGCCAGGTGTAATCCCCAGGTTTGGCCCCTTTGATTGCTTTGGTAGTTTATTAATTAATGGAAAAACACATCAGAGTGGCAGCCAGACAAAGTGGCCTTTGACATCTTAAAGATGTAAGCAGATTGTTTCTAGAGTCAGGCCTTCAGGAGACAAACGAGAGTCACTGTGGTGATCCAGTTCCCCTGTGTTTCAGCCACCACTGGGGTAGCTCCTGGCGCAACCGTTGCCCCTGGCAGTTCCAAGACAGGTAAGTCAACAGGTTGACATGAAATCTTCCACGTGCCCTCCCATAATTAGAGGTCTCCTGTGTATTCTTTATTTCATTATTGAGATGGACTCTCACTCTGTTACTCAGGATGGAGTGCAGTGGCAGGATCTCAGCTCACTGTAACCTCCGCCTCCCGTGTTCAAGTGATTCTCCTGCTTCAGCCTCTCGAGTAGCTGGGATTGCAGGTGCCCATCACTACACCCAGCTAATTTTTTCTATTTTTAGGAGAGATGGGGTTTCACCATGTTGACCAGGCTAGTCTCAAACTCTTGACCTTGTGATTTGCCTGCCTTGGCCTCCCAAAGTGCTGGGATTATAGGCCTGAGTCCTTGTGCCTGGCCTCCTTCGTATTAATTTTCTGCAGGAGTAGCACCATATCTTCTCCACAATTCTTAAATATTCTCCGGTAACTCTTACTCTTTGTCTCCCTTAGAGGCCACCACTTTCCTAGGAGTAAGTGAAACAACACGTGTTGGAAGAGCCACAGGTGAGTGATGCTAGGCTAAGACCTGTAATTCCTAATGACAACTTCAAATAGTCTTCTGAAAATATCGACATGATTTATATACACTATATTGAGAAAATTCAGAGGAAAAGGCTAGACAGTCTCCTTATTTCCTGAGCTTACAAAGGCCTTCCCTAAACCATTGTGACGTCAAACCAATGACAGATAAATAATATGGGAGAAAATTCTTCTCTTCCCCCCAAAGAGAAGGACATAATAGTTAAGAACTGTCTCAGTAATATTGCTGTGGAAAGAAATGTTGCATGGGACAAATATGAACTACTTCTAGCACTGCGAGTCTCAGAGTAATAGTTTGCTTCTGAGTGAGAATTGGAGATTCCTATAGAAACCAAGTGGAAAAAGAGTTCAGCTAGTGACACCATCTCTTTCTTATTGTAGGTATTACCGTTGTAGTCTCTGGAAAAACACTGAAACCTGGAAGTTACAAGACAGGCAAGTCTGAAAATACACGCAAAGTCTGGACATGGGCACCTTGGTTGACATATTCTGCCCACAGCACAGTGTGTACTCTCTCAAAAACTAGTCTTTATTCCTTCCTTTCTTTTCTCTCTCTCTCAGGGGCCACAACTTCCATAGTAGGGAGTGTCACCAGCCAAGCAGAACATCCAGGAGGTGAGCTTTTTACTCCAAGGCCTTGGAAGGCTTTTATCAAATCCTAGTTCTCTGCAGTGAAGACATTGATGTGAAGGTGGGCCAAGGAAGGGGACCCTCATTTCATCTGGGAACACAGCATGCCAGAATCACAAACCTGGGTGTGCCTAGGAATTCTTTGGCCTCACCTGACTCATCCCTCTGGTTTTTTAGGTGCCTAGGCTGGCAGAGCTAGTTGTTATGTAGCACGGATGAGGGAAAGCTGCTGGATACCCCCTGCCAATCAGGGTTCCTGATCCTTTTATACAACTTGCCTTTTTTCCAAAGCACTGACTCACATCCTTCACACTGACTTATTTATTACATTTATTGTTCATTGCTGGGCTCCAGCTGCTAGACTGTAAGGTGCCTTAGGAGGGAGATCTTTCAACATTCTGCTCACTGATACATCCCAAGGTCCTAAAACAATATTACACAGAAGAGATGCTTAATAAATATTAGCGGAATGATGAAATAATTATTTTGAAGCTCTTCATTCTATTTACTTTAATAGGTACAACTATAGTTTCACCTGAAGTCAGAATTCCAAGCCAGGTAGAATAGATCGAATAAATAAATAAATTCCCATCACATGGGAATATTAGAGTTAGGGAGTTCTTTTTTAAACATGTGAATATCAAAATACCTCAAATAATTGATGAGGAATATTTATAAAGATGGAAGGTAGTCTGCTTTTTTCTTCTCAACACATCACATCAGGGAGCCCATCTGGAAGTTAAACAGGTGACGGGGAGATAAGGTTTCCTTTCACATTCACTGTGGTCTATGGAAAGGGAATCCCAGAAGCAACAATGTTCAATTGAGGGCCAAAGAAATAAAGTGGTAATCACTCACGGTTCATTTCCTTCCAAAACAGATGTCCTCAGGAAAGGTCTCTAGAGGCTCAGGATCATATCACTTCTTTTAGCATTCTTTGCTCTATTAGCACTTTTACTCTTCTCATTTTAGGTACTTCTGGTGAATTCCCAGGAACAACCAGTACATATGGAGATTCCCACACAGGTAGTTCAATAAGAAGGAAATCTTCATCTTGAATGCCTGATAAAGCTTTAGAGCTGCAATCATAGAATAGCTTTTTCCCGGGATCTTCAATCCCTTAGACCTCTCGATTTTCTTTTTCTCACAGAGGCTACAACTCTGACAGGAGGCAGGGGCAGTATTGGAACTGAATCCAGAGCAGGTGAGGAGCAGCCCATGATTTGGGAGTTAACGTGGATCCTGATGTTCATTATTATGACTTGTTTAGAAGTGAACTTTCCTACGGAACATTGTGGTTTTATTATTATTATTATTATTATTATACTTTAAGTTCTGGTGTACTTGGGCAGATCTTGCAGTATTGTTACATAGGTATACACATGCCCTGGTGGTTTGCTTCCTCCAACCCCCCATCATCCACATTAGATATTTCTCCTAATGTTATCCTTCCCCAACCTCCCCATCCCCTGCTATTGCTCCCCTAACCCCTCACCCCCCAACACACCTCAGTGTGTGATGTTCCCATTCCTGTGTCCATGTGTTTTCATTGTTCAACACCCACTTACGAGTGAGAACATGTGGTGTTTGGTTCTCTGTTCTTGTGTCAGTTTGCTGAGAATGATGGTTTCCATATTCATCCATGTCCCTGCAAAGGACATGAACTCATCTTTTTTTATGACTGCATAGTATTCCATGGTATATATGTGCCACATTTTCTTTATCCTTTTTTTTCCCCATTTATTTATTTTATTGCATTTTAGGTTTTGGGGTACATGTGAAGAACATGCAAAATTGTTGCATAGGTACACACGTGGCAGTGTGATTTGCTGCCTTCCTCCCCATCACCTACATCTGGCATTTCTCCCCTTGCTATCTCTCCCCAGCTCCCCACCCCCCACCGTCCCTCCCCTATTTCCCCCCAACTGACCCCAGTGTGTAGTGCTCCCCCCCTGTGTCCATGTGTGCTCATTGTTCAACACCTGCCTATGAGTGAGAACATGCGGTGTTTGATCTTCTGCTCTTCTGTCAGTTTGCTGAGAATGATGGTTTCCAGGTTCATCCATGTTCCTACAAAGGACACAAACTCATCATTTTTGATGGCTGCATAATATTCCATGGTGTACATGTGCCACATTTTCCCTATCCAGTCTATCGTCGATGGGCATTTGGGTTGGTTCCAGGTCTTTGCTATTGTAAACAGTGCTGCAATGAACATTCGTGGGCACGTGTCCTTATAGTAGAACGATTTGTAATCCTTTGGATATATACCCAGTAATGGGATTGCTGGGTCAAATGGAATTTCTATTTCTAGGTCCTTAAGGAATCGCCACACTGTCTTCCACAATGGTTGAACTAATTTACACTCCCACCAACGGTGTAAAAGTGTTCCTATTTCTCCACATCCTCTCCAGCATCTGTTGTCTCCAGATTTTTTAATGATGGCCATTCTAACTGGCGTGAGATGGTATCTCAATGTTGTTTTGATTTGCATTTCTCTGATGACCAGTGATGATGAGCATTTTTTCATATGTTTGTTGGCCTCATGTATGTCTTCTTTTGTAAAGTGTCTGTTCATATCCTTTGCCCACTTTTGAATGGGCTTGTTAGTTTTTTTCTTGTAAATCTGTTTTAGTTCTTTGTAAATTCTGGATATCAGCCCTTTGTCAGATGGGTAAACTGCAAAAATTTTTTCCCATTCTGTTGGTTGTGGATTCACTCTAATGACTGTTTCTTTTGCTGTGCAGAACCTGTGGAGTTTGATTAGGTCCCATTTGTCTATTTTGGCTTTTGTTGTCAATGCTTTTGGTGTTTTGGTCATGAAGTCCTTGCCTACACCTATGTCCTGAATAGTTTTGCCTAGATTTTCTTCTAGGGTTTTTATGGTGTTAGGTCTTATGTTTAAGTCTTTAATCCATCTGGATTTAATTTTAGTGTAAGGTGTCAGGAAGGGGTCCAGTTTCTGCTTTCTGCACATGGCTAGCCAGCTTTCCCAACACCATTTATTGAACAGGGAATCCTTTCCCCATTGCTTGTTTTTGTCTGGTTTGTCAAAGATCAGATGGTTATAGATATGTTGTGTTGCCTCCGAGACCTCTGTTCTGTTCCATTGGTCTATATCTCTGTTTTGGTACAAGTACCATGCTGTTTTGATTACTGTAGCCCTGTAGTATAGTTTGAAGTCAGGTAGTGTGATGCCTCCCGCTTTGTTCTTTTTGCTTAGAATTGACTTGGCTATGCGGGCTCTCTTTTGGTTCCATATGAAGTTTAAGGTGGTTTTTTCCAGTTCTGTGAAGAAGGTCATTGGTAGCTTGATGGGGATAGCATTGAATCTGTAAATTACTTTGGGCAGTATTGCCATTTTCATGATATTGATTCTTCCTAACCATGAACATGGAATGTTTCTCCATCTGTTTGTGTCCTCTCTTATTTCGTTGAGCAGTGGCTTGTAGTTCTCCTTGAAGAGGTCCTTTACGTTCCTTGTTAGTTGTATTCCTAGGTATTTTATTCTGTTTGTGGCAATTGTGAACGGAAGTTTGTTCTTGATTTGGCTCTCTTTAAGTCTGTTATTGGTGTATAGGAATGCATGTGATTTTTGCACATTGATTTTGTATCCTGAGACTTTGCTGAATTTGTTTATCAGTTTCAGGAGGTTTGGGGCTGAGACGATGGGGTCTTCTAGATATAAAATCATGTCGTCTGCAAATAGAGACAATTTGACTTCCCCCTTTCCTATTTGAATGCCCTTTATTTCTTTTTCTTGCCTGATTGCTCTGGCTAGAACTTCTAATACTATATTGAATAGCAGTGGTGAGAGAGGGCATCCTTGTCTGGCACCACATTTCAAGGGTAATGCTTCCAGTTTTTGCCCATTCAGCATGATATTGGCTGTTGGTTTGTCATAAATAGCTTTTATTATTTTGAGATACATTCCATCAATACCTAGCTTATTGAGGGTTTTTAGCATAAAGGGCTGTTGAATTTTGTCAAAGGCCTTCTCTGCATCAATTGAGATAATCATGTGGTTTTTGTCTTTGGTTCTGCTTATGTGGTGAATTATGTTTATAGACTTGCGTATGTTGAACCAGCCTTGCATCCCTGGGATGAATCCTACTTGATCATGGTGGATAAGCTTTTTGATGTGCTGTTGCAATCGGCTTGTCAGTATTTTATTGAAGATTTTTGCATCTATGTTCATCATGGATATTGGCCTGAAGTTTTCTTTTCTTGTTGAGTCTCTGCCGGGTTTTGGAATCAGGATGATGTTGGTGTCATAAAATGATTTGGGAAGAATTCCCTCTTTTTGTATTGTTTGGAATAGTTTCAGAAGAAATGGTACCAGCTCCTCTTTGTATGTCTGGTAGAATTCGGCTGTGAACCCGTCTGGACCTGGGCTTTTTTTGGGTGGTAAGCTCTTAATTGCTGCCTCAACTTCAGACCTTGTTATGGGTCTGTTCAGGGTTTCAGCTTCTTCCTGGTTTAGGCTTGGCAGGAGGCAAGTGTCCAGGAATTTATCCATTTCTCCCAGGTTTATTAGTTTGTGTGCATAGAGTTGTTTGTAATAATCTCTGATGATGGTTTGAATTTCTGTGGAATCTGTGGTGATATCCCCTTTATCATTTTTTATTGCATCACTTTGGTTATTCTCTCTTTTCTTTTTTATTAATCTGGCTAGTGGTCTGTCTATTTTGTTAATCTTTTCAAAAAACCAGGTCCTGGATTTATTGAGTTTTTGAAGGGTTTTTTTGTGTCTCTATCTCCTTCAGTTCTGCTCTGATCTTAGTTATTTCTTGTCTTCTGCTAGACTTTGAGGTTTTTTGATCTTGCTCCTCTAGCTCTTTCAGTTTTGACAATAGGGTGTCAATTTTTGATCTCTCCTTGCTTCTCATGTGGGCACTTATTGCTATATATTTTCCTCTAGAGACTGCTTTAAATGTGTCCCAGAGATTCTGGTATGTTGTGTCTTCATTCTCGTTGGTTTCAAAGAACATCTTTATTTCTGTCTTCATTTCATTGTTTATCCAGTCAACAGTCAAGAGCAAGTTGTTCAGTTTCCATGAAGCTGTGCGGTTCTGGATTAGTTTTTGAATTCTGAGTTCTAACTTGAATGCACTGTGGTCTGAGAGACTGTTTGTTATGATTTCCGTTCTTTTGCATTTGCTGAGGAGTAATTTACTCCCAATTATGTGGTCAATTTTAGAGTAGGTGTGATGTGGTGCTGAGAAGAATGTATATTCTATGGATTTGGGGTGGAGAGTTCTGTAAATGTCTATTAGGTTTGCTTGGTCCAGGTGTGAGTTCAGGTCCTGGATATCCTTGTTAATTTTCTGTCTGGTTGATCTGTCTAATATTGACAATGGGGTGTTAAAGTCTCCCACTATTATTGTATGGGAGTCTAAGTCTCTTTGTAAGTCATTAAGAACTTGCCTTATGTATCTGGGTGCTCCTATATTGGGTGCATATATATTTAGGATCGTTAGCTCTTCTTGTTGCATTGATCCTTTTACCATTACGTAATGTCCCTCTTTGTCTCTTATGATCTTTGTTGCTTTAAAGTCTAATTTATCAGAGATGAGAATTGCAACTCCTGCTTTTTTTTGCTCTCCATTTGCTTGGTAAATCTTCCTCCATCCCTTTATTTTGAGGCTTTGTGTATCCTTGCATGTGAGATGGGTTTCCTGGATACAGCACACTGATGGGTTTTGTCTTTTTATCCAATTTGCCAGTCTGTGTCTTTTGATTGGGGCATTTAGTCCATTTACATTTAGGGTTAATATTGTTATGTGCGAATTTGATACTGCCATTTTGGTGCTAGCTGGGTGTTTTGCCCTTTAGTTGAGCTGGTACCTGTTGTTCCTTTATATTTGTAGAGCCTCTTTCAGGAGCTCTTGTAGAGCTGGCCTGGTGGTGACGAAATCTCTGAGTACTTGCATGTTCCCAAAGGATTTTATTTTTCCTTCACTTAGGAAGCTTAGTTTGGCTGGATAGGAGATTCTGGGTTGAAAGTTCTTTTCTTTAAGGATGTTGAATATTGGTCCCCACTCTCTTCTGGCTTGTAGGTTTTCTGCCGAGAGATCTGATCTACTGTGAGTCTGATGGGCTTTCCTTTCTTGGTGACCTGAACTCTCTCTGGCTGCCCTTAGCATTTTTTCCTTCATTTCAACCCTGGTGAATCTGACGATTATGTGCCTTGGGGTTGCTCTTCTTGACGAATATCTTTGTGGTGTTCTCTGTATTTCCTGGACTTGAGTGTTTGCCTGCCTTGCTAGGTTGGGGAAGTTTTCCTGTATAATATCCTGAAGAGTATTTTCCAGCTTGGATTCATTCTCTTCGTCACATTCAGGTATGCCTATCAAATGTAGATTAGGTCTTTTCACATAGTCCCACATTTCTTGGCGACTTTGTTCATTCCTTTTTACCCTTTTTTCTCCAGTCTTGCCTTTCCGTTTTATTTCATTGAGTTGATCTTCGACCTCTGATATCCTGTCTTCTGCTTGGTCAATTCGGCTGTTGATACTTGTGCATGCTTTGCGAAGTTCTCGTGTTGTGTTTTTCAGCTCCATCGATTCACTTATATTCCTTTCTATTTTGTCCGTTCTTGTTAGCATTTCGTCAAATCTTTTTTCAAGGTTCTTAGTTTCTTTGCATTTGGTTAGAACATGTTCTTTAAGTTCACAGAAGTTTCTTACTACCCACCTTCTGAAGTCTGATTCTGTCATTTCATCACACTCGTTCTCCCTCCGACCTTGTTCCCTTGCTGGTGAGGAGTTGTGATCCCTTGTAGGAGGAGAGGTGTTCTGGTTTCAGGTGTTTTCATCCTTTTTGCGCTGGTTTCTTCCCATCTTTAAGGATTTATCTACCTGTCGACTTTGTAGTTGCTGGCTTTCAGATTGGGTTTCAAATCTTTCAGATTGACGTTCTGTTTGTTGATGATGCGGTTATTTCTGTTTCTTGGTTTTCCTTCTGACAGTCTGGCCACTCTGCTGTAGGTCTGCTGTGGTTCACTCCAGGCCCTGCTTGCTTGGCGTTCACCTGCAGCAGCTGCTGAACAGTAAGGGTTATTACCAGTTTTCTTCTTCTGCTATCTTTGTCCCAGAAGGATACCCGCCTAGTGTCAATCTGATCTCTCCTTTATGAGGTGTCTCTTTGGATATATAGGGGTCAGGGAGCTGCTTGAGGAGACGGTCTCTTTTTTATAGGAGCTCAAATGGTGAGCTGTGAGCTCTGTTGTTCATTCACAGCTGCTGGGCAGGTACGTTTAGGTCTACTGCAGCAGACCTCATAAACTGCTTTTTGTTCCCAGGTGCTCTGTCCCAGGGATTTAGGGCTTTATTTATGAGTTTCCGTTATGCTGCTGCCTTCTTTTTTCTTTTCCTTCAGACCTGCCCTGCCCAGCAAGGAGGCAGCCTTGTCACTGTCGGCCTGTAGAGGCTTTGCTAAGCTGCTGTGGGCTCCGCCCAGCTGCCGAGTGAACTTTCTTGCAGTCCTGTTTATATGGGTGTAGTTAGAACTGCTTTGGTGATGGTGGCCCGCCTCTGTTGAGGCGGAGTCTCTCTGCTGTGGCGGGTTGCCTTGGCAACGGCGGGCTGCCTCGGTAATGGCAGACGCCCCTCCCCCACAGAGCTGGACTGTCCGGGGTTCAGCTGCGCTCGCTGTGAAACTCTCAATCCAGAGTTTCTGATTGCTGTTCTTTTGTGGGGGTGGGACCAGCCGAGCCTGATTGCCTGGCTCCCTGCCTCAGAGCCTTTTTTAAGTTTGTGTTGCAGTCGCCTGTTGAAGAGGCGTTGGGGTCTGTTTGTTTTCTCCTGCGGCCACTCACTGCACTGGCTTAAACAGCGGCACTGAGGTTTGTGGCGCTTTTTTTTTTTTTTTTTTTTTCCC